GATATTGGAAGTATCCCGAGGTAAATATAATATATCTGTCCGAGGGCCGCAGCTAGGTCCAGAGGGAAAATATATTGTATTGGCCAAGGAAAATCCCAATATCCTGAACCGACTAAAGGATAATATGTTTATTCCATACCAATCTTGGTCATCTGGTTCACATTGTTCAATCGTGGAAATATTTTAGAATATCCATGTCCAGTTTTGTTTTCTTGGCCGTGGGTGGATTTTCCTGTTCTCTCAAATTTTGTGTATCTCCCAATCCAAATATTCCCGGGAAAATGTTTTTTATTCAGTGTAGAAACAGTCAATTTGTAAAAGTATCTTGCTAAAGCAAAACTGTCAAAATAGATCCAGCAGACCGTATAATTTTTCTTAACCAAAATGATGATGGATTTCTTGAAAATAATGAGAATGAGAACGCTTAATAAAAAAAAAATGGATATGCAGGGTGTCCTGAAAACTTCACTTGTAAAACCTCACTTTTCATAGGATAAATTAGTTATGTGATGATTGGTTTTGAATAATGATCACTGGGAAGATTTCAGAGAAAGAGCATATATCGTACAATGTTTATTGATGATATTTTGACATTGCTGATCATTATTGACATCGCTGATGGCGAATAAGTACCAAAATGTAACGCTTTGTGCGAATGTTACTCATGGTGAATTTCTGATGGAATTTCTTACTAAGACATAATAACCATTTAACAGGATATTGTATGACCACTATAAAATAATTTAACCGAGTCATTTTTAACTTCTCAATTTACATTTTTTGTTTACAATCACACGAGACATGTGAGCCCGGGTATGTGAGGCTGATGTGAGAAGTCTTAATAAAAAATAACTCTGTCAAAAAAATGATTAAATTAAATTACATAAGATTCGGAATGAAAGTGCCCCGTCCATATTTCATATTTGACTAAAAGTAATTAGTGCATTGGGCAAATAGAATCCTTTATTGCAGTTAATTCAAAGTATTCCTATGTTGGCTGTACTAATTCTTCAAAACTTTCAGGCATTGACATCATTGATTTGACTCATTTGCATACAACCAATCAGCGATTTTCTTTACTTTGTGCACGGGATACTAGAGTATCCACGTATATTGAGTATGACCGGTTCTTAGGCTACGAATATGACCTGTTTTGGAAAGTCATGAGAGGCACAGCTGCTTAAAAATGGAAAATAAAGGTTAACTTCTATATTATCCTTTTTGAAATTGTGTTTGTTGAATATAGTTTATGCTGTATTTAATAGTAATGTAACAAAAAATGTTAAACATGAGCTATTTTAGCAATGTAACTGTTCATAATGGAATATCAATCAGAAAGTACAGATTTCTCGCCTTAGAGCCAAATCATTAATATCACAGTAGAAAAAAACAAATCCCAAACCATTTTATGGCTAACCTGAACAAGATCTCCAAATCTCAGTTTATATGATCCCGCGTAGAGTGAGCAAGAGAAGGATTTATCTTTTCCCAGAGGATACGCTTGTGAAATGTCATGGAAACGAGCGTAACACGGCCCACTGATTGTTTCACAACCGTATTCTCCAATAATGGGGCACCAGTGACATTCGTATTCTCAAAAATTCAAAGATGTATCATATTTGGACAGAGCAGGCTAAATTATTTAAAATATTCATGACTTATTCGTAGATCTAGCTATATATTATACATAAGATGTGTCATCCTTTTCGAAGTTGCGTTGTGTTACACAAAAACTGATCAAAGATGCTGGAAACTAGGATTTTACGACTTCAATCTAATATTAATACGTTTTCTCTTGATTAAGGCACCTTGTGAAATGCCTGGCATTATAAGTATACCAAGTATCATTCATTGACCAAGTAGGATAAAAAGAAAACGTTCGAAAGTGTTCATAAAAAGCAAGTACTCACCTCGTCTGTTTATAGGAACAGAAATACGGTCACACTCGTAAGCTTAGAACCGGTCATACTCAATATACGCGGATACTCTAGTATCCCGTGTTTGTGGAAAGGTGAATATTAATTTCATATTCTGTCAATGTTTAATACATGTGTTATGATTCGGTCAGTACGTAATTATATTTAATTATATATAATAACTATATTATTTATTTATTATTTATATTTAATATAAAAGCAATATTCAGCATATTCAAACATTGTTAAGATCTTGCTGTATTCTTATGATTAATGACTATTTAGACCCCAGTTTGTTCTAGTACAGGGGAATCCCTACGCTACTATATTCAGCCAAAACAAAGATATATCAATGTAATTCTGACAAGTTGTTACTTTCAACAACCAATCACGACTCGGAATTATGATTTGAATCTTGCTTACATAAGCATGAAATAAGCAATATTCTTACTTATATTTGCACAATTTTGACAGGTAAAATAATGCATTTTACCTGGTATATAAAGAGCACAGCAAAATCTGATTATTCAGTAAGTTTTACTCGCTCACAACAATGCTGAACAACTAATGAAAGAAGAGACAACAACAAGACTACTGAAACTCTGCTGGCCGAATCGATCTCGAGTATAAGAATCGGAATTCGAAATAAATAAGGAAAGCAAACTGAAGGAGTTGTGTTTAATCATATTCTGTCAATGTTTTATACAAATACCTACATATAGATATCTCAAACTGGGAACTGGGGACTGGGGACCAGCTTAGAAGATACATACAAATACATACATACATATTATATAGAGCATATAGATATCTCAAACTGGGAACTGGGGACTGGGGACCTTCTTAAAAGATACATACAAATACATACATATTATATATAGTATATAGATATCTCAAACTGGGAACTGGGGACTGGGGACCAGCTTAGAAGATACATACAAATACATACATACATATTATATAGAGCATATAGAAATCTCAAACTGGGAACTGGGGACTGGGGACCTTCTTAAAAGATACATACATACAAATACATACATATTATATATAGCATATAGATATCTCAAACTGGGAACTGGGGACTGGGGACCAGCTTAGAATACAAATACATACATATATAACATGTATACAATACACATATATCTTATAAATTAAAGCATATTCATAGATATCTCAGATATTCATGAATTATTGTTATTTAATTAACATATGCTATGCCAACTAATAGATTAATTAACATATTCCATGCTTGTATATATATCATACATATATATGAATACATATGATAATGTATGTATCTATCTAATTTGCATATTCTGTGCTGGCATAAAATATATATATGCATGAATACATAGATATATGAATGTATACATATATGTATCTATCTAATTTGCATATTCTATGCTGGTTTACATGGCCCATAAGCCATATATAATGCAGATGGGTGACCATATTATGATTAAAACATACGGACCACACGGACACAAATGTAGTTAAATGTCACAGTGACAACATACGTCTCCATCCACACAACATGGAGAGGCTGATTCGCCAACATACATTCAGGCCCGTAGCCAGGGGGTTTGGAGGGTCCGACCCCCCCTCCCCGGCCAAAAAAAAATTCAAAATCATACAGTTTGTCACCATTTTGAGCACTTCCCAAGTGGAAATAAAACCATGGGCTTTCAATTTTAGCCATAATGGACCAAAGTCAAATATGAACCCCCCCCCTGGAAATTTTTGAAAACTGACCGCCTCTTGGCATATCCTGGCTACTGGTCTGTTCATGTACACTCCCCTCCATAAGTTTGGCAACCTTTTCCCCCCATTGAACTACGTGTTAAAGCCTCTTTACGTTTGAATTTTTATTTACTTAACCGGCGATGAAATAACTTATGATATTGATGGAGACGTAACTTGATTTCATTTCCAATACCGCCAAATTTTCTCAATTTTTTCCTCAATTACAATAGGTCGAAAATTGATGATAAATTTGATGAATTTTTGAAAATCGTCATTCCCATGTAATCCAATGGGAAATGGAGGGTTCGGGGCAAATCAGAAATCAGGATATCTTTTGAGTAAAAGATTCAGCAAAAAATATTTTTATATAGAAGATTGAATTGTCTAACTTTTTTGAACACTAAGTGTTTAGTTTATTTGATGAATATTAAAGTTACAGCGCTTCAAAGTCATTTTTGAAAATAATTTTTCGCCCCCTGTGTTATTTCAATGGGAGAGGTTTTTGAAAAACAATTTTGACTTTAAAGCCCTATAACTTTGTTGAACCTGAAGAAACATATTGTTGAATAAAGTTAGCAAATTCAATTGCCTGCCTAACTCGTATTTTTTGCAAGGACTCGGATGGATGGATATTCTGTCATATGGCTTGCGGCAAACCTACCATTTCCCATTGGTTAACATGGGAATGTCGATTTTCAAAAATTCATCAAATTTATCATCAATGTTCGACCTATTGTAATTGAGGAAAAAAATTAGAAAATTTGGAGGTATTGGAATTAAAGTCAAATTACGTTTCCATCAATAGTATTAGCATTTTCATCGCAGGTTAAGTAAATAAAAATTCAAAGGTAAAGAGGCTTTAACACGTAGTTCAATGGGGGGAAAAAGGTTGCCAAACTTATGGAGGGGAGTGTATGTAGTATGTACCTATAACGCATAAACATCCCCGAAAATTTGAAATGGACTGTACAGTCTTTTCGAATGAACAGGTTTTGAGACATGCATGGTGAATAATCTCTATTTATAGTTTATCGGCGCCTGGACATATTTTTATATTTGATCAAGGACTTCTTTGGACATTTAAGACATGTAGGGTAATTAAAAACCTGTACCCTTCTCTATTTGATTACTAAAATGCTAATGCAATGTCCTTTTAAAAGTCTATTCCTCAACTCCGATTCAGTGGAAACATCTATTATTGTAAAAAAAAGTCTAGAACATCTGAATGTTAAAAATAGACCAATGTTGTATTTATAGTCAAGTTAACCGGGGCCATTGCCAATGTAAGGTTTTATCGATTGGTTCTTTTAAGTGCTTTTCTACCGACGTACATAGTCAGATAGTATTCGTATACTGAAAACGACAAAGTCCATGATATAAAGTAAGTGGTTAGATGTTCTAAGCAAATGGAGGAGAAGTGTCTATGTCGTTCAACATTAACAAGCTACATGTATGAGGTAGGCCGTTGTACTCAGCTGGTAATATATATTTGTATATGCCTTTTATTGAGTGATGATTTTGATCTAAACTTTCACAAATATGGTGGCATACATTAGGTACAGCTGGAAAATAACATTTTGGTAAAAAATTGCTATACCTGCGCATGTTATTTTCTGGTACAAAATAAAGTATGAAGGCATGTGTCAATTTCCTTGCTTTTTTCAGGAAAGTATCATTACATTGTCTTCTTTTTGAATATCTGGTAGGAGTTCAATGGGAACTCCAGGAAATTCTGATATTTCACACTTTCTGTTTTTCCAAATTTTCTTTCAAAGTTTCCAGACAACACAGGAGCTACCATTGACCTGTTTCCAGGTTTACTAAAAGTAGACAGTGTAATGATACTTTCCTGAAAAAAGCAAGGAAATACACACATGCCTTCATACTTAATTTTGTACCAGAAAATAACATGTGCAGGTATAGCAATTTTTACCAAAATGTTACTTTCCAGCTGAACCTTTGAAATTAACACATGCCTTCATACTTAGTAAGAGTAAGTATATTCCATCCTATATTTAGTCCGGATATGATCGTTTGTGATATTAATTTCAGGAGCGGTAGATAAACAAGTAGATATTTTACATAGCTCACTATTGCAAGTGAGACCTGTGCAGATGAATCATGGAGCCTTCACAAATGACAGTAATGGATACGGCCGGGACTGAAAGTGAAGGTAAGAATGGTGAATACCATTTGGTAGGGCTAAATACCAAGTTCATAATACAAGTTAAGTTCCAAATCCCTCAAAGTTCTCAATGTTTTGTTTATGCATTTAAACTTTACACACTATACACTCAGGCCACGTATTCCTTTCATTATAACGAATTTTATGTTACATGACTATATGTTTTTATTCCGCTATTTAATATACGCTCTACCATGAGTATTTGGTATCAAATTAAACGTCTCTTAATCCTGCAAATTATCATTTAGTTTTTATCTCAGGGTTATAAAAGCTGAACGCATTATCAATCGTCGAACATTCCAAACTATCATTTTTTGCCTTGTAACCGATCACCCTTATGTTAATTGACAGTAACTTTTTTATATTCTGGAACGTATTTTGTTATGATAATTGACAATTTCATCATAAAGACTGCATCGTGTCGATTGTACGTTAGCTGGAATTAATTTATTTGCTAATTTACTATTGGAAAATCGACATTAAGTATGTGTAGCCCTCGAAGGCACCATCATCGACACCATGCTTGAAATCAACGGTGTGGAGAAGCCTCTGCACTATTCATGATAATCCCCCATTCACTTCACTTGAAATATAAATTGCCTTATTAACGGATGTAAAACATTTTCAAAATACATTTGAATATAACATATTTAGCTTGTTACGTATTTTTCGACGTAAAGTGCTATTTTTCAAAATCATCATCGACTCCACAAGTACGTTGTCTTTGCACTCTGCTTTCAATCAAAATCAGGTTTCAATGTTAAGTAATGGTGTTGACGGTTTGTCTCAATATATATTGATAATATAAAAATACGCTTTATTGATGTTATTCTTTGACCACGTAAAGATTGAGATATTTACGACCATCAACGACTCCACCACATACGACTCCAAAATACTATCCACATATTAAGTAGGTCACATGTATAATCGAATGCTATATATTTGTTGAATTAACCTACATTCATTAAATGACTATTTTGTTGTATGTGTAGCATTTTACAGTGATACCGAGCTAAGGATTTAGAGCATATTGTTCATTGTGATTACAACGTATAGTGATAAGTAAAATTGAATCTATTAAGCAGACCATGTTATTTACTTATGATGCATATTCTGTTTGTTTTGAAATGCTATGGTAATGTGACACAAGAATTGGGATGATTGAGCAGTTCATAGTTTTATAAAATCACTGACAAATATAGATGCACATTCCCCGATATTTCTTAATTTATAAACGTTTCGTTCAGTGTACCACTAGACGAAATGTATTTCTTGCCATTATTGTAAAACAATAAATATTTCATTGGGATAATCAGTTTTGTGACATTTTATTAATGTGCATAACTTCCCACACTCTCATTAACATATCTGTCTTACTTATCAGACCTTTCTGATGATATAAGAATATGGCACTCACCAACGCCGAGAAGTGTCGTCGTTCCCTAAGACTACAGTACAGGGAGAGAAAGAAAGAAAAGATAGCAAAGGCTACTTAGAGCAAGAACGATTGCGACAGCGAGCATCGTATACACCGAGAAATAACCTGTCTGCTGAAGCTCTTCAACGGATCAGAGAAAAGAACGACAAGGCATCCCGGGAATACAGGGCACGCATACGCCAAGTGTATAGAGAAACAATCAAAACACGCCAGACTGAAGGGAACGCTCAGAGTCTCAAAGTGAAACTGCCAGGACACAAATGAAAATCCAAGAAATCCCAGAACGCATTATTAAAACATTGAAGATAGGGCGACTGGACTTAAACCAGTACAAGGTACATGTACCTTTCGAATCAATGCTGTGAGAGGGGTTTCCGATAATATTGTTGAAACGCGAGAATTATCGTGCTTTTGTAACGCATGCAGAACAGATACGTCATCCTCACCCTGTGGTTGGCAAAGGAACAACCTTATAACCGTTAGGAAGACCGAGCAGGCAGCTAAGGTGGTCACCGAGCAACCTTTAAAACCAAAACGGACCACACGACGAGCACACCCGACACCCAGTACGTCAAGTAAAGCATCGACGCCCTCCGACGTTTCCACTCTTTCAACCACATTGAAGCGTCGGCCTTTAGTAACCCCATCAACAAGTTCAAAGTCTTTAGACACAATGGTTTCCGCGAAGAAAAGGAAAGGCCCGATAAAAAGAACAGACACTGTAAATATTTGCAAGGCATGCGGTGTTAACTATTATTCGTATTTACAATCGCAGTTCGAATGGATCAAGTGCTCTAAATGCCCCGACTGGTTTCATGATTCCGGGAAATGTTCTCGTGTAAAGGGGATACTCATTGGAGAAATATTTACATGCTTTAATTGCAATAAAAGACGACCTTAAATGTGTAAATTATGTACGTTATTGTTTAAAAACCTAAGCGACCATCAGCGACACTGTTAAATAACACTTAATATCACAAGGAGGAGTGATTGACCTATTCGGAACAATGTTGTATTTTGATGTAAGAAGACATGTGTGTCTTATTTGTACATTCATTTTGTCGATCGAGGAATTGACTTGGCATATTATTTAGCTTAGAAAACAAAATCTTGAAATTAATTATCTTTAGGGAAACTCAAAACAATGTATTTCAACGATCATCTTAATAAAATTCTCTTGTTAAGATAAACAACAACTATTGCAATTTATTTTTATTCATGTGATTAAATATTTCAAACTTGATACATTAGTTTATCTTTAAACTCAAAATTAATTGTGAAACATGAATCAATGTAAGCCTATGTATACACCATCATCGACACCAGCAATTTAAGAGTATATTTACGTTTTGATGCACAATCAAGTAATTGTTTAAAGGGTAATAAAAATATTTTGAGAAACGCTTCTTAAACCCCATGGCTAATGGTATATGCATTTATATCTCAATCTAAAATTTCATTTTTTCAACTTTTACATTGATCAAATGTGAAAGAGATTCGTGGCTTGACTGTATAGTTATAGACTTCCTGACCATCTTACTAGCTGTTGCATTAAAGATTATTAGGCTAACTCCTCCCAAACCTTCATTTCTTTTCATTTTTAGCTAAATCGAGTATGACTCCAGGGGGCAGAAAGTTAGATGATCTAGCCCGTTGTTTGAAGCAGGACCCGCCTCTCCTCGATCAAGTGAAAATAATGAGACAAATGGGGGACCTCTATATGGATGAAGCTATAATCACCGGCGACCAGGAATGTTTTACACATGCAAGTGGACTGTATAATGCAGCCAGGGCCCGGGGAAATATGTGTGATCTTGATACAGTAGACGCAGACATACACATGGAAGAAGAGTCAAATAATGACACTGAAATTGGACTTAGCCAAAAGTTGAAGAACGTGGAAGCCACATTTTTGAAAGAAGTTGTTGGATTGAATGTTGAAATTCCGGATAGCAGTGCATGGTATATTGAAAAGCTAAAAGTAATCAGAGAGAATGCTAAGGATGAGTCCACAAATATCCAGCAGCTGATGAAGGTAGATATTGAGACGGGTGACATGGGCAAAGATCAGGAAAAACGGATTATCGAACGATCCAAAGATTATTACGAACTCATTCATGATAACATGGTGAAGTTTTTTACAGGCTTGTTTGATGATTGTATAAAAGTTCTGGGGCCACCCCCGTGTCAATATGCAATACTTGCCCTTGGTTCGGTGGCACGTAAAGAATCGACTCCTTGGTCTGATCTAGAATGGGCCATTCTCATAGAACCCTTACCCAATCAGGAGCAATGTAAAGAATACTTCAGAGTACTACATCACTATTACCACCTGAAAATCTTAAATATCGGAGAAACGATTCTGCCCTCACTTGGTATTCCGTATCTAAATGATTGGTACAAAGAGCTACAGGGCAAGAGCTCAGAGAGAGGCTACTATGATAACGTTACGCCCCGGGGGATCTGCTTCGACGGTAGAATGCCTTGGGCAAGTAAATTTCCAGCCGGTAAGACTTGAAATTATTACGGGACAATGTTTTAAAATGTTAGTATCGAATTTCGCATTACCCCCTGACCATTTAATATAAGGCCCTCTTGGCGCATGTTTCTCGTGTTTACTTTTGATTCTGTTGTTTATCTTTCAGGACGCAAAGCTACAGAAAGCCACAATGAAGCTCTTGAGTTGATTATGACTCCAGAAGACATGGCAGCTTTACAGCATGACGATCGATCATTAGCTGAGGGCTACCATCTCTCAGACGTCTTACTCTCTGCTACACTCTTGCATGGCAACATCCAGCTTTTGCATGACTATCAAACCAGAGTTTCCCATATCATCACACAACCTTCTAAAGTAGATCCAGCATTCACGGTTGGTCAAGTTCGAGCTTTAGCGTCATTCAAAGGTGATTTAGACACTTTTAATGCGTCGCCTTTCACACCATATTCCCTAAGTCGCCAGCTGCATGCAAAGAAAGATGTCTATAGATTCGCAACAATGACCGTGAATACTTTAAAACTGATGTACGGTTTAGCTGAATCCAGTGGTTTGGAGATCCTTGATACTCTTGTCGCCAATGAGGTGCTGTCCAAAGAAGCTAGAGATGACCTCGCCTTAATGATTTGCATCGCAACAAACCTCCGCCACATCGTGTACTCCAAAAAGAACAGGCAGAGTGATGACATATCATTTATCCAACAGAGTAACACCTCGGACTCCCTAACATTTTCTGTCCGAGACTACAGTGCCATCTATCGCTTTTATTACACTTTACGACCTCTTGTGGATTTTCTGACGATAGATATAGAACGCGTGAAACAGGAAAAATCATCTTTCAGATTCTGGCCGAGATTCTTTGACAACAATGCCATGGTAAAAGGAAACTTGCATCAAAACATGCAATTTCTTGGAAATGCATTAGCTTCTTTTGAGCAAGCAGAGCATGAGCTTGAAGAGCGTTATAATACAGCCACGGCTGGTCTCGAAGACACTCTTAGCATTTGTGATGTGAAATGCAATATTGGAAGATTACTTACCAAGATGGACAAATATGATATGGCATTTCAAAAAGCTAAAGGAGCCCGGGTAATTCTACAAAACTTTGCAAAACGGGAGGTAACTGACATCAAGCTTAGAATATCAGTTGCTGGTGTAAAGATCAGTTCACTTCTGGGATCAATTGCCATGGCAAAGGGCAACAATCAATATGCGATTGATGTTCTAAAACAAACTGTATCTGAATTCGAAAATCCAACCGATATATCGGATGATGTTGATTCCCGTTCACCAAACGAGGATGAAGCGTGCATGAATGCAATGTGTACTGCGTTCAACACGCTTGGCATGGCATACAGGAAAGACCGCGATTATTATCATACGCTTAAATGCTACGAAAAGTCATACCAGATTAGCCGGAAAATGAGTAAAGGGAAAGATGCTGAACAGGTAGCTGCATCATTGAATAATATTGGCAGTTTGTACTATTCCATGAGAGACTGGGACCAGGCCTTTGACTACCAAAATAGATCGTATAATATGTATCTCCGTATCTTCGGCAATGACCATGGCGATACAGCCAAACTTTGCAACAACATGGGGAACACATTGAAGATGCTGAAACAGTATGGAGAAGCTACTGAATATCTCAGCAAGGCGTTAAGAACCAGGAGAACGTTGGCTCAGAATCGTCCCAATTCCAGTGTAGGCAAGACGCTCCGAAATTTAGGAGAGGTGTACTTTGAGTATGGACGTTCAAAACACGAAGATGCCAAAATTTGCTTTGAAGAAGCTTTGGCAATATTCAAAGAAATACACGGCAACGTTGAGCACCCGGATATCATTGCAGCGCAGAAAGCATTGCAACGTCTTTTGTAACTCACAACTTCTAGATCTATAAGGTTAAATCAAATTTGAATGATACCCATATTATATAGATGGGTTAATTTTTAAATCCAATGATCAATCACTCTTCAAACTAGTATCAAAACGGACAAAATTTCGGAAATTCGAAAGTATGATTTTTCTCCTTATTTCACGAATTGTAATTTGTAGGCACAATCTTCACGACATTTTGATCACAAACGTATGCCAGTATCATATGTTTAAGAACATCTACACGTTTGCTAACAAATAGTTCAGATGAAGAAATCATGGATATGATACCTTACTATTATTATGTTAACAAAACCGGATTTTAAGTGCATATTTTAACCGTTTTACCGAAGTTCCGTTTACGTAAGTGAGGTATTGCAGTACATATCGTCTTCTGAACTATTTGTTCGCAGACGTTTAGATACTGACACATATCTGTAACACATGCTCCTGATATAAGGAAAAAAGATAAATCATAACTTCGAGGTTCCGACATTTTGTTACCGAAATGGATCCGTTTTGGTAACTAGTTTGAAGAGTGCAGTACCAGTGATGATGTATACGATCAATTTTATGACTTACCGCATCTATCTTAGATTAACTGAACCACAAAATTTTGAGTTGTTTTAAAATACACATTCACTGGATAAAACACAAGTATGAATATTCTGTCCAGCTAATTACTTTGATATGTTTTTAAAACAGATTTTTTTCTCACTTGCTTTTTTCTTACTTGCTTTTAGATAGTGATTATTATAACTCATATAGTTGTCATATATGTTTATGTGTACCTTACGTACATACTCTATAGGTGCAAATCGAGCTAAAGCAAAGAACAAATCTTTGATATGATAGTCACACTTGAAGTTGTTGAATAATTGTTTTTTATATCTGCAGTTGCATAGTATAGTTGAAACTAGGTTAATTTGATACTGAATGCTCTATGTTGTATGAATAATCTACAACTGTTTTTGATATTATGAGTATTGGATATCAATTTTAAATATTCTCCAACATATTATACAAATATTTCTAATTCTAATTTCTAATTCTATTGAGGTAAATACCTGTGCATCTTTCACAAGTGATATTCCACGAAGCCCACAGGGCTAGTGGAATATCATCCTCCTGAGCAGGTGTCAAGAATCCGTACCTCCTTCTTCGGTAAAACGAAGGAATATATTCTGGATTTTGAAGCCCTGTGATCGGAGGTTGGTGGAATATCATCTTGTGGAAGTGTCACAGGTATTCACCGAAAATAGAATTAAATGTTTGTTTTATTATATCACTGTCATGACATCTTCTATAATTAAATAAGTCATATGTTAAAATTGAAATACATTTATATTTCTTCTAACAATATAACAATAAATACAATACATATCAACTACCAAATTGTATAGTCAATAAATAAAGTGTAGTATTTTAATTTAAGGTTTCATGTTAACATTATAATTAATTGTAACATTGAAAAGGAACAATTGTGTTCATACTCATAGTATTGGCCATGTGGGAAACAGGGTTGGGAATGTTTTTCAAATGTCCATTCATGACGTTGAATATTATACAAATATTTAATTCTATTGAGGTGAATACCTGTGCATCTTTCACAAGTGATATTCCACGAAGCCCGAAGGGCTAGTGGAATATCATCTTGTGAAAGTGTCACAGGTATTCACCGAAAATAGAATTAAATATTTGTTTTATTATATCACTGTCATAACATCTTCTATAATTAAATAAGTCATATGTTAACATTGAAATACATTTTTATTTCTTCTCACAATATAACAATAAATACAATAAATGTCAACTACCAAATTGTATAGTCAATAAATATCAATTCCCAAGTGGTATTTTAATTTAAGATTTCATGTTAGCATTATAATTAATTGTAACATTGCAATGGGTCAATGAAAATGGAACCATTGTGTTCATACTCATGGTATTGGCCATGTGGGACACAAGATTGGGAATGTTTTTCAAATGTCCATTCATGACCGTTGAATATCATTTGATATTCACCGGAAGTCACGTGACTTCCGTTGAATATCGCTAGTTATTTTTTAGACACGTGTAGGACATGGACCAATAAGAGAGTGAGGAATATGACAGTGATATAATAACATTTGATATTCACCGGAAGTCACGTGACTTCCGTTGAATATCGCTAGTTATTTTTTAGTCACGTGTAGGACATGGACCAATAGGAGAGTGAGGAATATGACAATGATATAATAAATTGTAATGACTTCAGTATGAATGAAATGTCCCTTGATGCACTGGCTCAGATTGTTATATTGATACTTGAATTGTTGGTGAAGGAGGTTTTTCTCACGATTGAAGGTTTCCATGTTTTATTCCTGTCAAACTTATAAAGATCAAATTTTCCTCACAACTCCATTAATATGTCCATGACGAATTCCTCTTGAGTTTATTGGAACTAAATCTCCCGAAATATCTTTAAATTAACTGAAAAATTCATTTTTCCAGTGATTTCCAGTGTTTTTCCTCTCAGATTGGCCAGTTTCCATGGTTTATGCCCAAAGCCAAAATTGGCCATGCTGTACATATATACCCAATTTATTTAGAGTGGACCACCGGAATCAATTTGGTATTTTTACTCATATTTTGTAGACTAGACTGCCAATTAATTTAGCTTGAATTTGCCATAATATTCGTAATGTCCATCTTCCAACGAAATACTGTTTAAATGCTGTAATAGCTATTTTCCAAATGCAGTCACTTAATTTTCATCACAAAAAAAGATATTCTAACAGAAGAAGATGTCATGGTTATATTCTCAATGATGATGTTTTCATTGAAGATGATGCTGAATAATTTGCTTTGCGCAAAGTACTTCAGGGTGTTTGACTGAGTAGTCCACAACTCATACAAAAAGGCTGTGGTCTGTGATGTGTACTTGTATGTCTATAAATGAGTGCACATAAAAGAACACAGGTCTCCTTTGAAGATGGGTTTCTGGGTCTATCTTCCAGGCTAATTACGTTAATTACGACCGCATGTATACGGGATATACCCAAGAGGTATTGCTCACCTTCATTGGTGATAAACAAAACACAACAACAACAATGAGGAGGATATTTAAAGAAGATGTTTTACATTAGTAACTCTTTACCTCGTACAAAGACAACCTCTTCGTTCGAAGAGATGGTCTTGGCACGAGATACACACCGGAATAGCCTGACAACGGTAAAGTCAGATACCGTTGTCACAAATGGCGAACATAACTGTCGCTTCAATTCCTCAATCACTTAATTGCTCAATCACTTAATTTCAGTTGTCCCTAGCTAACCATGACGGAAGCACACAAATGTACATGTTCGTTATATTTCAAAAATGTCCTGTGCGACTTCTGATTACATTTTAGCTAAAAGCCTTTTTGTGAACCCCGCCCCCTCCCCCTACAACAAGTGTGAGAAGGTGTGTAGTCAAGTAGAGGGGGCCACAATGTATTGTCGCTAGACTACGGTTTTGTGAGAGGGGTAACAAATACCAATTACACCATATTACAATCTTCAAGCATTTCGTTCAGTGCAAAGAAGACGCAATGACTCGACAAAATTGTTGGAATTTTACGAGAAAGTTAGTTGAGTGACGTCATATGTGTATCTAGCCAACCGATGTTGAAATCTTAAACTTTCTGAAAACACATTGTTCTGTCATTGTTCATGTGATTACGTCATAGTTACGACTTTTTGTTTTTATTCGCTACATGGCAATAATTCTAGAGACAAACATTCGTGATAATAGATTATCAAATCTTGTGGCAATAATAATGAATTCACAAACGGATGGATCTTTCCTTCGCCCGAAGCGTGAAGAAAAGAAACGAATTACCGAAAGGTAAGAACAACTTATAGTTCTCATTGGGATAGACATATCTACACAGCCGGCCTGTCATTTGGTGATCTTGTCTGCGCCGATATTCATATCTTTACTCTATGGTTTTCGCAATGTCGCCATCTTGTAACAGGAATATTGCCTCCATTTTGTGACAATATGAGACATTGATTCCTTCAATCCAATAATGTAAATTACTAGTTCCTTTTACAATTACAATGGTAAATGGCACAAAGGTGGCAATATTTTAGGAATTTCTGAAAATCACTCTTCGTCATTGACATTAAAGCAGATATGAAATGGTATTTTTAACCTAAAGGAATCAATATAATCTTTTGATAAATATATTTGGACATGTTTTCTCATCAGTAGTGCGAAAACTATTTCACTCTTACGATCGTTATAACTACAGATCATGTTCGATTTCTGGAAAATATTCTGGAAACATAATTATGGCAAAACAGCCTTTGCAAAATTTACGGATCCCCGGGTACTGATCTCGTCGCCAATTTCGCATGGCGATGAAGGTGTAAGATTTACTGCTGTTCCAATGATTGTACATCCACGCGGTACTAACTCACCGGGGCATATCGAAACCAAAACGCCCCGCAAAACCGTTAATTTGAATTTCAAATCTACCCTGTCTTTGGAAAATCAATGATTGTGAGTCTCACACTACACCGTTTTTCTTCAAACTTGTTCCATTAAAACCTTCACAGAAATACCTTTCAGTCGGGGCATTGCTTTTGTTTACAAAGTCCCTCGTTTTAGCGGCGTTTTTGGTCCCCAGATGTGAGAAGTTGAAACGCAGCAACCTTGAAAAATCCTACGCAACTGTTCGAAATTGACCAAAACGCCTTGTTGTCTTCCAAAACGCCCCGCAGTCCAGTCAGTATCTAGATAAGGTGTATAGATCCAATGGGGCGTTTTGAAAGAGGACGGGGCGTTTTGATCAATTTCGAACAAATGCGTAGGACTTTTGGAAATTGCTGCATTTAATGTAATAAATATGTTGATGCAGAGATGGAGGGTTGTAATGGGGGTCCTTGTGCAAAATATAGGGGAGAATAATAAAAGAACTGGCAATATATCGAGACTTTTGGTTGAAATCTCTGAAGATTTGCATCTTCTCACATCTGGGGACCAAAACGCCGCTAAAACGAGGGACTTTGTAAACAAAAGCAATGTCTGGTTTTAATGGAACAAGTTTGAAGAAAAACGGTGTACTGTGAGACTCACAATCATTGATTTTCCAAAGAAAGGGTAGGTTTGAAATTCAAATTAACGGTTTTGCGGGGCGTTTTCGATACGCCCCGGTGAGTTAGTACCGCGTGATCTAAGCTTTTGAAGAAATTATGAAATAGACTATCAAATTCAATTGAAATTGAAATTGAAAATTGAATGAAAATGCAAGATCTTGTGTACATTCCTGTTCACATAGTTATGCGGGAGCGGTAACAAATAATAGAAATAATGCACCAGACATACTGAAGCAAATTGTTCTTAGAATTTCTATTCTAATATGATACGTGAACAATTGATTTATTGGTCTATATTGGAGTATGTATGCCCACTAAGATTCATAAATGCAAATATTTGTTTTTCTTGTCTGTTTATCATATTAGAATCGTAACAAAGAACAACATTATTAATTGAGTGACGTCATGTTTGTATCCAATCAACCTGCTTTCCGTGAAAAACATTGTACTCTTATTGCTGTTTATTCAATTACGTCATAGTTCAACTTTGTGTTTGTTTGCAACCTAGCAACATTTCTAAAACGATATTCGAGGAGATCAGATTTCGACAGAATTATCAAATCTTTTGTCAAACCATGGACTTCTAATCATATCAAACATCATGAATTTACTAAGGGATGGATCTTTCCTCCGCTTAAGACGTGAAGAAAAGATACGAATTATCGAAAGGTAAGAACAACATATAATTCTCAATGGAATAAATATATCTAAACAGAGACATATAAAACTGGATCTTGGAGTTCTTGGTCGAAGGATGCTAGGGCCTGAGATCCATTTACATGTTTTATTTGAATTTCAATAAAAAAGGTTTGCAGGGCCGTCAGATGGGGGGGGGTGCGATGGGTGCGACCGCACCCCCCTTTGTTACCCCCAAAATAAATTTGAAAAAAAAAATTAAAAAAATTTTTTTTTTGAAAAATATTTTTTCTTGTAATTTTTTTTCATTGACTCATATACTTTGAAAGTACCCAGAAAGCGCCAAATAGCATCTTAAAAGTGTAAAATTTTCTAGGGGTATTGGCCACCCCTCACACCCCCCACAAAACAATGGAAAAGTTCTAAATTTATTTTAGTGTTTTGTCTCAGACACTTTTAAAGTGCCCAGACATCATCAAATAGCTCCTTGATATAGTTAGTGTTTCTGGGGGACTTGCCCTCTTGCATCTTGGACTTGCCCTCTTGCATCTTGCACAACCTCCCCCCCCCCTCTGGCGCCCCCCCCCCCTTGACCCCCCCCCCCCCCCAAAAAAAAAAATTTAAAAAAATTGTGATTTTCTCAAATTCTTTAATTGACTCATACAATTTGAAAATGCCCAGAAAGCACCAAATAGCGTCGTAAAATTGTAAAATTTCTTAGGGGGAGTGGGCCACCCCTCACTCCCCAAACAAAACAATGAAAAAGTTCTGAATTTGTTTTATGTATTGTCTCGGACACTTTTAAATTGCCCAAACATCATCAAATAGCTCCTTGATAAAGTTAATGATTCTGGAAGACTAACACTTACTCGCCCTCTGGCATCCCCACTCCACCCCCCCCCCCCCCCTCTGGCAGCCCCCCCCCCCCCCTTAACACCCCCCCAAAAAAAAAATAAAAAATTGAGATTTTTCAAATCTTTTTATTGACTCGTACATTTTGAAAGTGCCCAGAAAGCACCAAATAGCATCTTAAAATTGTAACATTTTCTTGGGAAATATGCGCTTTTAGGCACAGACACTTTTAAAGTGCCCAAACTTCATCGAATAGCACCTTGATGTTGTAAATTTTGATATGGGGGACAAACACTTGCTCCCCCTCTGGCACAACAGCCCCACCCCCCCCCCCCCCTCTGGCACCCCTCCCCCCCCCCCCCCCCTTTGACACCCCCAAAATTTGAAAAAAATTGTGATTGTTTTTCAATGTTTTTATTGACTAATACCTTTAAAAGTGCCCAGAAGCACCAAATATCATCTCTAAATTGTAAAATTTTCTAGGAGAGTTAGCCACCCCTCACATCCCCCACAAAACAAAATAAAATATTCTGAATTTCATGTATTGTCTCAGACATTTTTTAAGTGCCCAGACATCATCAAATAGCACCTTGATATGGTCAATGTTTCTGGGGGACAACCCCTTGCTCCCCTACTGGCACCCCACCCCACTTCACCCTCTCATCCTCTTTGACACCCCCAAAAGAATTTGAAAAAAATTCACATTTTTCTTATTGACTCATAACGCACAGGCGTACCAGATGGTTGCAAAGTCGCTCCAAATACAACCAAATTTCAAAATTTTCCCCAGACCCCCCAGAATGTTCGGTTTTTTATTCACTCAACTCTTATTCTTGTGGTGGTGGCGTACTACTTAGAAACTTACACTTTGAAAGTGCCCAGAAAGCACCAAATAGCATCTCAAAACTGTAAAATTTTCTAGGGGGAGTGGACTACTCCTCACACCCCCCACAAAACAATTGGAACGTTTGGAAGTTGCATTTGTTAATTCCAAACCAATATAGGGAGTAACTGACCCCCCCCCCCCCCTCTCTGTCTTACGCGATTTGACGCGGTAAAAAAATTGACAATTTTACATTCTCTTTAGTAAGCTAAAAACCGCACCCCCCTTGGAGAAAAGTGTCTTACGGGCCTGGTTTGTTCAGTCAACCCCATTTAATTGTTTAGAACTTGGCCGGCAATTAAATACCAGGCTCCGTCCCGACTCTGCGGTAAACATACTATGCCTTTACAAAAGTATTTTAGAAAGCATTATGACTTGACATTGCATAGAAAGATGGCAGCAACATCAAACCTAACTTGTCTCCCAGAGGGATAAATCCCAGAGTTCAAAGATGATATATCCTTGATGTAAACCTGTCTCTGATTGGTCAAAATTCAACAAAAAATGGTAGCCTCAAAACTTTCGAAATACGCTTCGAATAATATTATGTTCATTTATGACTTGTTAACGAATATCATAGCGTCTTATTTCACATCAAGATAAAGAAAGGTGTATTGAATATGCCTACATCAATTAAAACATCGCATCGAAGAAGTATTTAGAAACTCGTCGGTGAAAATTCGAACAAACGAAAGTAGTAAGCTTAAGCAAGAGACGCAGTTATGTCTGTTATCTCTAAAACTTTGGTGAGCCCCTCCTCTTTTGTCTCTTTACGAAAGTTAGGCAATACACAACGTTGTGCCCCAACTTACTATATCAGACTTACCATGGACTTCAAATGATTAGTGGGATCGTCATATTTTCAAGACTCAGAGCATGATTTTTACTAAGATATATAAATTGTTTCGCACAATCTGCTTCATCTGGAACAAAATAAATGACCCGATACAATACTTTTGCGCGAGTTTTATTGGAAGCCAAGTCTGATCAAATACGAAGTTATTGAAAACGGCACAAATGTCCCATAATCCGAAGGATGGTTTTCTATGAGATGATCAAAACGTTTTGAAATGTGTTGTATAATTCCAAACATAAAAAATCATTTATACAAGCGATTGTTCCAATATGAAACGAAGTTTGTGATGACACGTCTTGATAACAAAAGCCATTGCATGAGATGGTTTATTTTGCCCGAGAAGAAACATATTTAAAAATTGAATATTAAGAAATTATTGATAATTTCAATGGGATTTTCGTAAATATCATGCTCCGGGGTCCAAAATTATCTTGATAACAAAAGCCATTGCATGAGGTGGTTTATTTTGCCCGAGAAGAACCATATTTAAAAATTGAATATTAAGAAATTATTGACAATTTCCATGGTATTTTTCGTAAATATCAAATTATTCAGGTGTCAAGGCATAGGCTATATGAGTGAAAACGCATTAAAACTGCGTGTCAAAATTGGATATAGTCGGAGCACAATCAGTGTACTTGTAGAGCAAGTCCGACTTTAGTGTTTGTTTGTTTTTCCACGAAAAAAATTGAATGTTACACCTGGACACGTCATTCGTGTTATGCCCTTCTTGTTCTAGTGACGTCATATTAATTTCCCAATCAACCACATTGTTTCCAGAAAATGCATTGTTTAGTAATTCCTCTTCATTATGATTACGTCATAGATACAGTTTTGTTTATATTCGCTTCTTAGCAATATTCATCTGATCTGGGATACGATTTTCCAAGGAGATTTTCACAAAATATCATGTTTCAAGTGAATAGATCGTTTCTTCTCATGCGAAGAGATGAACAGAGACGGATAATTTCAAGGTAATGACAAATTCATGAAATGTTTCTGGTACTGGAAGTGTTAAGCAGCAAATTTTACATTTAAGAATATGGCTTCGATTTTACAATGCTGGATTTCGCAATGTCGCCATATTGTACATGATATATAACCTATGTACATTTTTATAAGGGCAGCTGACAGGATAAAACATTGTACATGCACGTTACGTACTGTATATACTTTACCATGCTATATCATATTTTATCTGTATATATTATTTATATTATATCATATTGTTTCCTTTACTAGCTTACCTTTTTAATTCATTTTCTAATTCAATATAGCAGATATGCAAAAAAATGCAATAGCATTTTTTAACCTGTCAATATTTTTACTTTATTTATTACATTAATGCGCAATTAAATGATGAATGTAATAATATTTTACACATACCATGTAGAAAAGATTTGAACTAGTACAGTATATTGCATTACTATTTTGGGAAAAGAAAACTCATTGAAATATTTGAGAGACGGGTTTATCTTGTCATATAACAAGTGTTAAACCAGCAAAGTGGGGCACCTTGACGACACTGAATTATCTAGTGTTACTCAAGAGGTCCAATCCCAGTGAAATATTTAACTACGTTAGGTTTTAAGAGATTATATTTAAGGATTTAAGCCTTGGACTCGGTGCATGGTCTGCTGAACCATTCCACGAAGATGTTATTTTCAAATCTTTGCATGACCTCGCAGGGGGAATGCAAAGTTTAGGAAACAACATCTGAGTGGAATGAAGCAGCCACAATGCATTGAATATTGGAAAACTCAATTTCAATCTCAATCGCTTAGCAACTGTACACAAATAATGCGTTATTGATATTTCACACACTGTTCATTATGTGAATACTCTGTACGGATTGCCTAGAATTTGGACACACATTGCCTAGCTATGGGTGAATAGATTGTTGATGACGTTTCATTGTGAAAATAAATTCATCTCCTTGCTGCAGGTACGTTGAGTGTTTAGAAGACGCATTCCGGGAATGGCGAAACATCAGCTACGCTACACCCGATCAGGAAAGCTTCATCAGTGTCAACTGGCGTAGATTCAGAAAAAAGACAATTGATGCAAACGATTGTAAGTGAACATTCATCCTAATGAAATGTACCCTCTTCCAAGATTCATCTATACAAAATCGTAGCCCAGTTACATCCATACCGATATGCACCCCCTCCAAGACTGATCTATATACTGACATGCACCCCCTCCAAGACTGATCTATATACTGACATGCACCCCCTCCAAGACTGATCTATATACTGACATGCACCCCCTCCAAGACTGATCTATATACTGACATGCACCCCCTCCAAGACTGATCTATATACTGACATGCACCCCCTCCAAGACTGATCTATATACTGACATGCACCCCCTCCAAGACTGATCTATATACTGACATGCACCCCCTCCAAGACTGATCTATATACTGACATGCACCCCCTCCAAGACTGATCTATATACTGACATGCACCCCCTCCAAGACTGATCTATATACTGACATGCACCCCCTCCAAGACTGATCTATATACTGACATGCACCCCCTCCAAGGTTGATCTATACTGAAAGGCATCCCCTTCCAAGATTCATCTCAACCGAAATGTATTCCCCTTCCAAGATTAATCTAAATGTATTCCATATATTCTATATACCACACATTCTATATTGAAATGTATCCCTCTTTAAAGTTTCATCCATGTCGAAATATATAGTCCACCTTCCAAGATTCATCAATACAGAAACATTTCCCTCTCACAAATTTCATCCATAATGTATAACCTTCCAAGTTTCACGCCTCACAACGTACAGTGACAAGATATACCGTCGTACACTTTAGGTGTACGGTGTCACTATGAACTGATTTGAAGCGAAAACTTTGATGTAGGTTTGATTGTGGTTTTCAAAAATTAATTTGAGGAGTACATAAAATGCCATGATCAGGTTCATTTTTGTATGTATGTTATACCAATTTCGCGCATTTACGAGTAAAATAATGTCAAATGAAAATGGAAGGATATTGACATTTCACACTTTGTCATGATGTCATGCATTGACTAATGTACATTTTTGCCAAATATGAACCTGGTCATGGCATTTATGTGGAATTAAGTAAAAGGAAAAAACCACAGTCGACTTTCTGGTCACCCTGTTCAAAATATTAATTAATATAAATTATTGAATGATTTGAAATGCAATACAAGATATATTCTGCTCCAGAAATGCTGTATTGGAACGAGACGAGGTTGATTGATATGTTCATTTTTGACTTTTCACTTTTTTCTCTCTATCCCAACAACTATTTCATGTGGAGTACCCCAAGGGTCTATCCTAGGACCCCTACTTTTTAACATTTACATAAATGACCTCAGTTTTACTTCTGCTATATTGAAGTTTGTACTTTTTGCAGATGACACCAGTATTTTACATTCAAATGAGTCGAAAGAAGAACTCATATCTGTTGCAAATAATGAACTTAAAAAAGTCAATGACTGGTTCATGGCTAACAAGTTATCGCTTAATATTGAAAAGACTATTTTTTTATTCTTTTCACTTAAAAAAGGAACGTATAGCCCTGCAGAAATCAAGATAACAATTGATGACAAAAATATTACAAGGAATGATAACATTAATTTTCTTGGTGTCCTAATCGATGACGAACTAAATTGGAAACTTCACACTCAAAAACTAAAAGGGAAGATAGCTAAAATTATACACATATTATATACTTCTAAGCATTTACTTGACAAATGTTCGAAAAAATGCTGTTATTCATTCGGGGCTTGATTACTGTAATATAATTTGGGGTAATGCTGATAAAAAAAACTCCTCGAGCCTCTGCATATACTCCCGAAGAAATTTGCCAGGTTAATAAGAAATTCTAGTAAGTTAGCTCATGCCGCCCCTTTATTGAAAGATCTTAGAATCTTAAATATTTATAACATATTCAACTTCAATGTTGCCAACTTTGCATACCAAATTATGAATAAACCTGACAAGTTTCCACATCAACAAGTCTATTCTACAAATGCTGATACACATGACCATGAAACGAGAAATAAAGACCGTCTACGTTTATGTATGTTTAAAAACAAATTTGGTGAAAAGTCAATAAAAGTAGAACTATCAAGAGTATGGAACGGACTACGGAGTAAATGAAAACATCATTATGTCTTCTACTTTATCTTTGTTTAAATCGTCTTTGAAATCACTTCTCCTCTCCACCTACATCTAATATCAAATATCATGTCATGGTTCATTTTGTTCATGTTTCATTGCTAATCTAGTGATCCTTATCATCAAAGAATGTGCTCTTGCTATATATTATACTACAATGTAATATGTAATGTGGTGTAAACTGCACAGTATACGCCCAGCGTCTTGTGCATTCCTTGTTATTCAAATTGTAATAATTATAATATGAAAATAAATATAACATAACATATGCATTAACTAAGCCATACATATAACTAGATACAAAGATTGGAAAATGAGAGATATTACTTGCGATTCTGCTACCATTTTGTATTTCTGATTTTAGTTTTAACTGTTTCTTATTGTAGACCCGGATATTATGGATATAACAACGTACGTTTACCCAATGTTGATGAAAGTATGTAAAACAAGAGAGGAAAAGGATTCATACTCTCTTGAGTATACAAGGGAACTAAGGAGGTGAGTAATCCTTAATTAATGATGCAAATGCACTGAAACGAATCCGTTTCGGTAACAAAATGGCTACGGTTCCGGTTGGAAAGTTCGGTAAGATTGATTTCGTGTGAAATAGTTAGTGGGGTGACAGAATCGTCCATACAATTCCTCAATTGTGTTAAGTAAACGGAACTTCAAAAATTTGCACTTTTACGTAACAACAGTGAGGTATTAAATCGACGATTTTGTTGTCTTCTGAACTATTTCTTCGCAAACATATACATTTGTGATAAAAAAACATGTCATTGGAATTCTGCCTACAACTTGTGAAAAGGGGGAAAAAGGAAAAATCGTTCCAACATTTTGTTACCGTAACGGATCGGTTACAAGATATAGTTTGAAAAGTGAAGTGCCAGTAAAACGGTGGTTACAATTTAAAAACAGACAAACAGATTAATATGAAATAGCCCAGGTGCTAGGCTAATAGCACATATACAATTATATCCTCAAACTTTGATTCAACACTTATAAATAAGCTTATATAAAATATATTAAGTTCTATTTTAGGATATATAGAGAGCTTGGAAGCCAAGTAGGGGGCTATTATGTGATGGGTGAAGGTGTAAGTATAACATTTGATTCTAAATATTTTAGTCCATCTAAATCTGGAATTTCAAATAGAAACATCAGGTAGTATTGAACTAAAACTTAAGGCAAGTGCTTAACTGGTGGCTTAACCTTGTATCTCATCTCATCTTCACATTGAATACCTGAGCCTACCATTGACCTTTTATCTCCTCATTGATATTAAATACAAGCCTACCAGAGCTGAACATTGACCTTCGTCTCCCCATTGAATACCAGATTACCAGTCAACCAGAACTGAACATTGACCTTTCATCTCCTCATTGAATACTAGACTACCAGAGCTGAACATTGACATTTCATCTCCTCATTGAATACCAGATTACCAGAACTGAACATTGACCTTTCATCTCCACATTGAATACTTTCATCTCCACATTGGATACTAGAAGTACCAGAACTGAACATTGACCTTCGTTTCCCCATTGAATACCAGTCAACCAGAACTGAACATTGACCTTGCATCTCCTCATTGAATACCAGAACTACCAGAACTGAACATTGACCTTTCATCTCCTCATTGAATACCAGTCAACCAGAACTGAACATTGACGTTGCATCTCCTCATTGAATACCAGATAGACTACCAGAGCTGAACATTGACCTTGCATCTCCTCATTGAATACCAGAACTGAACATTGACCCTTCATCTCCCCATTGAATACCAGTCAACCAGAACTGAACATTGACCTTTCATCTCCTCATTGAATACCAGACTACCAGAACTGAACATTGACCTTCGTCTCCTCGTTGAATACCAGTCAACCAGAACTGAACATTGACCTTGCATCTCCTCATTGAATACCAGAACTACCAGAGCTGAACATTGACGTTGCATCTCCTCATTGAATACCAGTCAACCAGAACTGAACATTGACCTTTCATCTCCTCATTGAATACCAGATAGACTACCAGAGCTGAAGATTGACCTTGCATCTCCTCATTGAATACCAGAACTGAACATTGACCCTTCATCTCCCCATTGAATACCAGTCAACCAGAACTGAACATTGACCTTTCATGTCCTCATTGAATACCAGACTACCAGAGCTGAACATTGACCTTTCATCTCCCCATTGAATACCAGACTACCAGAGCTGAACATTGACCTTCGTCTCCTCATTGAATACCAGACTACCAGAACTGAACATTGACCTTTCTTCTCCTCATTGAATACCAGACTACCAGAGCTGAACATTGACCTTGCATCTCCTCATTGAATACCAGATTACCAGAACTGAACATTGACCTTTCGTCTCCTCATTGAATACCAGACTACCAGAGCTGAACATTGACCTTTCGTCTCCTCATTGAATACCAGACTACCAGAGCTGAACATTGACCTTTCATTTCCTCATTGAATACAGAACTACCTAAGCTGAATATTGTCCTTTCATCTCCTCATTAAATACCAGACTACCAGAACTGAACATTGACCTTTCATTTCCTCATTGAATACCAGACTACCAGACCTGAACATTGACCTTTCATCTCCCCATTGAATACAGAACTACCTAAGCTGAATATTGTCCTTTCATCTCCTCATTAAATACCAGACTACCAGAGCTGAACATTAACCTTTCATTTTCTTATTGAATACTAGACTACCAGAACTGAACATTGACCTTCGTCTCTTCATTGAATACCAGAACAACCAGAGCTTAGTATTGACCTTGTATCTCTTCATTGAAAACTATGCTAGTATTCTAATTAAAAACCAGACAACCAGAGCTGAATATTGATCTTCATTTCCTCATTGAACACCACATTCCTTGAGCTTATCATTGTCTTGCGTATCCTGCCAATCACAAAAGATATTTGATTCATTAAGTTATTTTTGGTCGGAGTTTTTTTTATAATCACCATTTAAAGTGCCCAGATTTCTACTCGGACTTCTTTTATAATCACTTCTCCTTTTTAACAGCTATGTTTTGATGAGAGGCTTGATCATTTCGACACTGCTGACATGATGCATGCACTAGACTACCCCCGTCCCCGTACTCTCTTTGATGACTATCCAATGAGCAAACAGCATCTTGGCAAGTCGTCTGAAGAATTACATCTTAAAATTACAATCCCGGACGACGTTTATGATTACGTGGAAGGATCATTGAAAGGAAAGTATGAAGAGCTAGAACATGTACAGTTCGAGAAAGAAATTCCTGACTGCTATGAGGACTTAAAGCAACCGTTAACCCATACGCCAAATAATCATTCGCTTGATGAATCAAGTTACAAATGCAGCAAGGAATTTCAAAATGAATTGTTTGGCGGAATAGACTTTGATCGTCTCGATGAGCTTAGACCTGGTACTTATTCTAATTCCAATTGGCATGTCTCAGGTGACATAATCTATGCACCTGTTATACACAAATATGGAAGGTTTACACCTGAGAGAGACATCCCCTATGCTGATAGCATGTCTTCCCAGCAGATGAGAACTGGCAATAACGATGTAATACCCGAGCGGAATCGTGTTATACATGATGACGTTCTCTTAAACGATGTAATGAAAGAATCTTCTTTTAAAAAGAACGTGGAATTAAAAGATGAGACACTGGCACTTCCAAATGAAACAGAAGCCACCTCTCCTAGTACAGCAGTGCTCTATGATTTGTTTTGGAAACAAGAAGAACGAATACAATCTCAATTAGGCGAACTGCAAAATGAATTGAAACATATGACATTAGATATAACGGCGCCATCTCCACCCAAGATTGATGTAACAAATGAATTGGTGCAACTGGCCAAAGATACAGTGATTGAACAGAAAGAATTAAACTACCTCACGATAGATGCATGCCTGGAGATGAAACATAGACACGATGAAGATATTCTGAAGGCAAAAAAGGATTCTCTTGAGGTCAGTAAGAAGATTATGGAGACTGAGAATAAACGACTTGAAAAAATGCGAGAAGAGCTGAGTGAAGAGACTTCAAAGGCCATATCTGATAGAACAGAACTTGAATTTGAAAAGAAGGCGATTGAAATGAAAAAGGTATTACTGGCATCTAGTGATAAGATAAAAAATATGGACCAAGCACAACTAAAGGATGAAAAACTTAAGTTAGAAAAGCTAAAAAGGGAACAACAACAACATGAAGAAGATATTGAAGAAATGAACAAAAGGAGGGAGTTGGAGCTTGAAAAGAAAGCCCGAAAAATCTATGCTCAATTTTTGGAAAAAGAGATGAAATACAAAACGAAGGGCCATGAGATTGGTATGAAAGAAATGGAATTGAAAGTGAGATGCCAAGATATTGATACAGAAGCAAATGAATTGAAAAAGAAATTGCAGGATATGAATGCAATGGAGTTGGAGTTCAATAAGAAAGGTCTTGAAATGAATTCGAAAGAAATGGAATTCAAAAATAAGAACTTGGAGATTGAAGCAAAACAAAGGGACTTGAGAGAACAACAAATGAAATTGAAAAATGATAAACTCGAAATTGAGGAAATGAAGGATCACAGGGTAACAACTGGCGTAAAGTCCATATTGAAGAAAAACACATCTTTTGGAAGTATGATTCCTAATGAGAGCAAAGGTGATTACCTCAAGACATGTGATAACGAAGAAGGTGAAATACTACTAGACGACGATTATGACAATATTTATGAAATTCGTAGAAAACAGAGAGTAGCCTACAACAAAAAGATATTAGATAAAAGAATATTAAAGGAAAAGCATAAAGCCGATGAGGCACGTAAATTAAAGGAAAAGCAGAAAGCTGATGAAGAACGAAAATTAAAAGAAAAGCAGAAAACTGATGAGGAACGCAAATTAAAGGAAAATCAGAAAGCTGATGAGGAACGAAAATTAAAGGAAAAGCAGAAAGCTGATGAGGAACGCAAATTAAAGGAAAAGCAGAAAGCCGATGAGGAACGAAAATTAAAGGAAAAGCAGAAAGCTGATGAGGAACGCAAATTAAAAGAAAAGCAGAAAGCTGATGAGGAACGAAAATTAAAAGAAAAGCAGAAAGCTGAAGAGGAACGCAAATTAAAGGAAAAGCAGAAAGCTGAAGAAGAACGAAAATTAAAGGAAAAGCAGAAAGCCGGTGAGGAATGCAAATTAAAGGAAAAGCAGAATGCTGATGAGGAACGAAAATTAAAGGAAAAGCAGAAAGCTGAAGAGGAATGTAAATTAAAAGAAAAGCAGAAAGCCGATGAGGAACGCAAATTAAAGGAAAAGCAGAAAGCCGATGAGGAACGAAAATTAAAGGAAAAGCAGAAAGCCGATGAGGAACGCAAATTAAAGGAAAAGCAGAAAGCTGAAGAGGAACGCAAATTAAAGGAAAAGCAGAAAGCTGATGAGGAACGAAAATTAAAGGAAAAGCAGAAAGCCGATGAGGAACGAAAATTAAAGGAAAGGCAGAAAGCCGATGAGGAACGCAAATTAAAGGAAAAGCAGAAAGCTGAAGAGGAACGAAAATTAAAGGAAAAGCAGAAAGCCGATGAGGAACGAAAATTAAAGGAAAAGCAGAAAGCCGATGAGGAATGCAAATTAAAGGAAAAGCAGAAAGCTGAAGAGGAACGAAAATTAAAGGAAAAGCAGAAAGCCGATGAGGAACGAAAATTAAAGGAAAAGCAGAAAGCCGATGAGGAACGCAAATTAAAGGAAAAGCAGAAAGCTGAAGAGGAACGCAAATTAAAAGAAAAGCAGAAAGCTGATGAGGAACGAAAATTAAAAGAAAAGCAGAAAGCTGAAGAGGAACACAAATTAAAGGAAAAGCAGAAAGCCGATGCGGAACGCAAATTAAAGGAAATTCAGAAAGCCGATGAGGAACGCAAATTAAAGGAAAGTCAGAAAGCCGATAAAGAACGAAAATTAAAGGAAAAGCAGAAAGCCGATGAGGAACGCAAATTAAAGGAAAGTCAGAAAGCCGATGAAGAACGAAAATTAAAGGAAAAGCTGAAAGCCGATGAGGAACGCAAATTAAAGGAAAGTCAGAAAGCCGAAGAGGAACGAAAATTAAAGGAAAAGAAAAAAGTTGATGAGGAACGAAAATTAGAGGAAAATCAGAAAGCTGATGAGGAACGCACATTTAAGGAAAAGCAGAAAGCCGATGAGGAACGAAAATTAAAGGAAAAGCAGAAAGCTGATGAGGAACGCACATTGAAGGAAAAGCAGAAAGCTGATGAGGAACGCAAATTAAAGGAAAAGCAGAAAGCTGATGAGGAACGCACATTAAAGGAAAAGCAGAAAGCTGAAGAGGAACGAAAATTAAAGGAAAAGCAGAAAGCCGATGAGGAATGCAAATTAAAGGAAAAGCAGAAAGCTGAAGAGGAACGAAAATTAAAGGAAAAGCAGAATGCTGAAGAGGAACGAAAATTGAAAGAAAAGCAGAAAGCCGATGAGGAACGAAAGTTAGAGGAAACGCAGAAAGCTGAAGAGGAACGCAAATTAAAAGAAAAACAGAAAGCCAATGAGGAACGCAAATTAAAGGAAAAGCAGAAAGCCGATGAGGAATGCAAATTAAAGGAAAAGCAGAAAGCTGAAGAGGAACAGAAATTAAAAGAAAAGCAGAATACCGAGGAAGAGCAAAATCTTATGAAAAAGCAGAAAGGTGAAGAGGTTCAGAAAGTTAAAGAAATTCAACAAGAAAAGAAAAACCCTGAAGAAAGAGTTAAAAAAGAAGAGACTGAGAAACTTGCAACAGAGAAAGAAAAGGCAGAGATAGAAAACAGAAAATTAGAGGAACACCGACGAAAATGTGAAGTTGAGTCAAGAAAAAAACGTGAGCAAGATAGGCAGAAACGTTTGGATGAATTAAAACAAACATTATTGGAGAAAGAGAAGGAAAAACAGGAAGGAACGGAAGAGTTGAAGAAACAACAACAAGAAGTAAAACAAAAGAGACTGGCTGAAGAAGCTGATATCAAAAAGAAGGAAGAAGAAGAACGCCGTGTAAGAGGTAGAGAACTTGCACTTGAGGTTGAGAGAATGCGTAATGCAAACAAGCAGCGGCAAGAAGAAAAGAAACAACAAGCTGAGAAAGAAAAGAAAGAAATTGAAAAGAAGAGACGAGAAAAACAAAGAAGAAAAAATCAAGAAGTAGAAGATGAAGAAGAAAGACGACAACTGGCTTTGAGGGAGGAAATGAGGAGAGCAGATAAAGAAAGAGAGAGACAAGTTCAACTGAGAAAACAAGAGGAAAAGCGAATTCAAGACAAGAAGCTTGAAGAAGAGCAAAAGAAGAAACTAAAAGAGTTAGAAAGAGAAAGGGCATTGGAAATGCAAGAGGTTGAACCAATGAAAGAAGGAAATAAAAGAGCTAGGGAAAGTGAGGAAGAAAAACTAGATGAAGAAATTGCAGAGTTTACCAAACAAGGAAAAATAAAAAAAGTTAGAACCAAACCACGGCCTTTGAAATTCTTTTCCAACGTAGATGATCCTATTGAAAACAACCCTGCTTTTAAAGATGTTTTACGTAAACCTGTTTTTGTACAAGGACCACTGATTAGCCTCACAGAAGATTCCGATTCTAACGATAGTGTGTCTGGTCTTCCATCTAAAGGCAAAAACACGACGATAACTCCTATGTCTGCAGCAGATTTAACGCCAACTTTGATTGAGGAAAAGAACAAAAAAAACAAATCCCCCGTGGAATGCGGTGACAAGAGCCATCAAGACAGCTCATCTTTAGATAGTAATGCGTTACATAAGAAAAACAATACAATGATGCAGCAACGCGCCAGTGATGAAGGTATTCAACCAAATATGTCTACATATAGTAATGTCAAGCCCACCGAATTCGATCGATCACAGACGTCTCCACAAACATCAAGTAGATCATACAATGATGATGATGACCTTCATTTCGATTCGGAAGAATCACAAGAAATCATTGAATATCCTTTCGACGTTGTTTTTAGTCCTAAAACTCAACAGAAGGAAATCAATAGAATGAGGACACTATATTTGTCTGAGGAATTCCAAGAACAATCTCCACGTGAAAGACGGGAATAACCGGCTACGACAAGGCAATCATATAAATGTTATATGGCATTTTGAGAAACTGGGATGTTCCTAACTTTGAATTGATATAATGACACATGTATATCGAATTGGATCAAGTGTACGTTTTGCTCTAAATATATGATTTTAGTACATGTCTTAAATAATAGACAATTGGGCCAAATGATGATTCGGTCAAATGATAGACAACTGGGTCAAACGGTGATTCGGTCAAATGATAAACAAATGGGTCAATTGGTGATTCAGTCAATGATTAACAACTGGGTCAATTGGTGATTCAGTAAAATGATAGACAACTTGGTCAATTGGTGATTCAGTCAAACGATAGACAACTTGATCAATTGGTGATTCAGTCAAACGATAGACAACTTGATCAATTGGTGATTCAGTAAAATGATACACAAATGGGTCAAACGGTGATTCAGTCAATGATTAACAACTGTGTCAATTCGGGATTCGGTCAAATGATAAACAAATGGGTCAATTGGTGATTCAGTCAATGATTAACAACTGGGTCAATTCGGGATTCGGTCAATGATAAACAACTGGGTCAATTGGGGATTCGGTCAATGATAAACAACTGGGTCAATGGGTGATTCAGTCAATGATTAACAACTGGGTCAATTGGTGATTCAGTAAAATGATAGATAACTGAGTCAATTCGGGATTCGGTCAATGATAAACAACTGGGTCAATTGGGGATTCGGTCAAAGATAAACAACTGGGTCAATTGGTGATTCAGTCAATGATTAACAACTGGGTCAATTGGTGATTCAGTCAATGATAGACAACTGGGTCAATTGGTGATTCAGTCAATGATTAACAACTGGGTCAATTGGTGATTCAGTCAATGATTAACAACTGGATCAATTGGTGATTCAGTCAATGATAGACAACTGGGTCAATTGGTGATTCAGTCAATGATAGACAATTGGGTCAATTCGGGATTCCGTAAAATCAAAGACAACTGGGTCAATTGGTGATTCAATAAAATCAAAGACAACTGGGTCAATTGGTGATTCAGTCAATAAGATCTTGTCAATAACTGTTATTGACAATTGTAAATACTTGTAAATATTGTAAATAATTGTAAATATTTTGAATAATTGTTAATATTGTAAATACTTGTAAATATTGTTAATATATATGAAAGCAAAATAACTCGATTTTTGTGTGCATTTATACATCCTACAATAGGTTTAGTAGATATCAAAAATCATGTTATAATTTAACACATTTAAAACTACATTCATTAAAACATATTTTCAGTTCAAGAATCATCCATATATCCTCCTTGATCCAAGCTAGTTATTCTAAATATTGGTTCAAATTAGGTTTCCACAATTTATCAAAGTTCTTGGTTGCTTGGTGGGCGTGGCACATACTTTTTGCGTTGTTCCCCAGTTTTAATACATCGATTCATTACGCCCTCTATGCAATTATCCATAAAGTCATCGCATTGACCTCTTGTCGTACACCAACTCCAGACACTTACTGGCATTATCCATGTTAACACATTCCGTATACCCTTGTGGAAGTTCTCATTCTTCAGGCAATAGAACAATGGATTCATAGAAGCATTCACATACGCGACGCACATTGAGAATAGGTAAAATTGTGAGCTCAGTGTGAACCGTTCAGTTACTTCATCGTGTAGTATGAGAAGCAAGCATGCGAACACCGGCGCCCAAAGAAGAATAAATGGTACCACGACATAAAGCAATCGGCGAATGACTTTAAAATCCCTCTGATTCCTTGTGCTATGTAAGTTACCGACACCTGGTTTACCCCTTGACGCTGCAAGATCTGTTGTTGCACTTGTGTCCAGTGCTGTACTAAGACTAGCTAAACTAGGATTAGAAGACATTTTGTTACGCGATCTCCAAAGTGTACGGAAGATTCGAAAATAGTTAAACGATATTAAAAACGCGGGTAAACAGAATCCAAGCAATACAACAGGTATCATAAAAATGTATGATAGATTCACTGTTACCTTAGGCAACACTTGGGTACATATCTTCACTGTTTGTTCATTCAATGGAAATTCTTCAACGTAGAAATATAATCCACTGGGAAAGAATACGACGATGCAAACAATCCAGATAACGATGATGTAGATGACCGCCCGATCTGTGCTCCATTGCTTCTCGTGGTACATTACAACATTCTTATAGCGATCGAAACTGATTAAAACCACGGTGAATATCGACGAAACTCCACAGACATATTCAACGTAATGGACCAAACCACAGACGAAGTCGCCGAAAACCCAACTCTCCTTAACTCTAGTGATGGCGATGAGAGGAATCCAAAGCGTGAAGAGGTTCCCCGCAATGGCAAGATTCGCAATAAAGATATTTGTCGTTGTTCTAAGCGGTTTATTTCGGACCACCGTCAACAAAGTCAGCATATTCCCTAACTGAGCCGATGTGAATATTAGGAACAGGAAAAATGTCTCCACTGCCTTGATGGTCATAGAAGACCTTTGAAATTCACTATAGTATGCAAAATAATGACGATATCCCCATCCTTGTATATTATCCACCTTGTAGAAATACGACCGGTTGACCAAATCCATAAGTCTTTCTATACGAAATTGACTGTCGGTTCCAGATCGAAAATACTCTAACTTGCACAACTTTTGAAATAAAACGATACTGTATCACGCTTTCGCTGAATATACATACTTATCTGGTAATTGTTGAAGCTAATGCAACCAGCAAGATTCAAGTGCCTCGATAAGACAATGTACATCAACGTACTTACCTGATAACGAACACTTTACTTCACCAATGAGGTGCTTGTTCAACTCCCTAGCATTTGAAGATTTCAGGAATAAATCGTAAGCTTTATCTTTGATAAATGAGTGAATGGAAGCGAAATGACATGGCATTTACAATTTATAGTTAATGTTACCACATTTATTCACATTAACACTACACAGCAAATCAAAATACCTCCAATTACATGCAGCAGATTCTTTATTTATTGAGGTACTCACAAAAAATGAAACCATGTCTGCCTATTATGTTCTAACAAGTTACAATACTGATTCACTTGAATAACTAGTAAACACCAGAGCCTCAACCACCTTGCTCCAGAAATGCTTGTTAATCAAGCTCAAGTGTGTTTACCAAACACAGGGGGTAGAAACTCCTCCAGTATTTTCGTCCGGTACAAACCGAGAAATACGCAGACCTCCATTTTTGATTGGGGTGTGATTTTACTCGGTAGCCTGTGATCGTTTTACAGTGTTTCCTAGAAACAGGCTCATCTAGATTTTTTTAATGTGGGGTTAAACACGGAAATACTTTCCCAGGAAATACACGAATCGAGTCATATTTCTTTTTATTTACCATTTTCATTGACAAAATATGCAATTTTCTTGTGTATGGAATAAGAATAAGCTTACAGCTTCCAGTCGGCAAATTTTAGCTTTGAAATGATCGAAAATAGAAAAATGACGAAAAAAGAAACACCGGACGGAATAAAAATGTACAATGCCATCAGGTATTTCTTACCTCCAGTACATTTTTTATTTCGTCCAGTATTTCTAAAAAAAATTCAAAAATTTGCAAATTAGAGACTGTATAATGAGTTCATACACAAGAAAATTGCATATTTTGTCGATAAAATGGTAAATAAAAAGAAACATAGTTCTCGATTCGTGAATTTCCATGAAAAAATCAAAATAGTTGTGCTTAACCCCACATTACAGAAAAACTAGATGGATAGCTGTCATTTTATAAGAATTGGATGTTCCCCAATCTACTGGGAATGATGAGCTTGTTTTTAGGTAAGGACACGCTGTAAAACGATCACAGGCTATCGAGTTAAATTACACCTACCTCTCTCTGGATCAAAAATGAACAGGCTGCGTCCAGTATTTCCAGTTGTACCAGACGAAAATACTGGACGCGTTGCTATCCCCTGAAACTCGGAAATATGTTTATAACATATTTACGTTTTCTTAGTATCAGCTGTTCTGGGTTTATAGCAGAATAATTTATTTCATCGCCTCTTTTAATTCACTGCATGAGATTAACTAAGTGTTCCACTGTCAATTTGGACTAATCACTTAGTCAGTTTTTATTCCAATTAATGACCCTCAAAAAATAAAACACCAAATTAGGACTTTTCAGAGAGAAATTAGTAGAACAAACATATTAGCACCTACATATTATTCTTCGCATTCTTGGATAATTGATAGAAACCAATTTATGAATCCCCGTGGCGTCTAAAGAAAGCTCCACTAACTCAAGTAAATGACATATGCCGTTTGAAAAGCTCTGTTATTAAACATGGAGTTGTCTTGCTAAAACCACTCAAAGTAAAACACAATGAAAACGCAATCTACTTCCAAATGTGCACGTATAACTGGCTTAATAGATGTATCAACTCTGTGACAATGGGTCGACAATGAAGAACAAGACGCTCGCCCCGGGAAGGGCACTTACGGGGAGGGACGCTCGATAGTTCCCGTTGTGGTCTCCCACCTGTCAATTTGCCCTTTCACTGAAAAGTGAAAATTTCCAAGCCGTTTCTGTAGCAAATATCAATGGTCAAATATTTTCAATGGTTTCCATAGTGAAGCTCTGCTGTCAATCAAATTCAGAGTACAACTTTGTGACACATGCCCATTGAAGTAAGTGTAAAGTATAAAGGCTAACTGTTCTTTTATAAAAAATGGCTAATTTGTTAAATATTACCTTCTCTGGCATTACAACAAAACAGTTATACTCCAAGTTCCTCCCTCCACTTACAATACCGATGCTAAAATATGCTCTAACAATTAATCACCTAATGAAAGGTCGCATGATAGCTTCTTTTCTGCTGTTATAATTACAACTGTGCTATAATTTTCTAATTGTTTAAATGCTGTGAACGCAACCAGGTGTCCTACACGCGAGCGTACTAAGAAAAGAGCAAATATCTCCTTCATGTTTAATTAGACTGAAAACATTACTTTCGTGGAAATTATATTATATTTTATTTATACCCTAATTATCAAACGTGTTTCTAATTGATGTCAACGTGTACATATTCAGACAGGTGATTGTATCCAAAATAAGCCAATCCATACAATCAACAAAAATGGAAACGGCTACTTGATATTGAAGATGTGTATTTTTTATCAACTCGTGAGGCTCATTATCCAGGTGACCTTCGATCTTCTTTAAATCAAGTGCTTTAGAACTCCCACTTACAGGTTCACAGCCTCAAGGGTTTACGTTCTATTAGACACTATCAATGCTATATTTTCACTTTTTATCAAAATGTTGTTACATTGAACGTCCCGTGTCGTCTGCGTGCTTTCAAAGGCAGACGACATATTTGCCAACAACCTCGGGCGAAAATCACTACATGAATTGGTCATTTCTTCTACAGTCTACCTTTGATTGTATTCAAATATAATTGTCAAATAATTTATTGAAAACGATTTAAACAAAGTGAATAAATTAAAAATGGAGATCAGATTTCTGGATAGCAAGAAATCTGGAACCGAATATGCTTTGGTTCATTGATTCTATAATAGAAACCGCGACTCTTGCAATGAAGAAGAATATTGGAGAAAATCTCAAAAAATAATTCAAAATACTAAATGCCTTAAGAGTAGAAATTCGTCAACACAATTTTATGCTTTTTTGAAAATATAAATTGGAAGGAATATTTATAAATGCTGATATTTAAAAAAACACTATCGAAATATTAATGAATGCTACCAAATTCATAATTTAAGTCACAATCATTTGGAACGTATGATTCTTTATCTGCATTTTTCAAAAAAAACATTTTGATAGTCCCTAGCTCATTCGCATCAAATATATCTTATTTACATCCATTTTTTCTCGAATGTGGAGTTTCAAAGACTTCATGAGTTTTTAATAAATTTTTAATTTCAGACTTTCTTCATTTTATGAAATGTCATCAAGATGTTGCCTGACCCCGATGTATTTTCTTGAACAATGTAGGTGCATTATAGATTAAAATAAAAATTTCAAATATCACTAGAATTGATAAGAAAGAAATGATATTGCAGCTTGTTCACAAAAAATATTACTCCATTGCTAAACCCAAAATTTAGTTATACTAAATACTCTGAATGATATATACTGCTAAAGAAATCGTTGAATTTGAGGATTAAATTTTATCTGAGTATGCTTTTATAATTACCTCACAGAATTGTTGAGCGGTGACACGACAGTAAATTGGACGTCCCTGCTGGACGTTTGTTTGATGCACTGTCGACGCTTTGTGACAGCACTTTCTAGTTTGAAGAGTCAAAATACTTAATGGGGCCACTGGGAAGACAGACTGACACTTATACTATGAACGCTTTCACACAAAACCAAAACTCGGAAATATAAATTCTGAAAGTTTTCTGTACCATCAATTCAACTTGGCGACAAATATACTACATGTGTATTATAAACGATATGAAAGTTTGAATTGAAATCAGCCAAATATAACGTTAGCATGTTACTTTCGAAAAATAGGCTAGTATGTGATTTTGGCATGTCAGTTTTCTATCTTGAAAGTAATTAACTATTATTACTACTCTTCACAAGTTTGTAAATTTTTATTTGAAAAGACGGATTGCATGATCTACTTGCAAATAAAATTAGTATCCATCGATATGATTGATACAGCATTTTTTCAAATATACCTTAACTTAACAGAATATGAGGCCATAAAATACACAACCAGCAAGCAGGTAAAAAAGTATTATTTATAATATACAAGTCTTAAAGTAAAAAGGTAGGCTGGTCTAGACTCCAATCTGATTTGGTAGCCTCAAGTTGATTGGCACCCTGTCAACCAACCTCGTCTTTGGAACCATTCACAATTCAATCGTATAGCTTGTATTTCAATTATCACTTAACAGTCTCACGATCCTTTGGTCATTCATTCAATGACAAAAAATATATTTCAATAATTTTTGAAAATCAGTTTTACTCAAATTTGATGCGGTTTATATTGTTATCGTAATCTAAAGAACTTTCACGACTATAAATGGAATTTTTAATTTCTGTTCCCATCACATGAAGCAATGCCATGATCTAAGTTTCTTCAATTATCCAATCAGGAACAGCTATGGGAAAGTTTGCAGCGCATATAATTTGAACAAAGTAAATTGCTATTAATGTATTAATGGTGTTTAGTTGTTTTTCTCTCTTAATTGGACCCTCAGCAGACCATCACGACAGACCATCAGACGGGAAGCAAGATAACTTTATAATGAAAGAGTGATTATTTTAGTGTTATTTTCAGACAAAGTAAATTACTAAACGGAGTCAAAATTTCACTGTGACAGAAAATTTTAACGAGTTTTCGCACGTCATTGCAGCTATAAAACCAAAATGAAAAATTAGTAGAGTACAAATACGCAACTGTATAAGGTATCAACTCCGTCGTTTGAAATTGAAATACATGTTAAAGCATAAAACTGATATTTTACAATAATACAGTGTTTACGAGAAAAGAAGATAGATAAAACAAAACTTCACAAATCCAACGCAAGCTATGATCGAAGATAGGGAAATGACCGAACCAGAACGGCGTCGTCGTGTATACCGCAGTGAAGAACAAGATAACGAAGATACAATTGTGGGCCAAAAAGATGACATAATAGATAACGAAGAGAAGCAACATCTTTATCCAGATTATTGTAAGACAATCACAATAAGAGGTAAGTAATTTATATAAATGATAACTTGAATATAAAAAATCATTTATACTAGTATTTTTTGTAATTCAGGACGACGTAGATGCTGATATAAATAAAATAAGAATAATAATTTATTTCCACCGACCACTGGTAACCTGACTTTCTCTTATTCTAATGACGTTAACAGTACACGCTAAATATTATATTTACATTTGTTTAACCAACCATAATCTGAAGAGGCAAAAATTAAGACTAAAATTCTGTATTAATTATATAATAAATATATAAATAAATAAATTATTAGTAAATCATTATCATAATATTATCATTGTCCAAATACATTATTCAACTCCTATACCATGATGCTATTATCAATCATTAATTGATATCGAAAAATACCTCCTCAAAAATTCACCTGATCGTCCTTGTAGTTTATTAATTCTCTGGCGTTTTTTTATTCAATTAACATGCTCGCAATGTTCAACAGTAAAAATGCAAAAGTTGTTCAATCCAAATTAAAGTAATTGAATATTAATTGTAATGTAAATTATAATCAATAAAACTATGCAAATTATTACTTTTTATTTAGATCAAGATGTAATATCGTATAATCCTCGAGGTTAGTTAATGGTGACACAACTGAAAATCCTTCAAAGTCATGGGATAAAACGCTTATTTCCTTGAGGGAATTTCAATACGAGTTTTACACCTCTGTCAAAATGATTCTCTCTCTGTCTCTCGGTAAATATCGGTATAAGCCCAAATATAGTCAATCCCTCTAAGTAAAATAACATTGATATATAATATGTTATGGGTACATCAAAGAAGCTCCAAGAGATTCAATTTCTCTTTTTACACTGATATGTTTTAAAGTAAAATGCGATAAATAAATGCCAAAAATATCACATTAAAAAATCTCAAAGATGCTAATACTTAATAGAGCTCGAATTGCTGCTTTAAATATACCTAATCATACTTTTGAACCAGTGATTTCCTGAATTAAGATGATACCTAATACCAATAATGTATTTCTTAACTTCATTGCCTTATTCGACATATTTCTTCCGCGAATATCGTTTTATTTACATTGGATTAAGATATATCAATAAATCGAAATAAAACTATAAAAACGAAACATGATAATATAGTAGTGGAGGAGAATAGTCATTTAAAAAATTAAAATAATTAGCGGGTAATTAATTCAAAAAAGAAGTCCACCATTTTAAATATATAAACTAAAGGACTGGAACATATATTATTTAACATTAAAAATATTCGTCGGAGTGAACGTGGTCTATTTAAAGTAATAATTTAAAGTGATGTCATAAATTAGAAAAATGTTTCCATTCGTGGATATCGTCTATGGCTGAGCTCCGGCTAAGCTATTGTACATGTACACTCCCCTCCATAAGTTTGGCAACCTTTTTTCCCCATTGAACTACGTGTTAAAGCCTCCTTACCTTTGAATTTTTATTTACTTAACCGGCGATGAAATAACTTATAGTATTGATGGAAACGTAACTTGACCTTATTTCCAATACCTGCAAATTTTTTCAATTTTTTTCCTCAATTACAATAGGTCAAAAATTGATGATAAATTTGATGAATTTTTGAAAATCGTCATTCCCATGTAATCCAATGGGAAATGGAGGGTTCGGGGCAAATCAGAAATCAGGATATCTTTTCAGTAAAAGATTCAGCAAAAAATATTTTCATATAGAAAATTGAATTGTCTTACTTTTTAAAACACTAAGTGTTTAGTTTATTTGATGAATATAAAAGTTACAGTGCTTCAAAGTCATTTTTGAAAATAATTTTTCGCCTCCTGTGTTATTTCAATGGGAGAGTTTTTTTGAAAAACAACTTTGACTTTAAAGCTCTATAACTTTGTTGAACCTGAAGAAACATATCAATTTTTTGTTAAATAAAGTTAGCAAATTCAATTGCCTGCCTAACTCGTATTTTTTGCAAGGACTCAGATGGATGGATATTCTGTCATATGACTTGCGGCAAACCTACCATTTCCCATTGGTTAACATGGGAATGTCGATTTTCAAAAATTCATCAAATTTATCATCAATTTTCGACCTATTGTAATTGAGAAAAAAATTGAGAAAATTTGGAGGTATTGGAATTAAAGTCAAATTACGTTTCCATCAATAGTATAAGTATTTTCATCGCAGGTTAAGTAAATAAAAATTCAAAGGTAAAGAGGCTTTAACACGTAGTTCAATGATGAAAAAAGGTTGCCAAACTTATGGAGGGGAGTGTATCTATCTATCTCGCTGGTGAAATGCATGTACAGTATTGCCTCAAAACGGACATAATAGTTTTGTTGTTAACTTGAAAATCCTAGTATATCTTGATAAATCTGATTTGAGAGAGTTATAACACCTTGTAATAACAGCTTTAACTTTCTCATAATTTAATCATTTCAGTGTCTGATAATTAGTATTTGCGTGACCACTAACTGACCATTACTGAGGACTCCAAACATGTATATTCACCAATTACTGTCAAATCAAACGAAATACAAGAAAGTGACCAAATGAATAATACGAACGGTGGATAACTGATGAGAAAATGCCATGTTACCTTAAAAGGAATTAATACTACAGTAGTAACAACAACAAATTACATGCATTTAAATCATTCACGTAATGGACGAATTTACCTTGTACCCACATGACTTCTTTCGAGTTTTAGTGACTTACATGAAAGTTTACTTTATACATCGCGAAAATAGTTATATATGAATTTAAGAACGGACTAAGAGCTCGTCAAACTTCATTATCCAAAGAATAAGTTATTTTTCATACTAACTTCAGAACTATATACGGCGTACATCCAGAAGTAACATGGCGCCAAGAGATTTTCAATTTCTTAAATTTAAATTTCATATCTCTAGTCTGTTCAGCAATAATATTAATGAAATGTCTAGGCTATGACCTTATAATATGAAATATATACTATTCAGAAATGTTGTACACAAGTAAAAAGTTGTCTTTAAATTTTTTAGGAGTGTATATTATTGTTATTAGTAGTAATGGGTGACACTCAGATATAATGTATACTGTGTCTCATAAGTCGGCACCGGCTGGTAATGTTACAAAATGTTGTTTTTATTATGTATTTTGCATGTATATTGTAATATCAGAGACACAAAAATAAACCATTTTAAACTTTTTAAAAACTTTAAGTATACGAGGGTTGTCCCATAAGTCTTGAAATTTTTATTCTGATTCATAGAATATTTGAAATACAATGGTAAAAATTTCACATTTTGTAACTTAGATATATTTCTACTATCTCTGTAAGTTTCATAGCATAATACGATCATTTGGCAATGTTACAGATGATTTAAAATGGAATGTTGGGGGTACCCGGGGCAGAAAACAGGATAAAAAAATACAAATATGACGTAAAAATTAAGGATTTGCGAACCCCTGGCTCAGCTTAACACGTTGCCTTTTCTGCTCCTCTGTCAGAATATGTTGAACGAATCTAGGGGCTACCTTTGACATCCCAAGGTCTTTCTTCATCACTCTGTGAGAAGTACTCTCACTAATATCAAAGTCTATGGCAATCTTCCTACAAGTAGTTCTCCTTTCAGCCCTTATTCTCTGCAATATGTGATTTGAGATCGTCACTGGATTTTGGCCTTCCACTTCTAGGAGCATCTTCCAGGCTGGTATCTCCAGTTTTTAACTTCTTCTGCCACCTCCATATTGTAGGTGCACTTGGAGTTCACTGTCTATATACTTTTTCATGGCTGTTCTTGTTTGTGTAGGTGTATGCCCTAAGGAGGCGTGGTATTGCACAACTGCACGCAAAGATTTAACATCTGGTGACAAAATCCCTGCCATTTTGATTTTCAAAATGCTGTGGCTCTGTACCAAAATTGAGCAATTGTGCTAATTTATTATGACATCACAGAGGTATTTCATAAGATTTTACCAAGAATACAGTGTTTTTGTCAATCTAGACAGGTGATTCACAATTTAAGATGTATACCATCCTTTAAAATCCTTAATACTCCCATGGCTCCACTTTACATTTTTACTATATTTCATTACTGCCCCACCCCGTGACTCCTCCAGTTACCATAGCAACCATAATAGTTACTCAAGTTCATAATTTTGTTACAAAACTATCCCATGTTGAAGGTAATTGATTGATCTTGATACATACCAAGTTTCAGCCAAATTCATTAAAATCTTTTTGAATTAGAATAAAAATTTCAAGACTTATGGGACAACCCTCGTATTATCCCCTCAAGTATATAATCCCCAATACCAGGACTACTGTCTGACTTACATAAATACAGTTTTATTCTAAGAATAATAGTGGAATGAAATAAATTACCTGGAAACATTTAAGATCTACACATGGCAGCATCTAAACAATCTGTGTCATTTTGAAATGTGTAATTAATTGCAGGTCAGTTCATGTACATAAGGGCAATGATTTTTATCTCTAGCTCAAGTCAGCTCAATGCATTTTTACATGAACTATTTTATTTATAGGAAATAAAATATTAATATTTTAAATATACTTCGGTGTTGTGTATTTGAAGGATGTATATTCGTATATTTTATGTTTTATGGATGTATATTCGTATATTTTAGAATTTACCAATTAACTCCTTTTTTCTAAATAAACCGCAAATGAATTCAGCCTTTTAAAAACTATTTTCGTCCGCATTCTATAATGCCTTTCCAAATAAAAAGACTATTATGACAGGCATATGTTATCCTCATGAATATGATGTTTGTTTCCAGAAGCTAATGGTAACTTGAAAGAGCTAGTGTTTCCAAAAGCATTAGACCTTGACAGACCAAAAAGGGCACGGACGACATTTTCTGCGGAACAGCTATATCGCCTGGAGAAGGAATTTCACGCCAATCAATATCTCGTCGGTAGAGAAAGGACACAACTTGCTCAAAAATTAAAACTTTCCGAAACTCAGGTAATTTTCAAAAATATCTATTGTAAGCAATTTTAAAATCAAACTTATGATAATATTATAACTTTCGGAAACTCAGTTAAATTAGATATTACAATTTTTCTAAAAACATTCTTCGCAAGTGAAATCAGACCGATTTATTGGTATTATTATCAAATAATTTACAATATTTACATATTCAATTAGACCATGTGTGATAGATAAAGTTTATAGGGAACTGATGAGTATTTTTGTCAAAAAAGAAAACATTTGCAAATGAAAAATAACTATCAACGACTCCGGCATTGCATTTATGAATACATGTCATTACATTAGCTGTCGCCATTTCAGGTTAAAGTTTGGTTCCAAAACAGGCGCACTAAATACAAACGTGACAAATGTAAAGAACCTGACGAGTCATCCAAATCTGCAGAAAGTATGAACAACTGCAATTTAATGAACATACTTTCATCCCCAGTTCATTCAAAGAGTGAACCTCCGGAGATCTCATCTGGCACACATACAGGACTTTTGCAACCGGGATTTCCAGTCCTCCATCCAGGGCTTTCTGCCCCGTCTCCCCAAGGTAGATTTGGTGTTCCGTTCACATCCACTAGTAATAACACTGTAGCACCCGTTTCCAGTAACGGAGTATTCACATCTTTTTCGATGGACATGAATCTGAGGCCTATGGGGCATTTCCCCCCACCGGTGTTTAGTTTTGGCAATTTAGCAATTCCTCGTGTTTAGAACTAAGATATATATAATCAGAGACACATAAAATGTTTTATATGTCTCTGATATAGTCATTGTACAAGAAACGGACTTTTACAATGTGTTGTCCTTTTATTTTGAATTTTAGGAAACACTTCAGTAAACAATAATTACTTTTAACTTGTTTACATGTAACATACATGTAATGCCAAATAAAATCATATCATCCAAATATAAAATGTTCATTAAGAAACTATTTATAACTTCATGAAAACAAATCAAGTGTAAATATTTAATTTTATTTGTTTCTTATTAATGAATATAAACATGTACAGTGGCCTTTGAAATACCAAAGAAGCAATTATAGTATACAAGTATATATTAGATTCTAAATATAATTTATGTTTCTGTACATTCCTCTTCTGTTAATGATATAAGCCATGAATAGTCCTGCATCCCTGGCACCCCCCCCCTCCCACATTTTATTTCGCATCCCTTATACTGAATAAGAGGTGATTAAGGGTAAGGGGCCTGGTGAAAGACTTTCATTATTATTTCAGTACCTCACTCTAAATACTCTCTTTTGATTGGTCAATGAGAGGTCAATAGTCTTGAGTATAGACCTCTCCATTTGGTTGACTGTAAAGCATGTTTCCATTTATACTGTGCATTAAATCTTGACCTGAGGTCTCTGTTTAATGTTCTGATTTCTACAGTTTACCTGTGAAGAGGTCAATAATTACACATATCAAACATATTAACCTCCACAATACAATATGTAAAACTAAATAATTATGCGTAACAAAATTGATATTAATTGAAAATTATTCAATTAAAATGCTTTTGGCATGTGTATCTATCATAGAAAACAGTTTTAAACAAACTAATGTATTCTAATTTGACAGAAAAACCACTTCAAAATACTTATAAATCAAAACTTCTCAACTTACGATAAACATTGGCAACCTATACAGCCTTGTATTATTTTAAACATGCTATCCAAACAGAATCTCTTTCTTTAAAACATAATAAAATGCTGTTCATAGCACATGCAACAGCACATGCAAATGAATTCACCAGAATACGCCTATAAAAACATTCATGAGTTGTGGTTTGTGGCAATTTACTCAGAGGCAATGTGACAATTATATGTAAAAATTGGAATTGCATAAGTGTAAAACATTTGCCCATTTAAACAATGTTCTCCAAACTGAAGAACATTCTTTAAGATGGCATTTCCTACATATTTTATATTATCTAGCTCAGCTAGGTCTAAGCTTACAGTAATTGTAAAACAATACTTAAAGACAGCCTTAAATGTATTTCTAAATCGCATGTGTCTTTTACAATACTTTCAAAGCCAAATTACGAATAACATGGACTTGATAGAAAAATGAAATACAAGAATTGTAATTTACAGTTCTTAGTCTAGTAACAGATCCTAGTTGCAAATCCCACGTCATTCGAGTTATATGAATCTAACCTTTCTATACAGGACAGCTTCAACCCTGTGATCAACACAGTATTCAACTATGTAATATGATATATTGAACGTATATAGCAAAATACAGAATAAAAAACATGTATTTACAAGACAGAGACACACCTTTGGTAGATCTAACAAAAAGTGTTCTACCTATAGAGGTGTTCCACTAGAGAGGTTTTAATGTACAATATATCAACTAAAGTATTCACCATTACATAGTTTTACACATACAATCATCACATGTCTAGTCTTGAATCAATTGCCCCAATCCCCCTTGATTTTCTAAATAGAAGGTAAAATACTTGGGTAACTGACACAGGACTATCATACGACATGATGGATCAATCTATTGTACAGTTCTAGAGCGTAAACTATAAATGTAAATGTATAAAGGCACCAGCTATAATATCAAATGCTAGTTAATTTACATGAGCAAGGCACCTATATAATGCTTTATTTCTTATAAATGATGATAAAAATAGTTGGCGTATATTGTATAGCAGTAATCATACTGTATAATATATATTATTGTGTAAGTATTGTGTAAGAAATTACTCTGCAATTCTAGAATAACACTACCTTGAATAATACAGTAACTTAAACTTCCCAATGTCTAAAATGACACAAAATGTCACAAAACACTTCTTATCTAATAACACAACCTTGAGAATGTTGATTAACTACTTGTTGATAAGATCTTGTTGATTAATCAGATCTTGTGGATAAGATCTTGGGGGAGAACACTTCTCAGAAAAAAGTCTCAATATTGAAAAAATATATTTCAGGCTTAGATTATATCAAAGAAATCTGCTAACTGAGAGTTCCTGATAGCTTTGAGCTTTGAGATAAAAAAATCCTGGGTCCAGCAGTTTGAAAATGATAGCTGAGGGTAAAACTGTTTACCATCTACCCTCTACCCAAGGTCTAATTTACCGCCCCTGAAGAATCCACCTTAACTTGCAAGTAGGCACTCAAATGGCTTAATGATTTTTTTAACCATCTTTCAGACTATTGTATTGGATAAAGTATGTAGTGAGTTCTACCCTGAACATTCTCATGTTTGTCAAATCACAGAAAATGTATAGAAATAAAGCAATACCCTCCGCTGCAAGTCATACTTCAACAAGTCATTTCTTACAGGCGCTGAACCAGGATAATACATTTATATGTACATGTACATGATATTACATTATATGTAGACACATGTATACCTCACATGAATTTCAAATTTTAATCACCATAAAAAAGAGGGCATACACTGTAAACTCATCTTAATAGTCAGAGGGTAGTATAGAGTGTGTAGCTGATGGAGAAAAAGGGTACAGGTAACTTCAGACTACAACTTTGATCAAAAGCAACAAGCTTGCACAGTACAGCAGCAACACAGCTCGGTTGTAAATTATTTTACATTTAAACAGCAGAAATCTCAAGTAAAATGACAATCTCAGGTTGAGCCTTGAGATGGAGCACAAATATGACTTCCTATTTTGCACACTCAATGCTCATTTTGAACTATTTAAACATACCAGAATTGTATATTTGCAGCTTGATATAAATCAAACTTGTAACTGGTTATCAGGTTGGTATTTATCTAATGCTGGATTTGATATTCTCAGACCTGCAAGGATAAAACATATAATTTATGCAAAGCTTATCACACTTGCTACATGTAAGCCTATTCATTTGTCAATTGACAGATTTGTAAATTGTCTGTCAACGTTGTGTAATGTTGCACTGTCAGTTTGGTCTGTTATCACAGTTTGATGTATACATGTGCCTTGTTGGCTGTCATTAATGTCACTGTCATTTGTAGAAGGTGTTATTATGTTTATTGTTTCAACTTCATCACATGTTAATGTGCCAGGTCTGGTATGCTCTGGTTCTGCAACATCCAACCTCTCATTATAATCTTCATGGGATGCTTCATCATGGACTTGTGGTGGTTCATGACTTCTAAGAGGTGAATCATGAGTCACCACATGTGGAGTATATGGAGGTGGAGGTGGCATTGGAATGACTTCAGCAGAGACTGATGAGTGAGTTATTGTAGTAGGAGAGCTGATTGTTGTATCAGTTTCTCTATGTACTTGTAGGTCTTCATCAGTTATCACATGGAAGCTAATATCACGTGTAGCACTGTGGTAGTGTTCATTTGGCTGGTATTGCTGTGTAATGTGTATGGTGGGTGACATCTCTGTGTATTCTGGAAGTTCCTCATTATCCAACAGACCAGCAGAGTCACTGAAAATGAAACACATTTAAAGTTTATAATGAGACTCCAAAGCTATACAGCAAAGCCTCTATTCCTAAGCATGAGTTAGGTATACAACTGAATGAAATTTCCTCCACAAATCTCCATGGCATTCATTTGAGGCATGTGTCTCAAAACTTTTGTAAATTACGATTGGAGAATTTCAAAATTTTACAGTTCCTCCACAAATCTCCATGGCATTCGTTTGAGGCAGTACAATACTGTTTTTATGATATAGTTGCATTCCAAAAGACAACTGAAATATAGGAATTTATTAAATCGACAATGTTCATGAGAATCGAATTGTTAACACAATTGATAAACCAGGAATTCAAATAGCGATATATTCATATGTGAACAATTTCGGAAATTATTTATGAGACAAACATTTCTGTTCCTACCCCATCACTCCCTTATAAATATTCAAATGGCCCTAAGACTCAAATGGTATCAATGACTCAAATGGTACCAATGACTCAAATGGTACCAATGACTCAAATGGAACCAATGACTCACCTGCTATTTATCTCTACTTGGCATCTATTTTGTTGAGCATTAGATGAGGGCCATTGAAAGATGGCAGCACCTGATTCTAAAAAATAAACATATAATATGCATCAATTAAGAATGTTAAGGTAGTTCTTTACTGGCAATAGTTGAGTCTATGCTTTAGCATAATGATGATTTGATGAGTGTTCATCTTGAGAACATAGAATTCCTGATATCACACTTTAAAAGATGAGTTTTTGGCTTAATTCATTTATCGTAAAGTTATTTTTAGACCTTCAGGCAAACAATCACCTTAATAGTCTATGGTAAAACTGGTCTATATTGAACATTTTTTGATGAGAAAAAACGTTCAGTGTTTGTAGATGTTCACTACAGAGAGGGTATTTTATACAGAAGTCAATGGAGTGTGTGTGGGGAAGGGTGTCCACTAGAGAGAGGTGTTCACTATAGTGAGGTGTTCACTAAGACAGGTTTTACTGATTTTCATTGTGATTCAGAACAAAGAATTTTCTTACATAAAATAATTGTGTTACAAGTGGTAGACTGCTTGTCACCGATTAATTTGTAATTAAATATTTTCTGTCTGATGTAAAATTTAATGAAGCTGGAAAACAAAAATCAAAATGAAAGAAAGAACTTTAATTATGATTTTCTTTAAAAATAACTCCAAGCAAAGTGCTGTGACAATTTTTATACTGAAATTTATACTGAATTGCTTTTCTCCAATCATCCAGAAAAGGGTGCTTAATGTACTATATCTTTGTTAAGTAGTTTAAAAGCCCCATGTAGACTAGACTACTCACCTGAGCTGGACTGTGTGAGATCAGTCTGTGGTAAAGTGGTCTCATTAAGAGGGGTATAAGGTGGGGGATCTTTTGGACTCTGGCTCACTTCCTCATAGGTTGGCAGTCTCAACTGTTTACCTGAAAAAATCAAACAAATTATGTTATGTTATATCTATTTCTATATTATAATTACAAGTAAAATAACAAAGTACGCACATGACGCGGAGCGTTTTCAGTGCAGGAAACACCACCTACATTTTTACATATATTCATTAATTATATAAATGTCTTTGGGGCCGGGTCAACAGTTCAATGCCTGTCAAAAAACATAATTAATTTAGTTAGGTCTTAATCCCCCCCCTCCACTTCTAACGTTAGTCAAAATGTTGATTCATGCGTGGTGTAGTCAAAATGTTGATTTGCGTGCAGTGTACAACCTCTGAGCATACAATATCTGCTATAACTATAAAAACAAGTTTCAAATTCTCTTTATACTTCTGTTGAGTATATTTAATATTGTTTATTGTAAGATTGCCACAAAGCCTACAAACCTCATACATTAAACATCCCACATATTGTTGAAACTTGGAGTAAAATCCTTTATTTAATCAATATTGTTGATTTGTTAATATCTTACTTGGGTCAAAGAGAGGTAAAGGAAGTCTGAAAAGGCCTCGTTGCCTGCGTCTCCTAGCCCTGGACTGATTAGAACGCTGCCTTCGCCGGAAACGTTTGTGCTGGTAGAAACAGCAACAGCTTAGAATTATGACTACAACCCATACTAACCAGAACCCTAAATAACAGTAAAAATAAAATACAGATTAGTTCATTTAGTAAGTCTTTGTAAAGAACAGGTCATTTTTTTAAAAAGGGATAAACTTTACATGAGGTGCTTTAAAAGAGTCTTGTTTATACATCAATAAATCCAGATTCCGTCCATCAAAACAAGTTACAAATGTGCCAATTGGGAAATAAAAAGGTCATAATTTTTGGGATCAATTTTAGACTTTCTGGTGACCATTTCAAAATGAGCCTGAAGGTCTTTATTTATATGTAGGATATCTGAGATTTTCACGCATATTAATGCATTTTAAGTAATATTACTTTCCCAAAACTTTTGAGTACATGTCTGATGCACTACAATGCTGGAGTGTACATTCTATTATATTCTCAGAGCTACTAACCTCAATCTGAAAAATTCTTGGACCACTAGATTGGCCACATTATTCAATGAAAGCTGGGATTATCTTAGCAATCATAGGGACTGCAGCAGAAATCAAATCTCTACAGTCAGGTAATGATTACTGGAAGTTGCTTTAATTTGGTGGATTTGGCCAGATTGGGCAAATTTTGGCTGCAATTCAATTTGACAGACTTGCCCATCAGTAAAATGCATAAGTTGGTGGGTTCATACAAAGATGCAAATAATGCTCTAGTTTTTCAAAAATCAATCTCCATAACAACATACTTCCCATACTCTAGATCATCCTCAATACCCCTCACTTTAGAGCTCACCACCAAAAGTGCTAGTTACCCCCCCCCCCCCCCCTTGCCTTGGTATCAGAATTTTTTGTCTTTTGTTTTTGAAAAATCTTCGTTTGGGAATTCCCAGAGATTTATTCAAAAATTTGGTGGAAACTTAATTTGGCAGTTGTCATCAATCTGCCAAATAAAACGGCTGTCAATTAAAGCAACTTATCGATTATACCAAAATTTTGCAGATTTATAATAAATAACACAAAATGAAAAGGTTAAGGTATTTGTGAAAACATTCACATTTTTGAAGTTTTCTGCAAATTTAATTGTTCTGAAAAAAGTATTAACTCTCATAGTCCAACTCATCAGAGCTGGAGCTGCCCCGTCTAGTATTACTGAAGTTCTCTGTACATGTACATGTACTTGTGCAAAGAATGGTTACTGAGCACTATGATTTTGTTATTTGCCAAAATCTCTAAGATGAGTAAGCTTTTAAAAATAAGTGTAGATCTATATGTACAACACTCGAGTTTCAAAAGCTCAAAGAGCTGTACATGTACTTACACCAAAGTTCATAGTAATATGTACAGCATGTTCCACCACCGCAACAATGTCCTGTTTTACACCAATATTTGTGTTCACAAAATTCGAGTGCCTAAAACAAAAATAACAATTATTAAGGTGCTTGTGGAACAAAAACATTTTTGAAAAAAATGCTTTACCTGCACATGTTATTATCTGTACCAAAGTATAAATGCATGTGTGTATTTTTCGTAGACTATTTAAATGCTTTTTTCAGAGTATAATTGCATTTTCTTCTTTCAGTAAGCCTGGTAAGAGGTCAATGTATACTCCAGTGTTATCAAGAAACTTTGAGAAAAGATTTTGAAAAATGTTTTTCATGATATACCAGCAGTTACCATTGGCCTCTTACCAGATTTACCGAAAGAAGACAATAACGAAACTTTCCTGAAAAGCAAGGAAATACACACGTGCCTTCATGTTTTATTCTGTACCAGAAAATATCTTGTGTAGCTAATAGCAATTCTTTCTTTAGGTAGATATTGTAAGTTTGATTAGGTAAATATTTCAGGTTTGCTTTAGGTAGCTATCCAATGTTAAAATCATATGAATTGGTTCGCTTTAGGCGATGTTCAAATATGTAAATTAGGTATTAAAGTTGTCGGGAAAATATTTCAATTTTTTATTTGCAGCACCAGTGTTTTCAGTAGGTTTGTCCAAGATTGCGTCCCTGGGACATAACGATTTTCAAAAAATCCGTCTCCCCTCAAAAAACTGCGTCCCTTGAAAAAATGTTCCCGGGAATTCAAAGTCACGCTTTTACACTAGCCAAAATAAAATTGATGAAATTTTGTATCACTTTTCGATCAGAAATCAACTTCCTGGAAGGAAACTTCGAAAGAAAATTTATTTCTTTTAGAAATAGAATTTCCGTTAATGAAATCACTGAGCACTGAGGCCGCGTTTTGATGCCTAGCTTTTTTGCAAGAGTAAAAATGTCATGAAGTATCTGTCAGGTCATGATTTTTTTGTTTATTTAATTTCGAGAGTATTTTTCCTTCAAATTGTGCAAGTTTGGTCGAATTTGGAATAAGGATCTTGTAGTACACAAAATCTACTTTTGATTTCACCTATTTTTCAGCGCGGCGGATTTGGAGGGGATCCTTGAGGAATACATCCGTTCTGAAAGTGGGGAAGGGCAAAACGCTCTGTTAGGCCCAAAAAGGACTTGATACAACTTCATGTGGAAGAAAGTTTCGAGAGAAACATTGACTCTTGAAAGTCCGTGGAAAAACAGCTGATTTTCAAATGTTCAAAACCGAAAAAAATTAAACAAAAGCATAATCTCCCATACATCTTTCAAATTAGCCGTAAATGTACGCGCTAAATCCTTACAAGCCCATATTATAGATTTGTATAATATAAAAGGTAGGTACTTACCGACAACACCGAAAATTTAATGCATAAGACCAGGAAGAAAAACAAATTTTTGACAGCTGCCATTTTGTTTATTTTGATTGGCCTCAAGGAGGATTGGCTCCCAGAGTGCACCACCGATATTCTGTCCCATATATGGGTATGTCGTAATACAAAATTCGAATTCAAACAGCCGCCATTTTGTTCACTTCAACATTTAAATCGTGAATTTTGGTCTTATTTCCAAACGAAAAATTCCAAAACTCACAAGAAATGATCGAGATATTGGTTCGAATCTTTTGAACTGTTTATTTTGAATTTATAGTCGGTTTTAATTTCAGAAAATAACGACATTTCGACGTTTTCATTGTTGGAAAATATCGAGTTTCGATCCTGGGAGCCAATCCTCCTTGGATTGGCCTCGTTTTAAAATTTAAAGGTCAACTGCTATGCCCATATATGGAAGTGACGGAAACAATAACGACATTTTACAAGGGACGAATTCACAAAGTAATCATCGTAAATACTTCTTTATTCTGTTTAAATCATGAAATTTTTATAATTTAGTTTATGGAGTATTATATCTTGATTATAATTAGTTTGAAAATTGTTGATTTACGACTTTGATCAAGAGGCTGCAAGTGAGTCACAATACAAAATGGCGTCAATCAGGAAGTAAAATTATTTCTGAAATTATTCTCATATTCATATTTGAACACATCGCCATTGCAATTACTTCAAGAAAGGTAAGAACAATATTTCTTAGAACATATATATTGACGTCACCAACTAAACCCTCAAAATGTTCATAAAATTTCCATTTCGTTTGCTAATCAAAACTAACTACAAAAACCAAAAGGGTAGCAATAAAAAATCAAAAGCAAAACTAGCCTATGATAAAGGAAACTACCAGGAAATGAACAAATTAATAAATGAAACCAAATGGGAAGAACAACTCAACAGTAAATCTATGGAAGAGAGTTGGACCTATTTCAAAACAGTGTACGAAAATGCCATCGATCAATGCATACCGAAAATGTACCCAAGGAAAGACAAGCGAAGAAGCAAATACATTAATAAGACTGCAATAAAAATGAGTAAAAAGAAATATAGATATTGGAAAAACTACAAAGCAGCTAAGACAGACGCAAACCTAAAGCAATACCATGAAGCAAGGGACAACCTCAGGGCCTACACACGGAAATTGAGCTACGACTATGAAAAGAAAATTGCCTTAGAAGTTAAAGAGAACCCTAAACAATTCTGGCAGTACTCTAAATCCAAACTAGATACCCAAGAAACAATCCCTAACTTAGTGATGGAAGATGGAACAGAAACCCAAACAGACCTGGAAAAGGCACAGACACTAAATAACCAATTCTCAAGTGTATTTACCAATGAAGACATGTACAATATACCACAATTGCCACCACACCCAAGTAAAGAAAAGATTAGTGACCTTAAAATAACAAAGGAAATGGTTATGAGCCAGTTAAACAAACTGATTGCTACAAAATCACCAGGACCAGATGGTTTTCATCCCCGTCCCCTTAAGGAGACAGCAGAATCACTGGTAATCCCACTTCTTATCTTATTTAACAAGTCTATACAAACTAGCTCACTCCCCAGAGACTGGAAAACTGCAAACATCACCCCCATTTTCAAAAAAGGAAGTGAAAAAACTTTAAAGAATGTTACCAACAGGAAGAAACAACCCAGCAACTACAGACCAATAAGCCTCACATCAATAGTTGTCAAAATGTTGGAGAAAATTGTAAGGGATGAAATTCTGGAACACGTCATCAAAAATAATATCCTCACAGATGAACAGTTTGGTTTTGTGCCAAAGAGATCGACAGTGCTAAATCTCTTAGTCTATTTAGAAAATATAACTCAAGATATTGATGAAGGGACCCCTATAGACACCATATATACTGATTTTAGTAAAGCGTTCGATAGTGTGCCTCACGAGCGACTACTGGTAAAACTACAATCCTACGGAATAACAGGAAAATTACTAGCCTGGACGAGGTCTTTTCTTACAAACAGGGCACAGAGAGTTTCGGTAAATGGTAAAGTATCAGAGTGGGCCCCTGTAACCTCTGGTATACCTCAGGGAACTTGCCTCGGGCCGACCCTGTTTGCTGCCTTCATCAACGATTTACCTGAAGCAACAAAGAACGAGATACTCATGTACGCTGACGATGCAAAACTTTACGGCAAAGTTAAAACCGAAGAAGACAAAAGAACACTACAAAAGGATCTGGATAATATGTCTAAGTGGTCAAATAAATGGCAGTTGCCTTTTAATGCCGCTAAATGCAAAGTAATGCACCTTGGACATGGAAATGATCAACATAAATATACCATGAATGACCAGATCTTGGATATCACCAAAACTGAAAAGGACCTTGGAGTCAATATCGACAATACCCTTATAAAAAATTCAACCTTGAAAGTCCGAATTTAAACCGTTTCCATCAATCATTGAATACTGATTGTTTCAACTACTAAGATCAAAGGAAAAACCATTGTAGAATGATAAGCAATCATTGTGCAACCATTGTGTTCAACCAAGCAAAGTCAACTCTTTTTCAACGACTGCGCAACCATTTCTATACAATCATTGTAATCTGCAACCATTGTAAACTGCAACCATTTCACATTGAAATGTAAACGGTTGCAATATGTTTTGTTCAATGATTACATAGTTCAACCCCTGCAACCATCCTGAATTAGTATCATTCCAATAAATTAATCATTTTACCTGAATTAAAATTATATTTAAGTAAGGATTTGAATCTACTTCTATTCAACAACAGTATATTAGGATATTTTTTCTGCAAGCATACATGCATGTTTATTATAGTAAATAACTAAATTCATGTTTCTTTCTCCAGTACGGATTTATGAATGCGATACCAGACTTATAAATAGATTGGTATGGGAACATATTGATATCGGGTTTAGCTTAGGACCCCCACAAAAGTGTATGTACAATGAACAGGCCAGTAGCCAGCCCCCCTCAGCAAAATGGGTCTTCAAATGTTTCCATATATGTGTAGTTAACACCTCATATCAAGAGTATGACTCACTAAAATTTGAAAAATACAAACAAGAGAACTATTTTGATATTGACTGTATATTATGTGTGAAACACATTATTCACAACAGATTTAATTACCATGTTCTTTCTTGGCAAATATTTTTTATAACAATGCTCAACACAACAATACCTACTACATATTGATATTCTCATGGGTTTAGGCAAATCAAAATGCTTGAACAGCCAATTAAAACGGTTGAACAGCTAATTAAAATGGTTGAACAGCTAATTAAAACGGTTGAACGGCTAATTAAAATGCTTGACCAGAAAAAGGGTTCATAGTCCTAGTTTCTGTTATATCTATTTTCATCTTGTGTTATACTATATTACTATATGTTTATTTTTATTCTCTATTTCATGCAGAGGGGGGGGGGTAGTAAAAATTTAAATAAAAAGTGTTTTCAGATTTTTGAGGGTTTATTTCTTTATTCAATTACTTCAATAAGTGCTGAGAAATCTCAAATAGCAAGTATATGAAACTGCAAATAATATTTTGAGATCTTTTTTATTTCATTTTTATTTAGTTTGTTTTACCATGGGCATTGAATAGATTGAAAGTCCATGGTTTTACTGTATTCACTAGGGCAGAGCATTTGTACTGAAAAGTGTTTTCAGTTTAAATAATAAGTGTTGATTTTGAAAAATCTGGGAGATTTTCTTTGGCAAATTATTCATCAAGTTCTGTGTATGGAATAATTAAATTACATAGGATGCTTCCTTTATAGAAGACTCTTATCAATTTGAGAGTCTCTCTGTAATAAGGTTTGTTTTGCTTTGCCAAATTATTTTTGTTTTGTTTATGGATTAATGGATTAATAGTTTCTTTAGACACATCCTTCAAAGCAGGCTCTAATCAAACTAGAGAGACTGAGTCTAACTGTAATCAGAGTTTTTTAAGTTGTGTTTATCGACTTAATTATCTAAAACACATCCTGTAATGTCTGATTGCATTTTCTCTATCAAATCTAAAATATCAAATCAATAAACAGATTATTTTCCGATTGAAGGATTTCTTACTTCCAGACACATCTTCCTTCCTTTATAATTGTGATGATTGCAAGGTGAAGTGTAAAATCCAAGACTTGACCCAAGCAAAAAAAAGTCAAATGTTTTTGCAATAACTTATAAAGTTTTGAAGGGATTTCGTAAAAATGATAGTCATGACAGCGAGGGGATTTGCTATGCCTTAGCATTGCTGTTATCTAGATAATATACATGTGAGTTGGACAATCACCATCCGTCAAAGTTAGATGAAAATTTAAGTTAGGTTCAATATATCTTCATTCACAAGACAAGTTTACTAAACTATTTCAGTACTTTAAATATCTTTTTGATCAAACCATTTTAATTCTGACAAGTATGCATGAAATACATACATTTGAAATATATTTTTTAAAGAGCAAGATAATTATTTTATGTTGTATTGAGATAATATTGCCATAGTTTTAAAGGGTTGTATTCGATTGAAATGATTGCAAGAAATGTAACCAAAATTGTCAAGCGTTTACAATGGTTACATATGATTGAAACATTTTCAATGAGTTTACAACCAAAATTGCAATGGTTGCATCGTAACGGTTGGCATGGTTGCATAAATGATCGGATCAATGATTGTACAATGATTGTGCAACGGTTTAAATTCGGACTTTCAAGGTTGAATTTTTTATAAGGGTAATCTCAAGTTTCACCAACACGTTGACCTATCAGTCTCTAAAGCCAATAGCATCCTTGGAATAATAAAAAGAACTTTCTCCCATCTGGACAAAACAATCCTCCCTCTTCTCTACAAATCACTTGTAAGACCCCACTTGGAATACGCAAACAGCGTATGGAATCCTCACCACAACATGGATATTGACAAGCTAGAAAAGGTCCAAAGACGAGCGACAAAACTTGTACCAGAAATTAAGGACATGAATTATGGGGATAGGCTAAGATACCTGAAGCTACCATCACTCCTGTACAGAAGGAGACGAGGGGATCTCATCCAAACCTACAAAATCATAAAAGGTCTTGACAGGATTAATATCACTAACATTGCTGAAAAATCTGAAGCTCATAGAACCAGAGGAAACACTGAGAAGCTCAATACAAGATACAGTAGACTGAATGTCAGGAAGAATGTTTTCGGAAACAGAATTGTGAAAGACTGGAACAATCTCCCACAGACTGCAATAGATGCTGACAATGTCAACCAGTTCAAGGCGCAAATTGACAAACACTTCCACAACCTAAAGTACCACTACAACTAGATGACAGCCCCTTTAACCCATGTCCAGTGAGCTTTCAAGAAAACAACCCCCACCCCACCTTTTTCCCACTTAGTAAGACCTTACATATAACAAGATCTGGATAATATAGGATTCTTCCTTCTTCCAGAAGAAATGGTATACAGGTATACAGGTATTTCTATACCTCAAACACTAAAATCAAAATCATGATGATTGATCTAGGCCTAGAGTCTAGACTGTATCCTTCGTCTGAATAAATATTCAGACTGTAAGTCACCTATTGTAAAATGTGGTGTTGTATAAATGTTACAAATAAGTTTGTTTAATGATAAAATGATTATCTTATAAAGAACTTACAATATTATTTTTTCGTATATTGTCCTCTTACTGAAGATATTCATAAAATGTACAGACGCTTCTTGTAGCGAAGCCATTGATTAGGTCAAGCCATTTTGGCAATGCCAATTCTCACGATAAACGAGATTTAGCCAGTGACGTCAGTCTATTTGTAAACAAATAACACGTGGAGCGGACGGAGCAACATTACGGAAGCGTATTGCTAAATTCCATTTGTGCGGGAATTTATTAGATCTAGTCATTTATTATCATTATCCCGATTAATTTTCTTCATTTATAGTAAATAGAGCGGAAATATTCATGAAGAAGGCCGAGGTAATCAAGTGGTCATGTGTAGTCAAAGTTCAAAATTTGCATATCTCGTTTGGATCTCGTGAACTCAAACGTCCTTGACATTGATTTCGCGATCTACTTATGAACACATCCTGAAGTTTCGGTGAGTCTGAACATTTCATTATTTTATATCAACTTGTACCCGCCTTATACAAATATTTTTGCTTCTAGTTTAAGATGAACATCTCTTCAACATATTCACCAATTTTCAAGGTGAACATTCTTATAATAAACGAGAAATTAATGTGCAAAAAATATCACCGCGATTTCCACAGGAAATATATCAATCATAACAGACCGAATATTATATTCGGTCTGTTGGATACATACTAGCCTAGAGTCCATTTCACTGCTTCATTTCGTCAGTAGAACGGCAAAAATAAGAAATTGGGAGACCATTGTGCAATAATATATGGAAAAGTATATTCATAATGTACATGAATGACATTTGTATATCTTGGATTGCTTCTAGTTTGGCTTATAAAGTGTGTGGCCTCTTATATTTGGATGTTTCTCTGCCATGTTATTTTCAATGAGATTAACATGGCTGAAATTCTTCAAATTACAGGACGGCACAGGCTTATTGCACAAAGAACTAAAAAATCTGAAATATACAAATGTCATTCATGTACATTATGAATATACTTTTCCATATATTATTGGTCAATGGTCTCCCAATTTCTTATTTTTGCCGTTCTACTGACGAAATGAAGCGGTGAAATGGACTCTAGGCTATTGAAGATCATCTTTTAGTTGTATGATGATGATGTGATCGACCTGCAAAGTCTGAACAGATCCCGAGCCATTCGTGTAGTCCTAGGCTCAACAAAATAATGAGAGGATCGGACACTAACTAACAAACTTATCGCATCCTACGACCCCTTTAGATTGTGGTCGTACGCCCGTATCATTGGTAAGCCTGTCTTTCTACAATGTCGGAGAATGAACTACGCATTGCACCATTAAATGACCTACCCTGATACATTCCAGAGTATTTTAGAATTCTTTTTATGTTGTTAGATCGCCAATTGTATGGGTTTATCGGCAGAACGAAGAGATATTACATCGGAAATATGTCAGCAATTTTCAAAATGTCGGAAGGGGAATTCCCCAGGGATTTCCCTTATGACTGGTGCATGCCGGGAACTGAATGGAGGAATTTGACGGTTGAAATAAGTTAAATATTACACGCAAATATTGCTATCAAAAACGAAAATCTCTTCGTTCTGCCGATTGCGCTGCAATGAGACTTCACGTCTTGTCAAACTGGAATGCAAATCCAGGCAACCTGTTCTTCTAGCAAAAACATTGTGCAAAGTAACAGATCAGTAGATACAGATATGATTAGTATGATATAATATGTTTTTTAACTTTCATATTTTTATAACTTCTTAGAAAAAGTAAATTCTAACATTTCTTAGCGATCTTTTCTCTCAGTAAATGAGTTATGAGTTCATGTTGCAATCCAAGAATATCGCCAATTAATTGTAAGAAAATTAAAATTATGCTGAATTTCTACAATTTGCAAGTGACTTTGGCCATGATTTAAGTATCAAAATAATGTTTATTGTTATGCAGAAATGGAGCTAGCGATCCCAAAATCTCTTCCCATTTTAACAAGTACTGCCTTTAGCAAGTACTGCATTTTGAATGAGTTGATGTTTTGATGATTTTTTTCCCATCTCAAGAATTGCAAACAACGTACACGACAAATTCAGTTTTGTTGTTTCTGATTGGATTAAACTCGATCAGCATAAGTTTTTAAACCAATGAGAGAGTGTGACATATAATTTGATCAGTAAGATATAGATCAAAACCTTGTTTTTTCTTGTGTAGTGCTATTTCCCGGGAAATAGCGTTAGTCTATCTGGGGATCAAAGTGCGTCAATGAAACGCAATAAGTTGTTAATTCTGCGTCAGACTTGATCAAATTTGCGTAAAAACGGTAAAAAACTGCGTCAACGCCAGCTCTGATATATGTATGAGTTAAGATATTGGAGATAAAGCAGAAAGTACGTATAATTTGGGGTATGGCATGTTATAGTTATTGATAAACTGATACTGGTTGTGTTGTTTTTTGCAGTGAAAGAATGCCTGCTGAGCATATCCGTAAAGTTGCAGTGGTTCATGACCATTCACAGACACAGTTTCTGAGGCTAGACCAGGTAAACAAGTAAACACTGAGCTTGTATTCACGAATGCAACTAATGCCTGTCGGCTACCGGATTAACCTCCAATTTAATGGGCAACTCATTATACTATTAAAATATGAATAGTACCTGCCACTATTCCATTCATATTTAAATTAGTTGGACATAAAAAAGTAAGTTAATGTGATAGCCGTTAATTGCATTCGCGAAGCTGAACTATCTAGTTTTTACAAAATCAATATTGATTTAAGTCATTCAAATTAATTACATTATTTACATACTGTAGAATAATCAATTTGTGGGTTTTCATTACATGTATTAGAACATTGTCATTTAACCTTGTCTCATTTAAATGTTAAACGTTCCTCATCACATTATTGTAATGTCAGCTGAAAGTAATAGATTACTTGTATTTATAACATTTAAGTGGAAATTAAAGTCCCTGTGAAGAAAAAGTTTGACATAAGCTCTCAGTGTTTGCGGTAGCTACTTTATCTGAGTCCCAAGGACTCAATTCATTGAGAAAATTTGCATCCCATTTTAACTTTTTGAGTCCACATTTTTTTACAAGGGTAACATCACTATATGAATCCCCAGACTGTGATATATTGCTGACATCTTAATTCATTTTTTCTCATTTGCAAATCTATGTGGGTGAGCATTCATGAAACTTTCAGAAAAAATGTAAAAGTACTTACTGGGTACATTACTGATAAAACTGATAAAAATTATGCTGTTGGCCTCAAAGTCATTTAGATGTGATAGGTGAATATAAAAAAGTTGACAAATCAAAGCTACTGCTTCCACATTTTGTCCAATCGTAGATTTCGTACTTTTTACAATTTAGAAATAAATAAGGTAAGAATTTTAAAACAAATATTTATTTTTTTCAATTTTCATAATTTGATTTCAGGTTTTTGACCAAATAAAGGCACTCACTGAAAGTTAGCTACGTATTTTGAAGTGAGAATTTAAGCGTCAAATTGTGCTGAAATAAACTGGAAATTTTGTCTTGGGGTGGCAACTCACTAGTCTTTATATGATATAATATAATTTTCAATCATTTTCTTAAGTTTCTTAAATTCAAAAAATTAGGTTTGTTTATGCATTATGAGTTTATTTTTGAATGGAAAAGATGTGAATATAATGCAGTCCGGATGAATGTTTAAACTTTTCAGAGGGCCTTTAAAATGTTTTGTTTTCCATGTTTGACCTTTAAATAGCTCAATATAATATTTTGTAAATATTTGATGTTTCCTCATTAATTAACCATGAAGTTATGGATATGCACATTTAAATTACTCCATAAAACAAAGAACTTATTTTTACCTCTAATTATGCTATTTTTAATTTTCTGGTTCACCATAAATGCCATTATGCTGGATGATAAAAGGATGAATGGCAATAAAATAACTCTGCCGAAACCATTGGATAACTCGCTTTTATCAACAATAGTTATTAAAAGTAAAGTAATTCCTCAAAGAGTTCCAGTGAACAAAACTGTGATTACTGTTGATAAGGATTTCAATTTGTCAGATTTGGGAAATACTAGACGAATCCCGAAATTTCTCATTATTGGTGTAATGAATTGTGGAACAAATGCACTTTTCGATCTCCTCAACACACATGCTCAGTTAGTTTCTCCAATTAATGAGGTCAATATATTTCAGGCCCATGATTTAGGAACTGAATGGTTTCGTGAGCAAATGCCAAAATCTAGACACTGGCAGCAAACGTTTGATAAATCTACTGAATATTTTACAATTAACACTGATGATGTCAAAACTATAAAAGAAATTAATCCATACATGAGGTTCTTGGTTATTGTATGTGATCCCACGAAACGGGCAATTTCACACTGCTTAAACCTTATTGAAAAAGGAAACAGAACTGTGAAACCCATGAAAGAAATACTTCTCAACCCAGAAGATGAAAAACTTAACATTGAGGATCCTATTATTGATCACGGTCTTTATGCTAAGCATTTACAAACTTATTACAAAGTTTTTCCCAGGGAGAAATTTCATATAATAAAGCAAGAAGAATTGTTAAGCAAGCCTTGGATAGCTTTAGAAAAGGTGGAAACATTTCTGAAAATCATACATCTTTTTCTTGAAAATAGATTCTACTTCAACAAGGAATATGGCCACTACTGCCTAAAGGAGAAAATCCAATGCATATCCATTAATAGCTCGATAAGGGAGGATTTCCAGCAGTATATACCAAATGATGACACGGTTGATGAACTTAAACAATTTTATCAACCTCATAACGAAGAATTTGCCACACTGGTTGGCATGGACTTTGAATGGGCTTAGAACAAAGAAAACAGTCTTAACCTGTTATAATAGTGAACATTTACTTTGCATTTCCAAAAATTTTGTAAAAATTAAAATGAGCAGTTGAATTAATGAATTTACATGTAATTAATATGCATATTGATGGGAGGCAATGAGCTTGCACAAAATGGAATTTATAATGGATTTCAAAATATCCCCTCTGGGATTATGGATTTCAGAATCTCCCCTCTATTGCATGCCCGCCTTAGTACAATGATTTCTGTCGAACTCCATTCTGTCTTTGAATGTCATTGAGACAGACTAAAAGCATTTGAATTAGGTGTTCACATTTCGAGGTTTTTGCATTCCCCAGATTCTTGATTCTGGAAATGTGAACACATTCTCAATAAATATTTATAGTCTATAGCATTCCAGTAATTTGACAATTAGATTCAAATGAATTTAGTCATGCTGAAAATCCCCATTATGATTGAGACCATTCAAGGTTTTTTCCAAAAGTTGATATCCTGACAAATCGGTGTTAAACTTTCAAATATTTTATGAAAAGTGTTCACATTAGACAGGGGGTCATTAACAGAACTTTCGCAAAATTATAAATTTGTAATTCGTAACTTCATGAAATTTGTTAATTCCAGGTTAATTCTTCAAATATGAGTAAAAGGTGTTCAGATAAGGAGGTTTTTGCAGGTTTTACTGTATTGTTATTATATAGTCTCTTAACTTTTTTGTGGATGGTGTTTGGCAGTTGGTTTCAGTGTTTGATGGCTGACTTCTGTAACAAATAGCAGGTAGTGGCATTTTGCATTTTGCCTTGATTATTTCATTTGTTGGTATAATTATATACAGACAAGATCCACAAAATGGCATAAATTATAAGTCTGAGAGAAAATATAAATTGACAGACTACTATCGCCATCTTTCTGTCAACCTAGTTCATATTTTTTAAACTTGCTTAATGATCACATTAAAGCCAGCTGTTAGTTGTTTTAAATGCTTTATCTGACCTCATTGTAGTGCATAGAAGACCTCTTTGGCCCACCATTTGATCTCCAATATTTTTCAGATTAAACAATAGAATTTTTTGAATTATTGCGAAAGGTGGCAAAGCTCAACGTACAGTTGTCAGCAATAATGAGCATTTCTGCTTCGTCAGAATCAAATTAGAATTTTGCGGAGCAGTTTTGCTAAGATATCAGTGCTAGAATCAAGGATTAACTCAGAATTGTTATGAAGTTTTGGAGATGGATCCGTGAGATGTTCCGTAAAATAAAGCATTTATTTTTACCTCTGAGTACACTTTGCATACTTCTTTGGTTGGCCATACATAGTACAATTATGGCAGAGGACAAGACAATCCATGATGATAAACTCACTCTATCTGAACAATTGAATAACCCATTGAAAATTGTTCCTCTTGGTACACAAAGAAGAATAAATTTAAACAATTCAGATCTGGGTCATCAAAGCGTACTATCGAATAAAACTGTCAATGATAAAGAGCTTACTTTATCAGATTTTGGAAATATTAAACGATTCCCAAAATTTCTTATAATTGGTGCACCGGAATGTGGAATGAGTGCACTAATGCGTTTTCTAAATGCACATGCTCAGTTGGTGCCTTCAGGCAATGATCTCAATTTCTTTCAGAGCCATTATGATAAGGGGACGGAATGGTTTCTTAATCAAATGCCATTTACGGCACACTGGCAGTTGGCCTTTCAGAAATCATCTGGCTATTTTACAATGAACGCTGATGCTATTGAGCGTATTAAAACAGTCAATCCACGCATGAAGTTCCTGGTTATAGTGTGTGATCCCACCAATCGGGCAGTTTCCCATTACCTACAAGCAGTTGCTGCAAACCTCACAGGAAAGGATAACACCACCATCACACCTTTTGAAGAGATAGTTCTTACTCCAGAAGATGGAAAAATTAACGTCGAGGATCCTATAATTGATAGAGGCTTATATGCTAAACATTTACAAACTTATTACAAAGTTTTTCCTAAGGAGCAATTTCATATCATAAAGCAGGGGGAATTTTTTGAAACCCCTTGGGTTGCTTTAGGAAAGGTCGAAGCATTCTTGAAACTTGTACATGTTTTTCACCAAATTAAATTCTATTTTAACAAGCAGTATGGCATTTACTGCCACAAAAGTGACAAAACTCAATGTAGATCTGATATTTTAATGCGATATGATTTGCAGCAATATAAACCATATAATGACGTAATGAATAAACTTAAACAGTTTTATGAAGAACAGAACAAAGATTTTGCCCAACTTGTTGGCATGGACTTTGAATGGGCATAGGACAAAAAAATGACATGTACCACTGTATAAAAGAGCATGATAAGGAAATAAACCTTTATACTCATATATTGTCATTTTTTGTTTATAGAGAGTTGCCCAAAGATACAACATTCCAATTTTGATATAATTTTTTCAATTTTGATAGAATCTTCTTGTATGCATATAATTAATGATGTTTTCCGTCTTATTTACTTATTTCCTAGGTATAACAATGATAATGATAAAAACTGTCAAGTTCAGAAAGTTCTTAATTTACACATTGAACAACACAGCAATTATAATAGTTCATTTAATTCAAGAAGATTTCTTGAATTAAATGAACCAAACAGTGGTGTTACTGTACTTACTACTTATAATACTTATAAGAATTGAACACTCTATCTACCTTATGAAGATTCCATTACAATTTCAAGTTACAGCTTGTTCTAGTTGCATAAGGTTTGAATCCTCCTAATTTAGAACTCATAATTGACCTTCCAAGTGACCTTGACCTATAAACATGACCTAAGAGAAATTACCGTCTACTTTCAGAACAAGCCTCTTGCAGCCATCATAAGAGAGTTAACAGATGTGTAAGTACATGAATATTACCCCCCTATCACACCAAACTATCGATCTGGCTGCGGTCGGGATATATGTCTAAAATAATTAGCTACTTCGTTCATAAACAGTCTTCAATACGTCCATCATCGGTGTGCAACGTAGTATAAACCATCCCTTAGTCTAGAAGGTCATCATGACCTGATTACAGAATGGTATGGTCGCCATCGAATTTTGAATCGATTCAAAATTCTAAATCACATACCCCGTCCGGGAAAGTCCATGAAGTTCGTAAACAGACCGTAGAACATTGTAGCTACATTCATTCAGTTCGCACACAGTTTAAAACCGATTCGGCAACGTTTTGATGATCACCAGAAAATGTTGAGCAATGCTCTAAGTGCTGGAGGACCTACTCGTTCTAGTAGTTTCATGAAGTTTGTAAACAGATCCCAAACGGTTCTTAGTGGGTTCATAGTACGTCAAATTTGTTCGTGCACAGTTTAAGCCCGTTTTCGAGAACGTAGTGAGAACTAGTTTGGTGTGATAGTAGGGTAATGGATCCCACGATTGCTTGATACAGATATAAGCGCTAGAAATCACCTCTGATTCAATTAATCAATATTGATCTTTTTTTATTATCGATAATCATTTTTTCAAATTAACTTGCCCATAAACGTAGTAGAAGAGCTCTTCAATTCAAAATCAACCTCCAGATATGTGACAGACCACATATTTTTGTGATTCAAATGGAAAGTGTATTGTGGGAATATAAACTGTCAGAGTTCAGAGTTTAATAAGCATGACAAATCTTTGTCCACATACTGATACAATGAAATTCTAAAAAATGAATTAGCCAGACAGCTACTACTTCTAGCTACATGTACTTTTCTCTTCTGCCGGCCTTGGATCATATGGCTGTGAATGATCTCTATGCTGTCAGCTCAGTTTGATTGCATTGTTTATGATTTATTGCATCCTTTGACTTTTAATTGATTTTGATTATAAAGAGATTTTGAACTTGAGGTTAATGGGTAACTACCATGTCAAAGATCTGTATGAATTGAAAAGATCATAACTAAAAACAATTTTGTAACGACGCTTTGAGTTTTTGACCTTGATTGATAAATCTTTTGGGAAGTCCGAACTGAGAAATCAGAATTTATACCCTAGCAATAATAGGGAAAGAATTTAATCTTCAAAAGTCCAGATAGTATAATATGAAAGAGAACCTTGGTTGCTATGGTAACAACATAGATGCCTTAGAAATGAATCACTTTTAGAAAAAGGCTATATTGTTATTGGTATAGAAAATAAATATTTGTATATTCTATACCTTGCTTCAAATGAACTCAGTGTCTCCCACATCTTAATTTAAATACTCTCATATTATATTACAACAAATAACATAGTGTATCAGATTCAGATTTCTGATTGCTATGGCAACCAAAGTATCCTTAATATTCCAAGTTTCCAAAATGATATGAAGAATGTCATAGAGACAACAAGGCAAGAATTTTGCATATGTTTTATATGTTCATACAATATTCCTCGTTTAGCACTTTCACTTCATCCACACTTCCCATCCTGCACAAATAGATAAAATTATTGTAAAATCAAGACTACATTTTTGGAAATATGATGGACAACCAGTAGGAGATGACTTAGAATAGGCAATATCTTTTGTCCAATCCTTTTCATCATGTTAAAACAACTATAAATCATAATTATACTGTAAGATAATGTAATGAAAAACATAGATGAATAAAATATTCTTAATAATAATATCCATATTTTTCTAGATGGTCCCTTCAGAATCCTGAGGATTACTCCCTTCAGTTCACAGAGCCCAACAAGCAAAGCTACATTAATGAAAGGGTAAGAAGCATTTTCATTCAGTTTTTCAAAATAATAAGATAGAAGCTGATCTTTTTAAATGTTTTTAGATTTCCTCTGATGTTTTATAAAATGTTGCCACATATTACTTGTATTCCTTTGTTATAGTATGTGCTTACTCATGCATTGTGTTTTAAACTGATTAGCATAATCACCTTATTTAGTAGCTATCCCCTTATACACCACCCACCCCACTTCACAAAATTTAAGAAGTATCGAGATATGACCAAGTATTAATTTGATTCCATATACGGTACTGTAATATCCCAACGTATGACCTTCTAAATTATTGACATTTCATTTCATTTCAATTTTCAGAATCGTACAGATATACAAAATGGGAATGTACTGAAGTTGACCTTTGCGCCAGTAAGTACTTCTCCTTGATTATTTAGAGATTATTATATATGGAATTCAGGATATTAGGATAATTTCTTGGCCAATATAATATCATGTAAACTATCCACGGACCAGAGGCAGATTGATTTGATTTGAAAACTGCATTTTTTATTCTGGGTAACTACAGTACATAACTGGTCTTTCTGGAGGTTTAAGTTTAAAATCTTGGGGGTGTGTCAATTGCATTGTGATAACAGACTGTAACTATCTGACTATTGCCAAAGTCATGAAAGGTTAATGACGTTATGTTTTGTTGTAGGGAAAAACAGCGCAACAAATATTAGACCACCTGAATGGCGGTACACATGAGGAAAAACTGTCTGCCCTTAGGCAACTCACAGAATTATCACCAGATAACACATTTGCCCAGGAGTTCATTTCAAAAAAGGGTCTTGTCCTTGTAATAAATATGGTGGAAGGTGGAAAATAGTAAGTTATAATTAAGGAATATAGACCAAAGAGCAGGGGTAATATCGTCGAATACATCCCGCAGGGCTAGGCACAAACTTTTTCTGTCCAAAAGTTTTTGTGCCTAGCCCTAAGGGGTGTATTCGACGATATTACACCTGCCCTAAGGTCTATATGATGATTCGAACATGAAAACTCACCAAAATATTTTAAATATTAATTTAGGGTCTTCCAGTAACTGCCCCCTGTTATGTCGTCACACATTAATCGTATTACCAGGGTATTGTTTACGAATATACCTCGCCGGGTGAAATGTTGACTTTGTTAACAGTTTATAGAAGGCGTGAATACAGTCATGTTCGAATTTCAAATATATCTGTATTAATTTGTGATAAACATTTTCAAATAGCACAATTATATTTTTTCTCAGATAAGATGAGTTTAAATCCATTGTGAAAATATTCTGAAATAATGGGCATGAAATGAATAAATTTATTTATTCTTTCAATCAGTTACAGTTTTCAATATTTTCCAAACTTTTTCTCGAGGTATTGTCTTTTTATTTTATAGTTCTGGTGATGAGCTCGCTTACACATTGAGCTCGTTTGTATCTCTCATGGACCATTCCATTGTCTCTTGGGACATCATTGAAAACAAGTTTATCAAAATGGTAAGTTGGAGCAATACTCATACATTTATGTCCGCTTGAATTTAATTTAGAAATGCTCTATCATAAATAGGAAGTATTTAGATACAGGGTAACACAAAAAAAGTAAGCTTGTCATTCTGGAATAACTTTTTTAATCATAATGGAATCTTTGTGAACTTTCTTCTGTAGATAGAGCAATCGATTCCAAGATTATACAAGATTATAGGATTGCATCTTTTTGTCAGCTAAAATAAAAATTAGTGAGATTTATGAATTCTCATAGTGTATTAAACTCGTATGTTATGTGTAGCAGCTTTGAACAAACAGGTCATATGATTGTGTATTTTTGAGGCACATAAGCTTGTAGTTAGACTATATACAATGTATTGTGTTCATGTATTATAGGTGTCATCATGCATCAGCTTGTAGTAAGACTATATACAATGTATTGTGTTCATGTATTATAGGTGTCATCATGCATCAGCTTGTAGTTAGACTATATACAATGTATTGTGTTCATGTATTATAGGTGTCATCATGCATCAGCTTGTAGTAAGACTATATACAATGTATTGTGTTCATGTATTATAGGTGTCATCGTGCATCAACTACAGAGCTTGTAGTAAGACTATATACAATGTATTGTGTTCATGTATTATAGGTGTCATCGTGCATCAACTACAGAGCTTGTAGTAAGACTATATACAATGTATTGTGTTCATGTATTATAGGTGTCATCATGCATCAGCTTGTAGTTAGACTATATACAATGTATTGTGTTCATGTATTATAGGTGTCATCATGCATCAGCTTGTAGTAAGACTATATACAATGTATTGTGTTCATGTATTATAGGTGTCATCATGCATCAGCTTGTAGTAAGACTATATACAATGTATTGTGTTCATGTATTATAGGTGTCATCATGCATCAGCTTGTAGTAAGACTATATACAATGTATTGTATTCATGTATTATAGGTGTCATCATGCATCAGCTTGTAGTAAGACTATATACAATGTATTGTGTTCATGTATTATAGGTGTCATCATGCATCAGCTTGTAGTTAGACTATATACAATGTATTGTATTCATGTATTATAGGTGTCATCATGCATCAGCTTGTAGTAAGACTATATACAATGTATTGTGTTCATGTATTATAGGTGTCATCATGCATCAGCTTGTAGTTAGACTATATACAATGTATTGTGTTCATGTATTATAGGTGTCATCATGCATCAGCTTGTAGTAAGACTATATACAATGTATTGTGTTCATGTATTATAGGTGTCATCATGCATCAGCTTGTAGTAAGACTATATACAATGTATTGTGTTCATGTATTATAGGTGTCATCATGCATCAGCTTGTAGTAAGACTATATACAATGTATTGTGTTCATGTATTATAGGTGTCATCATGCATCAGCTTGTAGTTAGACTATATACAATGTATTGTGTTCATGTATTATAGGTGTCATCATGCATCAGCTTGTAGTAAGACTATATACAATGTATTGTGTTCATGTATTATAGGTGTCATCGTGCATCAACTTGTAGTAAGACTATATACAATGTATTGTGTTCATGTATTATAGGTGTCATCATGCATCAGCTTGTAGTAAGACTATATACAATGTATTGTGTTCATGTATTATAGGTGTCATCATGCATCAGCTTGTAGTTAGACTATATACAATGTATTGTGTTCATGTATTATAGGTGTCATCATGCATCAGCTTGTAGTAAGACTATATACAATGTATTGTGTTCATGTATTATAGGTGTCATCATGCATCAGCTTGTAGTAAGACTATATACAATGTATTGTGTTCATGTATTATAGGTGTCATCATGCATCAGCTTGTAGTAAGACTATATACAATGTATTGTGTTCATGTATTATAGGTGTCATCATGCATCAGCTTGTAGTAAGACTATATACAATGTATTGTGTTCATGTATTATAGGTGTCATCATGCATCAGCTTGTAGTAAGACTATATACAATGTATTGTGTTCATGTATTATAGGTGTCATCATGCATCAGCTTGTAGTTAGACTATATACAATGTATTGTATTCATGTATTATAGGTGTCATCATGCATCAGCTTGTAGTAAGACTATATACAATGTATTGTGTTCATGTATTATAGGTGTCATCATGCATCAGCTTGTAGTAAGACTATATACAATGTATTGTGTTCATGTATTATAGGTGTCATCATGCATCAGCTTGTAGTTAGACTATATACAATGTATTGTGTTCATGTATTATAGGTGTCATCGTGCATCAACTACAGAGCTTGTAGTAAGACTATATACAATGTATTGTGTTCATGTATTATAGGTGTCATCATGCATCAGCTTGTAGTAAGACTATATACAATGTATTGTGTTCATGTATTATAGGTGTCATCGTGCATCAACTACAGAGCTTGTAGTAAGACTATATACAATGTATTGTGTTCATGTATTATAGGTGTCATCATGCATCAGCTTGTAGTTAGACTATATACAATGTATTGTGTTCATGTATTATAGGTGTCATCATGCATCAGCTTGTAGTTAGACTATATACAATGTATTGTGTTCATGTATTATAGGTATCATCATGCATCAGCTTGTAGTAAGACTATATACAATGTATTGTGTTCATGTATTATAGGTGTCATCATGCATCAGCTTGTAGTTAGACTATATACAATGTATTGTGTTCATGTATTATAGGTGTCATCATGCATCAGCTTGTAGTTAGACTATATACAATGTATTGTATTCATGTATTATAGGTGTCATCATGCATCAGCTTGTAGTTAGACTATATACAATGTATTGTGTTCATGTATTATAGGTGTCATCATGCATCAGCTTGTAGTTAGACTATATACAATGTATTGTGTTCATGTATTATAGGTGTCATCATGCATCAGCTTGTAGTAAGACTATATACAATGTATTGTGTTCATGTATTATAGGTGTCATCATGCATCAGCTTGTAGTTAGACTATATACAATGTATTGTGTTCATGTATTATAGGTGTCATCATGCATCAGCTTGTAGTAAGACTATATACAATGTATTGTATTCATGTATTATAGGTGTCATCATGCATCAGCTTGTAGTTAGACTATATACAATGTATTGTATTCATGTATTATAGGTGTCATCATGCATCAGCTTGTAGTAAGACTATATACAATGTATTGTGTTCATGTATTATAGGTGTCATCATGCATCAGCTTGTAGTTAGACTATATACAATGTATTGTGTTCATGTATTATAGGTGTCATCATGCATCAGCTTGTAGTTAGACTATATACAATGTATTGTGTTCATGTATTATAGGTGTCATCATGCATCAGCTTGTAGTAAGACTATATACAATGTATTGTGTTCATGTATTATAGGTGTCATCGTGCATCAACTACAGAGCTTGTAGTAAGACTATATACAATGTATTGTGTTCATGTATTATAGGTGTCATCATGCATCAGCTTGTAGTTAGACTATATACAATGTATTGTGTTCATGTATTATAGGTGTCATCATGCATCAGCTTGTAGTTAGACTATATACAATGTATTGTGTTCATGTATTATAGGTATCATCATGCATCAGCTTGTAGTAAGACTATATACAATGTATTGTGTTCATGTATTATAGGTGTCATCATGCATCAGCTTGTAGTTAGACTATATACAATGTATTGTGTTCATGTATTATAGGTGTCATCATGCATCAGCTTGTAGTTAGACTATATACAATGTATTGTATTCATGTATTATAGGTGTCATCATGCATCAGCTTGTAGTAAGACTATATACAATGTATTGTGTTCATGTATTATAGGTGTCATCATGCATCAGCTTGTAGTTAGACTATATACAATGTATTGTGTTCATGTATTATAGGTGTCATCATGCATCAGCTTGTAGTTAGACTATATACAATGTATTGTGTTCATGTATTATAGGTGTCATCATGCATCAGCTTGTAGTTAGACTATATACAATGTATTGTGTTCATGTATTATAGGTGTCATCATGCATCAGCTTGTAGTAAGACTATATACAATGTATTGTGTTCATGTATTATAGGTGTCATCATGCATCAGCTTGTAGTAAGACTATATACAATGTATTGTGTTCATGTATTATAGGTGTCATCATGCATCAGCTTGTAGTTAGACTATATACAATGTATTGTGTTCATGTATTATAGGTGTCATCATGCATCAGCTTGTAGTAAGACTATATACAATGTATTGTGTTCATGTATTATAGGTGTCATCGTGCATCAACTACAGAGCTTGTAGTAAGACTATATACAATGTATTGTGTTCATGTATTATAGGTGTCATCATGCATCAGCTTGTAGTAAGAATATACAATGTATTGTGTTCATGTATTATAGGTGTCATCATGCATCAGCTTGTAGTTAGACTATATACAATGTATTGTGTTCATGTATTATAGGTGTCATCATGCATCAGCTTGTAGTTAGACTATATACAATGTATTGTGTTCATGTATTATAGGTGTCATCATGCATCAGCTTGTAGTAAGACTATATACAATGTATTGTGTTCATGTATTATAGGTGTCATCGTGCATCAACTACAGAGCTTGTAGTAAGACTATATACAATGTATTGTGTTCATGTATTATAGGTGTCATCATGCATCAGCTTGTAGTAAGACTATATACAATGTATTGTGTTCATGTATTATAGGTATCATCATGCATCAGCTTGTAGTAAGACTATATACAATGTATTGTGTTCATGTATTATAGGTGTCATCATGCATCAGCTTGTAGTAAGACTATATACAATGTATTGTGTTCATGTATTATAGGTGTCATCATGCATCAGCTTGTAGTAAGACTATATACAATGTATTGTGTTCATGTATTATAGGTGTCATCGTGCATCAACTACAGAGCTTGTAGTAAGACTATATACAATGTATTGTGTTCATGTATTATAGGTGTCATCATGCATCAGCTTGTAGTTAGACTATATACAATGTATTGTGTTCATGTATTATAGGTGTCATCATGCATCAGCTTGTAGTAAGACTATATACAATGTATTGTGTTCATGTATTATAGGTGTCATCATGCATCAGCTTGTAGTTAGACTATATACAATGTATTGTGTTCATGTATTATAGGTGTCATCATGCATCAGCTTGTAGTAAGACTATATACAATGTATTGTGTTCATGTATTATAGGTGTCATCATGCATCAGCTTCAGAGCAAGTACACAGAATGATGCTACAACTCTGCAGTCTGCTTTAGAAATACTGGAGTCCATTGTTCTACACAGGTTAGTCACACTATGTCTCAATTATCATAATATTCATTGTAAAACATACTTAGATGTAGCAGAAATGGCATTGCAATGTAAGGACTTGGTCATTGTAATCTAAAAGGTGACCAGTTCATGCTCATTTTTATCATGTTGCGTTATCCCATAATAAGATAACTTCCCAACTTGCTAGAGAATTAGAAATGTGATAAAGAATTAATTTTATGATAAACCGATCTGCGATAAACATAATAACATGACCTTATTGTTCTATGGGCACAGTTAGAACTTTATTTAATCTAAAAATTGTTTACAAGTAAACAAAGCTAGTTTCTACTCCCTACACTAAACTGCAATCAGTTTTACTAGACACGGGGGGGGGGGGGGGGGGCAAAAGCCAAAGTTCAAGGGTTAACATGTATGGGTGTCATTAACATTTAATAGGCTATAATGGAGCAAGTATAATTGAGTACCATATAGTAATGATTATTTGATAGTCTAAATCAAATAACCTGTATACCCCCCCCCCCTTGGTATTTTAATTAGCGAGAGCAAACATTTATCTCTACAGCTAGTTAGCAGGCTAAGAAGACTGAAGATTAAGGCTGTCTTCGAAAACTAAATCCGCGATATTTGACCCCCTGCTACTGAGATATCGACAGTGTTCTAAAATCGGGAGCGAGAGCACACGAGAAGATTAATTCGTCGATATGTCGTGTCTACGTTGATATCGAAACTGTGGTTCCCAGCCCCGGTAAATAAAGTTCATGAAAAAGTTCACAAGAAAATCAAAGAATCAAAACCGTCCTGTCTTTCGGAATTTATCTGATATTAACGTTAATTACTTTTCGAACCTTTACTTTCTTTTTTCAAGTCCCATTGTTAAATATTGAATTATTACCGTGGTGTGGCGAGGATTCGTGCGAGAATAATCCAGGAAAACAAACCAGAAAATGCTTTCTCTCCCGTCTTGATCGTCAGCCATTTTTGTTATTGTTTATATCAATATGTTAATTAAGGACCGGGATTAAGGACCATATTTGGTGACAAGTTTCTTCGCGGAAAGCCCGGGAAATGTAGTTTAAATTATTTATGAATGAAAAGTTCTCAAAGAAATTGTAATCAGATTTACTTTGACCAATGGGGAAGCGGTCTTTTAAAATGCAAATTACCCGCGTAATTAAAGGCCAATGAGAGAATGCCCAATTATGATGACGTTTTTAACATGTATATTCTCGTAGACAGATATTCCCCTGCCAAAGCGCCTGATAGTTTTGACAAAAGAAATGTGGAAACGGGCATGATTTTACTGTTGGTTTGTATCTGTTTAAAACAAGCAGATAATACGCCCGATAATACGGCTGTATGTATGATCGTTTTTTAGAAATCGAGCTTGATTTGACGGGTAAGCCCACAATTCAAAATAGAGTCTACAGTACTATTTTCTTGGTCCCACGGCAAACATCGAGGCTCGATATTTTGTTGATATTTTGTCGTGTCTTTCTATTCATACTGAACATTACCGCCATCTGGTGGCCATCTTTTTACACATGTTTCTTGGTAAGAAGTTCTAGAACTGATTAACTTCAAATTTTTACACATGTTACATGGTAAGATGTTCTAGAACTGGTTAACTTTTCGGTGGCCATCTTGCGTTCTGGCAACCATTTTGGAAGTTTATAGATAAATCTTGTCATCACAATTCCATGATTTACTTCATATTTTTACACATATTACATGTTACAGCTGATTAACTTTTCCGTGGCCATCTTGCTTTCTGGGTCAACAAGCCCACACACTGATATGTTTTAGGTATGATATTGTTCACCTTGTGCCTTGTTTGAAAACATCTGTAATCAATATACACATATGTTGTCACTCCGGATATTCCAGAGGTCAAATATAAAGTTTTTATGTTCAGCAATGAGTAAAGTTTTAAAAGGTCTCTTTATCTTAATTTTGGCTAATAATGAGTTATTATTACTGAATTTAGTATTCACATGACACTGCTTGTTTGTTTGACAGTTTCATTACATAATTTACAACTTCTCAAACAAAAAACTCCTTTTTAGATTAAGAACACATTTTGATACATAAGATTACAATAATAAGTCGATGTGGATTAAACTTTACAGGGGGCCTTTAACTTGTCAGTGCAGTGATATGTTGATTATTATTGTGAAGTTGTCATCACTGTAAAGTTAAAACTAAAGATCAGTCCACTTCAGGGTGAATGTTTTTTGAAAATCTTGACTTTGAAGTGCTGTTTAGCAGTGACACTTTAGTTACTAGTATAGTATCTCATGTCAAGTCTTGACCTGACCTTGAATCAAGAATATCAGAAATTGATTTCTAAGAAGAGTTTAAAAATACAAGTAAAATACAACTACTTAGTACTTCAATAATAATATGTGTACATGTTCAACAATTAAGTTTAAAGTTATTTTTGGAGGATTGATTTGATAGTGAGTAATATTTCAGCAATCAGGATGATATGTAAAATGATCCGTTAATAATGAACAGTTAATACTATTATATACAGGATATTTGAAATAACCAGTTTCATTGGAATGAAAAAATGGAATCACTTTCATTTTGATAAAAGAGATAGAAATGGCAGGCAAGGCTGGATATAAAAGGCAATTGTCTAACAGGTTAGCTTGCTTTTTAACACTTTATCTTTCATGTACATGTACAGCTTGCAAAACTTGCCTTGTATGTTTATAACTGAAGAATTTTAACTGGATTTATAGACAAATTTGATTTCAGTGTTTCAAGAATGAGGTCTGTTGTGTGATGTTCATGTAGTCAATGTGTTGATTAAACACAGGTAATCACTATTGAGAAGTACTCACTATAAATGAGGTATTTACTAGAAAAATAGTATTCATTAGATTAACGTATTCATAAGAGATTCTTTTCTCTATATAGGCAGGTATTCCCTAGTGAGATTTAACTTGTCATTATGGAAATGTGTTCATATTCATAAAACTGTTTGGTAAAGATCTCTACTAGAGAAGGGTGTTCACTTTCAAGAGTATTTACAAGAATCTTAAGGAGGTCTGTTTGGGCCTCTAATTCTTTTGAATTCATTCGAACTTCAAAATTGTTTTTGCATCCCCCCCACGAAAAGAGCTGCAAGTATTACTTGCAGCAATGGTAACATTATTTATTTATTTATATTTGTTCTCATGTTTTCAGCTCAGACAAATACAGTACTGTTGAGCAAGAAGTCACACCAGTGAACCTTGTACACCACTTACAGAGGTGAGACCTATTACATTGTCTTAAAATAACACCTATTAGACAGGTTTGTGTACTTGAGTCTTGAGATTGCATATCACTGATGTCATTTATATAGCACTGCTTATATTTTAGTCAGATGTCACATGATTTTTTCATATTTTAGTGATGTTTAAGGATTTAAGCCTTTGACTCAGTGCAATGTGGGATGACCATTTCTTGAAGGTGTTGCTTTCCAAAATTTGCACGAGATGCTTTGCATCGAGTGTTAATTTTAGGAAACAACGCCTGAAATGGTCATTCCACAAAGCATTGAGTCTCGGGCTTAAATTCTTTTCACATATTGTAAAATATTTTCTATAGAATCACCTGAAAGATGTAAAATCAATAAAAGAACATATTTTCAATGAAACTTTATGCAAGGGTCAAGTATTGACAAAACATTAAAACATTTCCTCACCTTAGTAACCATACACAACAAATGCATTATTTCATGCTGTCACTCGGAAATACACTGTTTGGATTGGCTGGAATCGGACACACCTTGCCTAGCCATGTGTGAATTGTATTTGAATGATGTCATTAATATGATGTCATTCATATTTGAGTGATGTCATTAATATGATGTTATTTGTATTTGAGAGATGTCATTAATATGATGTCATTCATTTTTGAGTGATGTCATTTATTCATAATTCAGTGATGTTATTTATATTTAATATTAGTGATATGACTTATATGTCTTATTAATATTTTTATTTTGATGTCATGAATATGATGGTATTTATTGATTATTTATATGTGTAAATGGTTTTTAATGGGAGGAATGACTGTAATGCCATCTATGTTTTTAAATTATAATCAATTCCTGTTGAATCATTGCCAGTTGAACAAAGTTTTTGTTAAAATATCAGAATCATTTAATGTGTAATACAAAAGAGTGCTATAGCCATGATTAATGTCTGTGTATTTCTTACAGCACAAACCCAGAGATACCAAAGCGTGCTATGATTAATGTCCTGTGTATTTCTGAGTACAAATCCAGAGATACAAAAGAGTGCTATAGCCATGATTAATATCTGTGTATTTCTTACAGCACAAACCCAGAGATACCAAAGCGTGCTATGATTAATGTCCTGTGTATTTCTTACAGCACAAAAACAGAGATACAAAAGAGTGCTATGATTAATGTCCTGTGTATTTCTTACAGTACAAATCCAGAGATACAAAAGATTGCTATAGCCATGATTAATGTCCTATGTATTTCTTACAGCACAAATCCTGAGATACAAAAGAGTGCTATGATTAATGTCCTTTGTATTTCTGAGTACAAATCCAGAGATACAAAAGAGTGCTATAGCCATGATTAATATCTGTGAATTTCTTACAGCACAAATCCAGAGATACAAAAGATTGCTATAGCCATGATTAATGTCTGTGGATTTCTTACAGCACAAACCCAGCAATACCAAACCGTGCTATGATTAATGGCCTGTGTATTTTTACAGTACAAATCCAGAGATACAAAAGATTGCTATAGCCATGATTAATGTCTGTGTATTTCTTACAGCACAAACCCATAGATACCAAAGAGTGCTATGATTAATGTCCTGTGTATTTCTGAGTACAAATCAGGAGATACAAAAGAGTGCTATAGCCATGATTAATATCTGTGAATTTCTTACAGCACAAATCCAGAGATACAAAAGAGTGCTATAGCCATGATTAATGCGCTGTTTCTGAAAGGGGACCAAGACAAGAGGAAGAAAATAGCCAGCAATCTTCAGTCTAAATCTTTCAGAAATGTCATTCTCAATGTAAGTTTATTTTCAATTAGATAATTCTTTTTTCTAAAAGCCTTTAACATTTTAAGTGTAATTATGATACTAGTTAAAATATGAAAATGTTGTCAATTTGAAGGTTGAGCTGATGGCTTCTAATTTTTTCTTATTTTGGGAATTTCTTAACTAACTGCAGGATGGATTGATTAAAAAAATCTCATACTGATAGTCTTCACTTATTGACATGCTGGGTTTGTTTTAAGGTGGCCAATTTGGATTTTGAGTACTAATGTTTCATTGTTGTTAATGAATATCTTTTGTATTGTGTTCTTTGTGGATAACTCTCACATTGAAGATTCATTGTCAATTGCCAGTTTTTAGAGTTATTTGGTGAAGTTGTCTGGTGAAGAATTCTATTGAAACCTATTGGTTATATGTACATTGTATTTGTAGAGTGTTATTCGAGGTAGTACCACTATAGGTTCTGATATGGCCCACCAGCTTTACAAACTCCAGAGCCTTCTCTTCAACCTACTGGAGGAGAAGATGAACACCCCTATAGATGTCAATGACTCTGTATGTTAGCTTACTTTTGTGAATCGGACTAAAACTGTCATTATGATTGAAATCTTGCCAATGCTGTAAAGCCTCGGTCACGTTAACTCTACAGTGGGCATGCAGCGGTCGTAGCTTCACAAAATTGACATAGCAAATCTACATCGTACTGCTAATTTCAACATTTTTGCTGCATAGTTCTCTTGATTTTTGGAAGCTACGGCTGCGGTAAGGTTGCCATAGATCATAGTGACTGAGGCATTAATAAGGACATAAGTTTTAAGAAATATTATTTACATTATATTACTACCAAAATCAGCTGACTAAACTGTATCATTAATAATGATATAGTGTATGTACATCTACATTCTTATGCTATTGGAAAGTAAATTGTCTGTAAAGCTGAATTGTTTTTGGAGGGATTACGGGAGCCTTTTCAGAAGATTTTTGCGAATCCTGTACAACTTGTTGATTTTTGTTCTTTTTTAGAAAGCAACTCAGGCAATTGTGGATCTTCGTAAAATAGCATTTGATACTGATATCGACCCTAACAACAGTGTTGCCAGGAAACAAGGTGGTTATGCCAAAGACTATGTGAAACTTGGCTTCAAGGTATATTTTCAGTAGTACCTTTTCAGTTACTAGATGTAAAGATTTTTTTCAGTTTTGTACCTTCTCCATACAGAGTCACACTGTTCAACCAGTGTATTCCTTCAGTCATAATACCTTGAGAGATCAAGATTATACAGAGTTCAGACAGAGAAAAATGTCAAAGATCATAAAAACCCTTTTACAGAGGCTGCCTGAAGTTGAGTAATGCATACTTGCAAACAGGAAGTAGTGCATTTAATCACCTACAATTTATTTAGCCACGTGCTTAATGGCTAGAAAGTTATCTAAAATCTGGGAATATAATATATTTGTATTGATTGAAATACATATAATAGTGGAGACTAACAACTGAGAGATAATAATTACATTTATTTACATGTTTTAGACATTAAATCTGTAGTGAGTGTAGGAAATCAAAAATAAACTCTATATGGGATACATGTTATTTATGAAATACATTTCATGAAGTGAACATTTAGCTGGTATAGAGATTTTCATTTCATCACAAATAGTTTTTTCAAATTCCAACATGTCCTTTCTCAAGGTCCTTGCATATAAAAATTGATAAAACCTTAAAGACCAACCAAATGATCTATAATGAAACTCAACCTTTTTGGTTGGATCTGCTCTTTAACTAGCAACAAGCTTAGCAACCAATCACATTCGACTTTCTGAACAGTCAAATATTTGAGACTGTTTTTCACTAAGAGACATTGGAAGTTATTTCGTACTTAGTACCGGTATGATATCTGAAAAGGCGTATCAGATTTTACCTCAAGTTCGGTATTTGTCGATGTGTCTAACTTATTTAGCCCCTTTCCAGTCCTTTGTTTGTAAATCAGGCAATAAATTGCAAGCGCTATAACCACTAATACAAATACTACGGCTATCACAATTCCTGCTATTGTGCCAGGAGCCATTTTTTGAGGACTTGATTTACTCCCTTTGGGTGTACCTGGTTTGATATCTGATGTGGAGGTTGTCATAGGAACACCATTGTCGAATTTGTTGGTCTTGTTGCTTGTGTTGTTGTCACTGCTAGGGCTTGTGATATTATTAGGGCTTGTGATATTGTTAGGGCTTGTGATATTATTAGGGCTTGTGATATTATCAAGGCTGATGATATTATCAAGGCTTGTGATATAATTAGGCGTGGTGATATAATCAGGGCTTGTGATGATATTTTCGGCACTGGGGATATTGCTAGGGCTGGTGTTAGTATTTATTGTTGTAGGAGTTGCCTTAGTAATTGCATTAGTTTGTTGTGTTGTTGCCAGGTTGCAATTGTTTGTATCATTCAAAGAACAACGTTCAAGAAAACTCTCCCACAATTTCACACCTGAAGTGGTAACCTCTGATAAACAGTTATTTTTGTCATAATTGGGATCTAACCATTTTTTCAGCCAGATATATGAACAGTTACATGGGATCTTATTATAGGAGAAACGAAATATTTTCAGATTTGTGAGAGAGTTTATAATGCATTTATCGATGCTTTTAAGCTTGTTGTTTTTAATATTGAGAGTATTCAATGTGTACTCTAGTCCTACCAAAGCATCATCGTCCATGTTAGCAATGTAGCCATCTTGAAGCATCAAATTAGCAAGTGATGTCATACCTGTGAAAGCATTGCCTGTGACATTCCTGAAGCGGTTATCATTCAAATAAAGTATTTTCAAAGTTTTTAGGCGATTTAGGGCATCTGAGGGAACCACTTTGAGATAGTTCATCCCCATCTTCAACACCTCAACTGTGTATTCTAACCCAGCAAAAGCATCAGTGCGTATTAAAGAAGCCAACTCATTGTGCGATAAATCAATCATTTTGAGTCGTGTGTTGTTTATGAAAGCATTAGGGGGAATAGACTTGATATAGTTATATGACAGTATTAAGACCTCAAGGGACTCCAAGCTACTTAGCGCTTGAGTGGGTACATCTCTCAATCTGTTCCCTTGTATTTCTAAGTTTGTCAAACTGCTCAATCCATCAAACGCATGTGCTCCAATTACCTCTATGATGTTCTTGTCCAAGTCGATACATAGTAAATGGATAAGACCTTGGAAAGCATTATCACCAACTTCTTCAATGAGATTAAAATCCAATGATATTTCTAGTAGTTTTGTAAGGGCTAGAATACTTGTTGGTATATTTTCCAAGTTATTGTGACTTAGGGTTAGGTTCTCCAGTGTGTTGTTCAGTGAATCAAATACCCCATCAGGAGCCTGTTCTATCTGATTATTAGCCAAACTTACTAGGGTAATGTTGTCTATTGCTCCAGGATCCAACTTCCTAAGAACAGCATCCCTGATGGTTGTACAAGATATTTCTGAGTGGTTTTCCTTTGATTCACATTGACATTTGTATTCCCCAAATATGCACGACTCTTTGGAAAAGCCAGAAGTGAAAGCACTCATGAAGATGAATATGGAAACTGTAGTTGCATACATATCGATCTGCAATTGAAAGGGGACAATATTTACTATAGAATAATATATATGTTTCAGATTTCAAAGATTTATTGTGAAAATGTGAATTTACTTGAAGGAATCAGAAGGGATATAGATCCAATTACTTTCTTTATAATCCTAATTTTATTTTTTGATAAAAGAATTAACATTTCTGATCAAATGTAGAAATTATTGAAAATGCAGAAATGCCTGGAGTACTTTAAATGTCCCCATTTTCAGTTCCTCATCAGATTACGTTACAAATGGCACTGCGTGAAATATGGGATTCCAACTCTTGACACGTCTAGAAACTGGTCTTTACACGCCGGGTTTCTAGACGTGCCAATTATTTACACCTCTTGACACGCGATGAATTCAACTCTTTACACCTCTTTGCACTTCTTGGCACACGCAGTGCAAAGACGTGTAAAGACCATGTCAAAAAGTCTTTACACGCCCTGTGACAATTAATGGAATCTCTTGACACGCTCTTGGCACACTGAACAACATAATTATGTGTAAACAACTAACCTAATTACCAATAGCAATACATACAGTATTTTAATGATTGCAAGTATTTTCTCTGATACTTTTAATTGATATTTTCTTAAATCATTCTTTCGCAGACTGTTTGGAATAAGTACATGTAGCAAATATTAAACAGACTATTTTGTATGTACGCTGACACATTGACTTATTTAAACATTTTGGCAATTTCATGCCGCCTTTTGAAAATATAAATCAGTTACAGGCAATGCTAATCGACGCATTGATCCTAAGTGAAGGAAATACATATCATGATAAGAAAAAGAAAGGCGTTTCAAGGATAAAACGTGCAATAAACTTTGAAAACACTGATACATCAGGCCTATGTATATATTTATTTTGTATTAGCTTAATATAAAGATAACCTTACTTTTCGATGAGTATTTGGATTTCGGAGTAATTTGTTTCAAGTTAAGTCAATACAAATTATCGCCGACTTAACTTGTGACCATACATATGATAAATGAGGGGCATTTTAATACACAATTGGGCAAAACAAGCATATTCAATCGAATGTACCATTCTCTCTGCTGTTCTTTCCCAGCCTATCCATAAACAGACAGGTACAAGTTCCCATAGTTTTCGCAACATCTAATTCTATGATCAATTGCTAGACACAGCAAATATACTAATTAATTGTCTGATTGTGATTCGGGAACGTAGGGTTTTTACATAAACAGGATACTTGGCTGTACATAGCCTGAGAACACCGGATTGACCCCCCCCCCCCCCCCCCCCCCAATCGACGCCTAGGCGCTGCTTATGTTTTAATAAGAAACATTCCCTTGTAAAGAATTATCGGGATATGAATTGATACAAGGTCAAGTATTCTGCCCCTTTTGTGTGATAAAAATATGTATTTAATTGGTGCTTTAACTTTTTGAACAAAGAAATGAAATAATCGCACTGAATGTCTCAACATAAATCAGTGATGTTTAATTAATAAATGGCACTTATGTCAGTCTACGCACTTCATGGACATGGACGGGGGGGGGGGGGTGTGAGTAAATTTTGTATTAAAGAGTAATCAATAGGTCGTGAACTCCGATTGATAACCAACTGTAGCATACTACTTAATTTGTTTGACTATTGATATTAAAAAGGAGTGAATTTATGATATTCATAGAGGTACATTGTATTGGTATTAATATAATAATGATATTGGGGACCATAAACCACTTTGTTTCGCAAGTAGCTTTAGGATCGCGGTTTTATCTTCACATGTTGCCCTTTGTGCAATTCGAAAATGAAATATTTTAATCTATAATTTATATATCATTTGCAAAATAAATGTAATTAAGAGACATGGGGGAGGGGGGGGGGTTAACGGCCAGAATTTGGAATGAATTTGGGAATTTCAAGGATTGATTCACTTAATGTTGTTCACTGGAGTCGATACACACACCTGCATAACAATCGGAGACAAAACTGACTTAATCTGATATGATAACAAAAGATTAATAACTTAGTCTATGTTTTTGTTTTTATAATTGCGGAAGTGTACCAAAACCACCTTGATTACAGAAGATATCGTCTAGGCTTTAGATTTAATGAATAGATTTTTTGCCCAAGTCTCATTTAATAAAACAGGCTATTTGCGTATTTAATTAATATTTGTGACAAAATATTTCAGTTAGACTCAAAATCAAAACGAATTTCTCCATTATAGCCCCCCTTGCAACTGTCCCGAGTCTGTATCTGTTTTTCATGCTTCCGATCCACCTTTGGGATAGAGAGAATAGATGTAGATTTGTAATTTGGGGGGGGGGTGGCATTAAATGTGCTCTCATACAAACTAAAATAAACCCCAAAAAGCCATATCAAATGTCCAAACACAAGACCAATGCCATGTCAAACATCTAAATATAGAACCAATGCCATACCCCCGGGTACCAAATATCCAGAATATAAGACCAAGGCCATTCGAAATATCGAATGCCCCGAGAAGAAGGCAGATCTTTGAGTAAAATGATCATAAACAACCTCAAATGAAGGATATGTGTAACAACTAGACCAATGCCCCGGGACCAATGCCGTACCACAATTGAGGGGTAACATATTTTCTCTCAGTGTCCTTCTATAACGCTTGTGCATAGCAGAGATGGTCTGAGTATCAGAATGTGGATTTCATGTTTCTATTGAATCCCTTATTTTGAAGTCTAGCTAAATAATCGAGTTTGATTTTAAACGTTTTCGGGGATCCGGGCAGAACTCAGGATATAGTACTTGAGTACATTTGCATTCAAAATAATTCAAAATTCAAAATTGCAAATATCATGGAAGTTGATTGAAATTATGTTCGATGATCGTCAACATGAAAGAACAATATGTCTGAATAATTAGCTATTAAACATCTTTATCAAAACTTTCCTACACTTTTAAATGTTGATCTTGTCAAAGAGTACTCTCCATCTGAGATTCAGATGTAGATCGAAAATCAAATTGATTTCAAAGGTATTTATAGATGGTTTACATGAGGGGTTCTGTCCATGTGGGTGGTGTATTCCTTTCATAACAAAGAGTTGTTTTGCTTCCGGGGTCCTAAATTATTCAATTTTAAATAGTAACTAATAAGATTAAACAGATCAAAAAGACTCGGGGCACTGCCGTCGCCCCATCATGATCAATACAGGTGACAATAAGCGACACATGTTTCAGCGTCATGATAGTAAACCATGACATCTCAAATCTTCCCAGCCCTTGATTTTTGAGATCTTTCATCCCAGCTCATATTTCATCTAATTGGGGTCATAAAACTTGTGTAACTGTGCCTGTTGCATCCTCGCTGGAAGGGTATTTTACAAGTATAAATGAAGTCCTTTGAAGAAGGATGTGCCTGTTGTTAAATACATGTACAATGCCTTACTACATTATGTAATGTATTGACATTAAGGTAGATGATTACATGATAACAATCACACTTATTGACATTCATAACTCTTCCCATCTGATATGCTCAGATCACAGAATATGCCTCATTATATCAGAACATGTTTCAGACGTTTCAGACCCATAGCCAGGATTTGCCAAGGGGTGGGTTACTTTTTAAAGAAATTCCAGGGGGAGTTTACTTTTGGCAATGTTAGTTCAAAAATGAGCAAAATAATTTAAAAGGTGCTCAGTATGGGGTAAAAAATGCAATTTTGGTCACGGAGGGAGGGGGGGGGGTCGCTAGAACCAATCCATCCCCCCTGTATTCGGGCCTGCATGTGCTATCTACATATTTGACAATTTGATTGACACGGTTCAAAGTGGACTTTGTTAATTATTCAAACTGTTTTAATATCTAGGAATATGCGTCCAAGTTAAAATCACTCGAAATCAGGGTAGATAAACCTAAGAAAAACACATTACGTGTTTTCATTTGATCTTTAACATGATCCTGTAAAAATGTTAGATTTAGCAAAATACATAGGCGATCTCCATCTGCACACATCTACTCATTTCGACTAAGCTATTGCCTATACTTACACGCACACGCATACTTTTAAATTAATTTTATTTTGATAATGATTTAAAAAACACAAATTATTATTAACACGAAATTAAAATTATTGTTATATTCCAATCCTAGTAAAGTATAATTAAGCGCGACTATAGGGCATAACAACATGTGGCCGGTCTAATTATACTGTTTGTTTTGATAAGGCTGTGCAAAGAGATATCAAAACTCTTGACACGCTCTTTACACGCGAGGTCTTTGCACCTCTTGACACGTCTTGGAATCTCTAGATACGCGGAGTTCCTAGACTATCTTTGCACGTCTAGAAATTGCTTGGAATTTCACATTTGACGCAGTGTGGAATGATAATCCTAATATAAAGTCAGAGCTGTTAAACTGTTGTAATAAAATGGAATGACGAGAGCAAAAAAATGTTGACTATGAAATATTTAAATCACAAATGGAAAGAGTCTTCTGAAAACATGATTTCAATATGATACAAATAAAATATACAGTTTTTAAAGTATAATTTCTTACTTTAATTTACGCTTCTGTATACCAATATGAACTTGAGGATCCACCTCCAGAGAATCTTTGTCTTGTGTTAACTGACCTATATTGCAATATTTATTTTTGATGTTTTCGTCTCAGGCTGGTATCTGTCTGTGTTGCAATTTTAAGCTTGTATAATATAACTTTAGAAATAGTTGTTGTTATCTTTAAAAATTGTTACGCTCTGACAATGAGCTATCTACGTAACTGAAAAAAACTTGTCAAAAAAGTTGACAAAGTGTTTTAATTTCTGAATGAGTTGAAAAGAACCAATACATCATGCTGTTGTATTGAATGCAGCTTGCATCCCGTTCATTCTTTTATTGAAATAAACTTAAATGTTAAAATGAACTTTTATTTAAAAAACAGATAATAACATTCCAAAGGTGTCTTCAACTGAGCTTTAAAAACTTCACCTGCCATCATAGTAAATAAATTCGGCAGCACAATAATATTAATTTGAGACTTCATGTTTTGTTTGTCAGTCTGAAGTTGGAGTGTTCCACTTGGTTGCAAGTGCAATCTAGTCTCAGTATTTTCTGCTCTGAATTGAGCACTGCCCGGGATAGTGAAATAATAACTTTTTGATTGCAATTATTATAAATAGTTGGATCACGAATTATGTTTTACATTTAAATTTTCCAATACAGTAGTATTTACTTCAATGAAATAAATTAACCAATCATTGACCTTGCGGCCCATACATACACGGACATAGCAATAGTCAGGCATGAGGTAGGCAAGACAGCTGCCTCGCCAGGATTTCATAAATAGAGGTCAATTCAGGCAACCGTGAAAATGAAGTCAAATTAACAGTAATAATTGCCTCAACTCAATGTTTGCCTCAACTCAATGTTTGCCTCAACTCAATTTTTGCCTCAACTCAATTTTTGCCTCACTTGTTCAATATTTGCCTAAACTAATTAGAGATCCTGGCCTCATACATATTTCTGTATTTTTGTAGAATGAACGTAATCCCATTGAGGACTTCACACAGACTCCACCTGGTGGCCTTGCCTTGGACAACATGATCTACTTTGCCAGACAGCATGGGGAAAACTACACTAAGGTAAGACGCTAGTGGTAGCATTTATAGAATTCTGAAAGCTTGTATCAGGTTTAAAATGTACAGTTTGAATATTGAATATTAAGGTATGATTTATTTCCAAAAGAGGATTGGTTCCCAGAATTCTTTTGCCATCTTCTGTTGACTGGCATGGACCAATTTGGTGATATACGTTACTATAATGTTCATCTCCCTACTAAATGCATTGTCTGAATATTAGCAATATAGTTCAAACCTACACTGTACATCTTTTGATCTATTTATATTTAATGTAACTAAAGTCATTTGCATTACATTTCATGAGGAAATCATGCAGACTAAAATCTGATGTTATGTTTGTTTACAGGTAGTTCTGGAGAACTCTTGCAGGGCAGATGAGCATGACTGTCCATTTGCCAGGGCTAGTATTGAGTTAACAGCAATGTTATGTAAAGTCTTGAAAGTCGGCACACCACGTGAGTTCTGAATTCGACGAGTTTGTTAGTTAATTATCTTTTAGAGGTTTATGCATCCTATATAATTTGCTTACTTCTTAACTTTGTATTTTCAAGAAAGAAGCTTGACATCAACATCCATTGGTGGTGCAGATTGCAGACCTCTATGATTTTTTAAATGGATATTTTAGAGACAGGGCCCTTTTCAACAAATACAATTAATTCAAGTTTAATTTGCCACCTAACAATTTGACATTAAAATCAATTTCTCCGTCATGTCACTTATCTAAGCCTGTTTGATGTGATTTGTATAATACAAAAGTTGGTAACTACATGTAACTTGTAGTAAATACAAAGTATAAAATACACATTTATGATATGAAGAAAAAGAAGCATGAAAATATCTTGAAAGTGCAATTTTTGGGTAAATAGTACAATATTTTGATCCAATATTTTGTAGACCTAAATATTATATGTCAATTGATACCGTATCCTGTCATCATCACCATATCATTTGTCGTTACAGCATCTGAAGGGGGTGAAGTCTACTACCCAATGTTTTTCACCCATGACCATCCATTTGAAGAGTTCTTCTGTATTTGTATACAAACTCTCAACAAGACATGGAAAGAGATGAGAGCAACTGCTGCAGATTTCACCAAAGTGAGTTGAGTAACATTGTTTTCATGGGAATTCCATCAAGTGAGTTGAGTAACATTGTTTTCGTGAGAATTCCAGCAATGTCAAGTTGCACTTTCATATAGATTGATATTCTGAGATAAAGGAGGTTTTAATAGAGCTAAGTTTAAATTACAAAGTCATCAATGTACTACTGCTTGATTGGATTCCCATGTGGATTTTCAATCAGAATATTGCATTGTTGTAGGTTAATTGTGATTGCAATGAATCTGACTTGCTGTTTGAATGTGTGGATATTATAAGTTGAATTATACTATTGATAGCAATGTTACATTGTACATCTAGGTTGATATATCATCATCATCATCATAAATTATTGCATAATGTCACTTATAGGCTGATATAACACTGATGATGGAAAATGTTAATATTTCATTGATAATAGGGTTATATTGTAATGTTAAGCACTCATATTGCAATGTCATGGGTTTATATTGCAATGTTATTGGTTAATATTGCATTGTTATAGGTTCATATTGCAATGTTATTGGTTTATATTGCAATGTTATAGGTGCTGAGTGTAGTGAGAGAACAGATCACAAGGACCTTAGAGAATACAGAGAGTGCACGCCCATTATCATTTGACCAGTTCAAGCATAACCTTGCCTCCCTTACATATAGTGAGATCACCAACATCTGGCAGCGAGAGAGGGAGAGCAAGGAGGAGTGGGAGTCTAAGGCCAGGCCTATAAAGTAAGGAGACCCCCATGTCAATAGATTTAAGTCATCTGTGTATATGTAAGGCTAGGTTATAATCTTCTTGTTTCACAACAAGTGAAAGCATAATTACCTTGCAGTTAGTTACTGATTTGAACTCAACATGACATTTAAAACATACATGTTTCCTATAAACTTTAAGAAAATTGATTTAGATTTTCATTTAAAATTCAGTTTATTTGATAAAAGTCCATAAAGTCACATCTTTCTTGTGGTATCTAGTCTTGTTAGAAATAGCTTCTAGATCATATAGATATAGTATAGGACCTTAGTATATGCAACTTTGGATGATTTTTGAAATTACTTTTCCTATCACTTCCTGCATCATTATAAATTGAGCGTTATTACAGTTCTTATATTTTTCAGGGAATTAAAAGAAGAGATTACACCAGAGATTGTTGAGCTGATAAAACAACAAAGATTAAACTATGTCATGGAGGGAACTCGGTTTACTAAATATATACCGAATAAAAGACAAAAAGGTAGGTTTAAAAAAGTCAGGTTGCATGGCTGTAACAGACATTTAAAGTTCATTTGATGATGGCTTGAGCATGCTATGGTAAAGTTCACCCAAGGGGATTTTCACAAGTGGTAACCTACAATGACTGGTCAAAAACTGGTCAAATTAGTCCTGTTTTTTGTACCATTTCATTCTCACCTTTCAACTGGCAGAAAGGAACCCTAATTGGAATCGTATAGATCAGGACATCCTGCTTTAATACTGTGAAAGCACTGAAGATAGCATGTATGATATTCTCTTTTGCTGAAGGATTTATTTAGATCTTTATCCCTTTAAAAGCTCAGCAAAAGTGAATAACTCGATGACTGATTAACAGATTAAGATGTGCAGATGATTATTTAAGATATTCCTTTTCACCATTGGCATTTTACTGTTAGGTACACCCATGAATAAAATAGATAATGTCACACTAGTATTAAACCTCGTTGATGCACATGTTATTTCACTTTCAGTCTTCATAACGAATGGTAAAAAATAATTTTTTGTTATGTTTAATAGTTTTGTTTTACAATACATTAACATACTAGCAATTAATATTGTACCTTCATTTTTAAATGTTTTATTTAGTGTATTGTTAAAAAACGAATGTTTCACTTTCTTCATATTTTGTGTTCTGATTGTAAGAAATTGTAAAAAGTCGCTACTTGATTTCAATATTCAACCACAGTGGCTTTATCATTTAAGGTCACACATATTGTTTGCTATTGTCTGCCCACTGGTTATTCCAACGAATCTTGGGCTCACAGATATTTAGAATTTTTATGAATTATTGTTTAGGTAAATGGTATTCTAAATAAGACATCAGACAAATGGTATTTTACACTGCATGATAGGTATCACAATTCTATTGTCCATTTCTCTGTGCTGGCCATCTACTGTATAATATTCTGCAACACATTTACTTTGAGCAAACTTTACCTCATTAAACATTCATTGTTGGACCATGACTATCTTAGAATTATTGTCAAGGTCATTAATATTGTAACCTATTGTATGATCTTTGTTCAGGTCACTGGCATTTTGAAATAGCATGCAAATATTCAATATTGTCTTTAAACTATTATATGATTAAGAAATAAATAGTGATAGGCCATTCAATATGATGAAATTCAGCACTAGTTGGGACAGAATTTGGTACAAAGCATGAACCAAAGCTGAGTGCATTTGTACTGACATTCTGTCCAACAAGTGTAGAATTTCACCGTATTGAATGGCCTATCATTATTTATTCCGATTCAGACATAAAAAATGAAAACATTGTTCAAACAATTGGGGATTGGGGTCCATAAAATAACCAACTTGCTGTTATTTACGCCATTCATAGGCTTGAAGTCACAGTATATAGATACTCGGATGATTGAATAGAGCACGGTCATGCATGTATGGAGAAAAAAGAGAATGTTCTTTATTGGCTATGTTGGATTCTGATTGTTTGAGAAATTCAATTAGAGCACGGTCATGTTTGAATCTTTATTTTTGTCAGGTGTACATGTATTATTAACTGGCACACATTCATTGTCCAGGTCACTGTAAACTAGCAGACATTCATTGTATCACAGGTATTGCAAAATAGCACATAATCGTTGTTTAGGTCACTGATATTATAAACTATTATACATTGATTGTCCAGGTCACTGGTATTGTAAACTAGCACACATTCATTGATTGTATAAGTCACAGGTATTGCAAAATAGCACACAGCCATCTTAACCTAAACTAGCACACATTCACTGTTCAGGCCTCTGGTGTTGTAAACTATCACAATCATTTTCCATGCTACTACATGTATATCACATAATTCCTTGTTCAGATCATTTAAATGGTACCCCATTGTAAACTTTACCACACAATCAATATGTAAGGTCACTGTTATTGTAAACTATCACTCTGCTTATTATTTCAGGCCATTGGTATTGTAGACTATCTCCAAATCAAAAGTTCTTACATTATGGAGACTGGGGTGAAGAAAATACCAAACCTCCAATAGAAAGTCTTCCAAACAAATGTAGGTATTGCTGTAAATGTTGTTTTCATTGCTTGTATGACTGTGCTTAACAGTGCTACTAAATTTAATCATTAAAACATATCTTATTTATTATTATTCATGGTAGATTAATATGTAGATTGTATAAGGAGCATGATAGAGATTAAGATTCTAATCAATCTAATTGAGATACAGCACTCAACTCTGCACATGACCATACATCTTTTGTGTTATACTCTTCGTAATATTTTTGATTGACTCGCTTTGAGGTCTTTCTGGATACAGAGATAGGCCTATATTGATACCTAAGAGCTATATAACCCAAATCTCATACCAACATTTGTACATGGAATTGCAGAATTATTTCAGAATTAATTGATGTTTGCATGATTTCAGTGGCTGTTGTTGACATTAAGAATCTACTCACAGGAGATGATTGTCCACATATGAAAAAAGTGAAAAAGGTAGTTATTTATCAGCATGTCTGACTAATGTCTGTGCAATTTTCAGTTTTAAAATTCAGATCCATCCATTTGATTAGAATAGCAAATAGTAAACCCTGTCTTCAATATAAGACCCCATCTCACAGTTGTAACCCAAAGGCATGTTTTATGTAGAAGCCTAAAGGATCTCAGCATTTACCTCTTCAATTTTGTTATTTGCTCAGACCTTAATTTTTTTCTTATTTGCATGACAAATTAAAACCAGAAATACTGATTTGGGAGTGTCTCCATTGGCGCAAGACCCGTAGACTAAACAGTTAAAACCTAAGAAAAATTGAGTGATGTTTTAACATTTCAGACGGCATTCAACCAAACTGCCTTCTCCATCATCTCGGATGTCTCTGAGGAGATTGAACCACTCAACTTCATCGCACCCTCGGAGAAAGACTACCAAATGTGGACAGACTGTATAAACTGTCTTTTAGGGCAGAAGGTAGGTTTTTAATCAAATTTAGGAACAGGCCAAAAGATAATATGACTTTGAATATAATTACGATTGATAATTCAATGTGATGAGCTTATTTGAAGAGATTTATTGACTGATAACTGATAACTGTATTTGGGGTTATTGCACGTGTAGCTTTTTAAATGAATTTTGCCATTTTAGACCTATTGGCAAAGTTTTAATTTTTGTGGATTTACAGTAAACTTTCAATTCAACCAGCAACAATTTAATCTAAAGTAAAATTATGAGCCAATTACAGAATACACTAGCATCATGAGGGAGCTGCACAAGATATTTTTCCATACAGTTTAAAACATACAAACAAAAAATATGCACTTTTAATTTAATGAATGACTCTCTCCTTCATAGGAACATTGAACATTATATTTTCAGATGACCAGTGTATTATTCCGTCAAGATCTGGAGACATTACTCAGCATGGAGATAAAAATCAGACTTTTAGACATTGAAGGGATTGAAATCCCTGAGAATCCACCTCCAATTCCAGAGCCACCACCCAACTATGACTTTGCATATAATTACGATTGATGATTCTCTGATGGCAATATTGTGAATTCTTGCATATCATTGTCTACTTTCCATTTGATTATGAACAGTGAAATAATTGTGCAATGACTATTTATGCTGGAAAGTAGTTCCCTTAATCATGTTGATAAAACACAAATACAGAAGTAGTAGACCATCTCTAGTTTTTTGAGGTACCCTAAAAAATAATCTTTGTTTTGACTTCTAAAGTTGAATGTACATGTATTGCCTATTGGTTATGATGTTAGCCCCTAATTAGGAATAAAGTTTAATGATAAACTTTATGATTCTTTGATTAGACCTAAATGAAAATCCTATGAAATAAGGTCTACATCTCTAATGGAAAAATGTTATTCAGATAAAATAGGAATAAAGGGGATTCATTATTCAGCAGAATTCTTCAACTTTTCTATCAGAATGGATGTCTTTTTGATCTTAGCTTTTTTCGCTTCTCAAACTCAAATGGCCAAAATAAACTTTCCATCACTCTGAATCTTTAAAATAGGCCTTGCATTATAATTTGAATGACGTGTATTTACTTGTGATTCTTTGATATTATTCTTAACCTCAAAATTATGTTTTGAAGTTACTAAGTACTTAATATCATTAAAGGAACTCTAGCTATTTCACTAGTTTTATACAGGGTGACACAAGAAGTTATACCCTCTAATTTTAAAATGCATTCTCAGTTATGATGGAATCTACATGGATTTTACATGTAGACTAGAGTGTTCAATGAATGAAAAAGTGGAATTCTTATTGTTATATCATAAGTTAATTATTCCAAAATTAGAGGATAAGCCTAAAATTTTTGTGTCATGCAGTATGATTAAAGACATGAACAAAACCTGTAATGTAGATTTTAAAATCTTTAATTCTCAAATGAAATTCCTGTGTAAAGGAGTAATACTTTTACATTATTGATTAATGATATTGATTAAAATGGCAACATTTAATAATATAATTATGAATTCTACATTTGGTCGACTTTTCATTATCTAAAAATAGGCCTTTGGTCGACATTTGCAATAGGTCGACATTTTCGTGTCGACCTAATGTTTAGGGGTCTGGAATGCATATGCAAACCTCATGAAAGTATCTTATATCGACTTACATTGATCCTTTGGCACCTAAAGATTATATTAAAGCATTTTTTTCGAGTCCAAACTTATATATCTGCGAAATTGATGCAGTTGAAAATGAAGTCATTATTATCGGAGATTTAAAAAAACAGTATAAAAATAGTCCTTAGGTCGACATTGAAAAACGTCTCCCATTTCTATTTCGTTCATTATTATCTACATTTGACCTCATTAGATCGTGTCTTAATTCTCTCTTCAACTTATTTTCGTCTATCGAAGTGAATTTGATGAAAAGTAAACGCCCTGCGAATTACGCATTATTATCCTCATCCAGAATTTCAGTTTTCTTATTTTTCAAACTTCCCACCGTGCGCATGCGCACTTAAAATTTTGAAAAACAAAATGGCGGTACATTGTTGGTTGAAGTGACGAGACGGCAGCGCTTTGCAGTCCATTTACAGTTGATGTATGAGGTGCGTGAGTATATATTTAGTATATTTATTAAAAGGTAAGCTCAGTCGTCATAATATAGAGATTTAAGGGTTGGATATTAAGTAGTTTTAGGCGAAATCGAATGTTCCAAATGAAATGTCATTTTTTCGAAGTCATGCCGAACGATTTTCATAAATATTTTTTCCTTTGACAATTCATATAAATATGACGTGTACGGTTATCCCGTGGTTATAAATTCGAATTCATTCGACTCCCCGAGCAATTATCTCGAATGCATGCAAACATCAATCTGATTCACAGTCCCCGGTCTGTCAAATATCACCGGTAAATATTGTTTGTTCCAATTTAGTTCAGAAATTTGTGGGTTTATGTAAAAAGTCGGGTAGTCGGGTGACCGGGTACCTAACGTTCCTACCAGGGATACCTATATTCTCTATTGTATAGACATGGTTAGGAATTTGATTCTTTCATTTTATGCCTCAAAACTGACTGACCTCCACCTCAACGTACCAAGCAAACAACCAAGAAACAAAATATAGAAACATCGATATTCTGTCAATCACTGAGGCAATAAATCAAGCAACTTTAACGTTGTATTGTACATCATACCCTAATTAACGACAAAGAATCGTTCACTTTACGTGTCCTTAATATATATTATACAAAGCTTCATCACATACCTCGTACAAATCGTCATCATAGAAAACAATGATCGATATCCTGTCATTCGCTCAGACATTAAATCAAGCAACTAATGTCATCATACAGGTACATGTAAACTGTGTAAAATGTAAGTTACTTAGGACTTCCAAATTCAGTTGTTCACGTTTATTCCTTGGATATCTTATGTTACCAGGTAACCATTTTACTGACATCTAATAAATAGCAGATTATTTTTAAAAGTGCTCTATCTCTTATACAATAATTATAATGACTAATGATTTGGGCTTGCTTTCTCGACTATTTTTTTATTCTTGCAAATCATTATGTTGTATTAAAACCTACTGTTGTCTCGGTGTGCCTTATTCGTACATTGATGCATTATCAGCTTTCAGGAGTAAATATTGATGATTCGATACATCTGGAAACAAAGTCGGAGAAAAAGTTCACAGATTTTTTTAGAAAATTTAAACAAGTTTATGATAAAAAACCTAAACAGTGTAACTTTTCTGAATGAACGCATATCAGAGAACATTGGAAATGAACCAAGAAATGGGAAAAGTTAAGACATTTGCATGAAAAAAGAAAGGGATTTCTTTTTAGCAGATTTAATTTATTTTTAAAAAAATGTATTGTTTCAGGCATTAATGATTGCCAGAATCTCTTTTGGTGATGTACATGCAATATATTGATTATTCCTGACAACACTAAACTGAGTCGAATTCAGTATTTACTTTTTCAAAAGCCTATTATTTCTCGGCACTTGCTGCATTTATTTATTTCTAATAATTGTTCATCTGCTATCTCGCTCTTGTCACAAAAGTTTCCACAATCTCAAATTACAGAAATATGTTTACAATTGCTTTTTGAGCCAGTCTTCAAAATGTTGGAATGACATTCACTTCGGTAATTTTGCAAAATTTTGGAATGACATTCACTTTGGTGAATGTTTCTTCAGGATTATTTCCTGTTACCAATGTGGCCAATGTGGCATGTTTTAAAACCTCTGTCGATCGGATTCCTGTTTTAAGTTATTTCTGTTCAACATCAATACAGAAAACTCGCCTATGACTCCTGGTTCAAAAGCTCACCTATTTTCAAAATGGCCGACATTTTTGTCTCGCGAAATTCACTTTTTACCCATTTCCTAGCTTTACAAATAATTATCCCATCGAACAAAGTTCGGAGGGATATAGGGAATGCCTCCATCCGTCCGTCCGTCCGGGCAATAACTCAAATACCGTTGGCCCGCTTTTATTCATATTTTGTACACATGTACCCTATGGGGGTAGAAGTTCTGAGCGAAAGCCGATTTTCAAAATGGCTGCTCATTTAAAGATGGTGGCCATTTTAGTGCCGATTTTACAGTAATTTAGGTGCAATATGTAAAACTGTAATAGCAATATGTTTTAAATGTAAAAAAATTATATAGGACATTAATAAAGCTAGAAATGTAGATATTAAAAAAGCACATGGCAGCCATCTTGAAAAATGGCGGCCTTTACTCGTTATTTTACGATTTTTGCTGTAACTCGAAAAGTAGTGGAGCGATTTTGTTCATATTTGGTACGTGAATACTATAAGCATGGCACACTGTCTAATGACACTTTTGGTAGAAGGTGGCCATTTTGAAAAATGGCGGACATTTTAACCTATTTTACTAAAACTTGAAAAGTAGTGGAGCGATTTTGTTCATATTTGGTATGTGAATACTTATAAGCATGGTACACTGTCTAATGACACTTTTGGTAGAAGGCGGCCATTTTTCAAAATGGCCGCGGACATTTTAACTTATTTTACTAAAACTTGAAAAGTAGTAGAGCGATTTTGTTCATATTTGGTATGTGAATACTTATAAGCATGGCACACTGTCTAATGACACTTTTGGTAGAGGGCGGTCATTTTTCAAAATGGCCGCCATTTTAACGTATTTTACTATAACTCGAAAAGTAGTGGAGCGATTTTGTTCATATTTGGTACGTGAATACTATAAGCATGGCACACTGTCTAATGACACTTTTGGTAGAAGGTGGCCATTTTGAAAAATGGCGGACATTTTAACCTATTTTACTAAAACTTGAAAAGTAGTGGAGCGATTTTGTTCATATTTGGTATGTGAATACTTATAAGCATGGTACACTGTCTAATGACACTTTTGGTAGAAGGCGGCCATTTTGAAAAATGGCGGACATTTTAACTTATTTTACTAAAACTTGAAAAGTAGTGGAGCGATTTTGTTCATATTTGGTATGTGAATACTTATAAGCATGGCACACTGTCTAATGACACTTTTGGTAGAAGGCGGCCATTTTGAAAAATGGCGGACATTTTAACTTATTTTACTAAAACTTGAAAAGTAGTGGAGCGATTTTGTTCATATTTGGTATGTGAATACTAATAAGCATGGCACAGTGACTGTCTAATGACACTTTTGGCAGAGGGTGGTCATTTTTCAAAATGGCCGCCATTTTAACGTATTTTACTATAACTAGAAAAGTAGTGGAGCGATTTTGTTCATATTCGGTATGTGAATACTGTAAGCATGGCACACTGTCCAATGACACTTTTGGTAGAAGGTGGCCATTTTGAAAAATGGCGGACATTTTGAAAAAAGGCTGCCATTTTAACTTATTTACTATAAGGTATGAGTACCGTAATCCAACACCAAATTCGAAAATTCATAACAATACTTTGCACATATGGCGTTCGTGACCAACTATAAAACGCTTACCCCCCATAGTGTTATATATCAAAATGTACCTGTTCATATAGGGGTTCGATTGATCTACATCAAATTATAGGGAGTCA